GACCACCTGCCCAAGTGGCTCAAATCCCAGCGAATAGCGGGTACAAGTCCCAGTCGTGTGATCGGGTGCACACATCCGGCAAGCGGATTAGATAGAGAAATCCCAAGCATCGTGCGGGTTCAAATCCCAGCGAACAGCGGGTGCCCGTGGCCAGGGAGGAGACTGGGCCGGCCACGGGTCTCCAGTGACGAGCTCGCACCTCACCGTGGTACTGGAGTCTAGTAGCCGAAAGGCGAAGCTAAGACGAGCTCACTTTGTATGTAATGGCGTTTTTATCTTTGGTATACCTGCTTTTCGTGTATGCAATGAATGGGGAGTTACATTTGTAAGTCTAGTGCAGATGGCGGAGCAAGGTTCTGTGTAGTGGCCGAATGAATTCGAGAGAAGGAACACTACTCCTTCATACGTAAAGGGTCTCTATGGCAAGTGGGCCAGTATCCGGTCAGGCATAATGGTATTTCTTCCGGTCCTCGTGGAAATCCTTTCCCAAGACGCACCCGGAGATGGTAGAGAGAACAGCTAGAACACAAAGACGGGCTTCATAGCCTGTTGTAAGTCTTCATCCCGGTACTTGTCACTCAGGGCGCCCACCGGAAACTTGACCCTACGCTTTCGAAGTAGCTCAGTAGTGAGCTAGCCCCGGCTCCCCATCTCCCCTGTGCCGATTTCGTAAGTATTCCCACAATGCCTCTCTGCCTGCCAGGGAGAGGTCCAGCTGGTCTATACATGCAAAATCTGGCGTACAGATCGTTCATACCCGCCCGAGTCAGGGGGTCGGCCCGGTGCGGGTCATGTTTGGTTTCCGGAAGGTACAGGAATCCACCAGGATATTTTGGCTGGAGGCCTTGAGCCAATGCGCAGGAACTCGTATTCGAGATTGGGATAAATTCTGGGCCTGTTTTTATGACACTCTCCATCTCAGCATGCAGTATGGATGAAGATGGATATGATAGAACCTCAAGGCCGTTCCTTTCAGTCTCCCGGTTGACTCGTAGGCATTTGCTCAAGCCCTGGCATCCTTTGACAGGGACACAATATCGCTCTCTCGGGTCAATCAATGTTATAGTTTCCGCTCCATATATGGTAGGCATGGTGATCGCAGTGCCAAGGTGCACTCTGATTAGACGCTGGCACTGTAACGAGTGGTGCCTTATTTAAGACGGAGTTCATTCGGTAGTCGGGGGGACGCATCAGAAACCTGGCCGTGAACCTGGAGCGATATGAGCTAGAAGAAAAGTTTTAGAGACGGGGTTAGAGGTTAGATGCCATGGTAGGGGCAGACCTTTCCTTCAAGCCGGCCAGTTTATAAGAGGGGTGGAGGGTGCTGCATTCCTACCAACTGGCTCTTTCCGGCCGAGGCTTGGCCCCCCAGACATTGCAGGAATCGCCATAAGGCCATTCGCAGCTTACTAACGTCCGTTATCAGGAAAGGCTTCACTGACTGAAGAGTACCTTTTCAATGCCCTGTTGAATCAGTGCGCTGGTGCGGAAATCTCCTTAGCATGAAAATCTTCGGAACCATTGGGCTCGGAAATTTGCGCTGACGCTGCAAGCGGCAACACCCTGGCGATGTCTCAGACCCAACCAGTTATCCGCCTCGTGTGGCACCGCAAAGATAGATTGATGGCTGTTAGGTGACTCGTAATGGAAGCATAACCGGTTTCAGGACGACGAACGGAGGCTTTAATATATAGCTCCTATCAAGTGGAATCGTCTGCCCGATTTCCTTGTTGTGGACTCTTTCGATCCCACGTGGCTATAGTCTGGAGTTATTATCGGGTAGGTCTTTTATATAGCCTTCCTATCAGCCCAGATGTTCTCTCAGTTACTCCGTAAGGGGACCCGGCTCACGAATCAAATCGACTAGATCATATTATGACTCAAAAAGGCCCCGATACTCGAAGCGAGTGTTACTAGGGAAGGTACTCGATGCAGATAAGTCCCTTTTTTTTTCGGCTTTAGCTAGTTATCATAGATTTTCGTGGAACCGTGAGAAACACCGGAACCACCAGCTTGTCTAGGTCATGCCTAGGGAATGAAAGATTTCAACGGTACGCTCGCGACTCTCTGCTTCCATCTGAAGTGATGGTCCGGGTCGCAGCAAGCCTCCTGCAAGAGAGCAACCGCTCCCGCTGCTCCCGGTCAATCGACAATTTCATGTACCAAACAGCATCGGTTCAATAATTCCGAAGCCATTGGCCATCCCTTCACAAGCAGAATTAATAGGCAAAGCAAGATGAGAAAAATAAAAAAGAAAAACATACAACAGAAGGGATTCGCTGGTGGTCACCCACCCAACTACTAACCTCCCGGCGTGTGGCTTAAGTACGGCTGAGCGGACGGGAAGCCCTGTTCTCCACACCCTATGGTCGTATGTAATAGGATTCTCCTTGATTTGACACATATAGAGTAATTCTATTTATGCCAATGGCCATCGTGGTGGATTGAGTCACTCTTCTCTCGCTTTTTAAAAACATGACCGAAGAGGCGTTGACAGAAATTTGTGTCCTGTTCTCAGTGTGGAAGAGGAAGAGCGAGACAAAGGGAGTGTATCTCAGCCATTAAAGAATTCGATTGTCATAAGAACACGCAAACACAAGGCTGAAGCTGGTCTACTTCGTGACAAAGATGACGAAGACAAAGCCAGATTGACTACTGTTCCTGCTACACCTTTGGAAGAAACACGGGCATATCAACCACGAAAGATTCGACCCGCGCAACTCCCTTGCTCAGTGAGATACAGTAAGAGAGGTAAGATATATGATGGTGAAATAAGCGACAGTCCTGGAATCGGACCAATTTGACTAATGATGAAGCGGGTCAAAAGGTCTAGCCGAGAGGTCATTTCTCAAAGACAGTTTTCACGGTGTCTCCAATCCAATCCGCTCTTCCTCAACCCTCAACTGGATCTTACCAGAGAGACCCACAGACACCCTCCAGGTATTCGTAAACTGTGCTATCTTTCTCGTATTAACATTCGACGGCTGTTCGTAGCCTATTGCTTGGTAAGAATGTATCCTAATAGACACGCATGGTGTAGTAAGGGCGCGGGCAAGTCATCAGATGGGATCTTACCTACGCGACTTTGATATGCTTTCGGGAGAGTTGGAGGGGACTTTGACTGTACCCAGGGAGGTGAGGGAGGTTTGAAAACCTGCTGATAAGAACTCAGGGGTCAGCTAGGTTCGTTATATCGATTCTGCTAGTAAAAGATGGGACGTATTCCTGACCGAGTTCGTCTTTTCCAGCCATGGGTCTCAATCAATGCGTTCGCCTCTCCACAGCCTGCTCCAGTACCGTGATTCTTTCCTCCAACTGTGCCAGCTTATCTTCCAGCTCCTTCGCCTTTGCTGCCGGTATATCGAAAATTATTCGGCGGCTCTGCTTATGTTGACAGGGGAACTCATCGGCGGGGATACGCTCGTCTCCCAGCGCTGTATGGTCTCCAGCTGTCAAGCAACTGCAAGGTCGAACTTCCTGTTTATCATTCCCGGACGTCATAATTCTAATTCACTCGGTGGTTCTGATGTCTTCGATTCGTTAGCCGTCCCATAACAAGTGGATAGTTCGATTACCGTTCGCTGATAATTAACGCCAAGCGTGCGAGGGGGTTTCACATCGGTCAGAGGTCAACTACTAGGATACGCGGTGATGGAAAGATGGTCGTGTTTGTGATCTAAGCAATCGTAAATGGGTTGTAGAGACAAGACAAGGAGGCCACACGAAAATCAGAATGGGAAGGAACGGGTCGGATGATGGGAAAAGCCGCATACAGAGGTGAATCCGCAACCTGTAGTAGAGGCCCAAGGCCATGGAACAGCCTGATCGAGAGACGCGCACATGATCTATCGGTCCCGCTCAGTCAGGGTGTTTGTGATTTGGGTGGAGTAACACAGGTCAAAGGCAGATACACGCTGGAGAAGGAAACGATCTAGAGACGCTCAAGGTCGTCGATCGCCTTGAAATCACTCATCTACAGGTTCCGTGTTAGTCCGATTGATGCACGCTGGAGCAGAAGTCTTGGTTCTACACTTTTCTCCTTCACGTTTGCCACACTCGGTACTCTAATTACATTTTCCCCCTCTCTATTACGTTAGTTGCTTGTTGAGTTCTTGAAGTATTCTCTCTAAACGCCTTTATCACAACATCTCATATGCTAGATTTTTGACTCCGATGGAAGCTAGTCGTGTATAGTCAGTAGGTTTGGTGTCACTTAAGCCATTAACGAACAACTCTGACCTATTTACATTCCATGCCGGGCTCACGAGAGAAGATAGTGTACGACGAGCCCAAAAACACATATGACCACTGCATATCATGATCAAGCCGGACAAGATATGTATCAAGACGTACATGTTTGCCAACGAACCGACGGTGAAGCGATTTTAGAGACAACATGGGATCGGGAATGACACTAAGAATGGTATCGATACATCAATATGGACGAAAAGCCTTATACATGATTGAGCAGGATGAGACCATGACACGAAAGCATTCTTCGAGGACAGCGCTGTCAGATCCCTGATCTCAACAAAACTTTCAGTCTTTCAGCAAGGGTATACCTTTACTCAACATAACCATTTTCTCGATCTCGCAGCAGGCAACAGAAGCCTTCCGAGTAGATACATGTTAGGCACTCGGCACCGGGGGATTTTGGCACCCGGATGTCCAGAATGACGACTGGGGCTAATGGAGTTCTGACAGCCGGGTGCCATTCATCGGCATCTACAGAAAAAAGTAGAGGTCCTCGTTGGTCCCAGTGGCTTGGGATAAAGATGGGTGCTAATCTGTGTCAGATACCGAAGAGGAAGCACCCCATAAGGTCTGCCCGGGCTTGATCACCCAGCTCGGTTACGGTGATGCCGTTCGGCGCCTGAGGCAGTATTCATTTCCTGAAAGCAAACGTATACCGTCATTGGTGAAGACGATCTCCTACTCTGGCCAGGGGTCTTGACAACTACAGCTCGTGGCGTGCTACTCTACGTCTCTCCGAAAGGCATCCCGCCTGGCCGATCTGGAGGTGAACCGCAGGAGCAAGAACGAAAAAAAATAGAAACTGATCGAACGCCAGCTGGATCCTGCAACAGCAGAACTTAAATGATATCAAGTGAACAATCGCTTGCGCCGTAAGTGGTATTGTACATGTAATGTCACAGCCTCATCCTAGTTCGTCCAGCCCTTAGGTCCGGCCCAAGTACCTTTAACCAGGGATTGGTAGTAAACCCAGGGGAAAAAATCCTTCTTCAGATGGTAGAACGAGCGACGGGGAACGCTCTGGTCGATGCCGAACCAATTTCCAAAGGTCTCCTTGGGCTCTCCCCCGTACTTGAACTCAGCGAGAAGAACCTTGCCGTACTCGGTCACCAGAGGGCATGAGGCGTAACCGTCGTAAACCGCATCGGGAGTCTTGCCCTCCATGAAGCGCAACAGGTTGTGGACGAGGACGGGGGCCTCCGAGGTAATTGCCGCCGCCGTCTTGGATGTGGGAAGGCTGGAGGCATCACCCGCGGACCACACATTGGCATACTTGGTGTGGCGGGTGGTGCCAGCGTCCACATCCACATAGCCAGCCTCATTGGCCAGAGCGCTGTTCTTCACGAAGGCATGGGGACCCATCTTGGGCACAACATGCAGCAGATCGAACTGCCTGGTCACCTGCTCCTGTCCGTCCGGCCGGGCAAAGGTGGCCTTGTTGCCCTCAATGGACACAAGGTCGTGCTGGAAGAGACCTTCTACGCCCCTCTCCTGACGCAGACCTTCGAGGGCAGCACTGTACTTGGGCACGGCGAACATGGAGGGAAGACCCGTGGCGAAAGCGATCTTAATGGCAGAGCTGGAGGGGTTGCTGGGGTCGTACAGACCAGCCCGCTTCCAGTAATCCAGGGCCAGCCACAGGATCTTCTGGGGGGCGCCGGCACACTTGATCACCCCCGCGGGTTGGGTGAAGATGGCGTTGCCGGTCTTCAATTTCTCAATGGTGGAGAAGACCTTGTCGCAGGTATCATAGCCATAGATCGATGAGACAAGCGAGTCCGGATTGGCGAGTGCCTCGGGTAGTCCTTTCACGCTCCCGTAGTTGATGTTGATGCCGGGGGCGACCACGAGCTGCTCATAGCTGACCTGGTCGCCATTGCCCAGGGTGACCGAGTTGTTCTCAGGGGCGAACGTGCCGACGCTCTGGTTGTAGAATTTGAGCTTCGGGTCAATCAAGCCGTGCAGCGGGCGGCGCAGATCTTCCTTGGTTTTGAGGCCACCGCCGACCAGGGTCCAGCCAGGTTGGTAGTGATGCCACATGGAGGGGTCGATCACGGCGATGTCATCCTGCGAGAATTTGCCGGAGCGGAGCAGTTGATGGCTGATAGCGAGGCCGGCCGTACCACCGCCGACCACGACGACCTTGTGACTGCGCGCCACGGGACTCACGGGGGCGGCAGTGGCGAAACCCCTCTGGGCAGCGCTTGCTGCCAGCGTTACATGGCGGAACATTTTCGAGGTCAATGATGAAGCTGGGACTTTTTATGGGAGAGAAGAGAAAGGGAAAATGTAGAAAGAGAAAGGCCTCGACCAGAGCCGAAAGTCAAGGTTTCCCCAAAGTTTTCGAGCCCACTATGGCGTGATCCCGTCCCGCCTCATTAGTCAGCTCCGTCGGCCCGTCTCGGTCGCCGACCGATAAGATAAGCCCCGCGGGGTATCTAGGCCTCAGGCGATCATTTGTCCAGTCGCCCGATGTTTTCGTACAAGGCCTTGAGGGGCGCGCAAGCGCGCCCTAATGGACTTACCGCTTTACCGCCCGGCTTATCAAAGAATGAATATGATAGTTGACAAAATCACTTGAGGGATACAGAAGGAGGCTGTACGGAGATGAGTAAAGTGGCCAGGAGTTTGATGGGGTGCGCAAGTGGTCAATGGAGACAACCGTACGAATGATTGGCTCATCCGAGGCTCTGAAGCGTGCCAGAATCTGACCAATGACACGGCTCAAAATGTGCCAAAAACGGACCAATCAACGGCAACGGTCCAGGCTTGGCAAGTTACAGCATGCTTTTGATTTGAAGTTGATAAACGAGACCTGCCTACTAGTAGTAACCCTCGTGTCGACCAACCGCTTGGGAACGTTAAGCCATGATCTGACCTGCTACAATTTTCAGTCACAGCCCCTCGCTCAACGTACGATGGGTCTGCTTGTATTTATTGGCTGGCCAACGCAGCCTACCATACTATTAAACACTATGTGCTAGAATGGCATCAAGCTCGGATTAAACCGGCATCTCGACCCAAGATGTCAATCACGAGGACAGCGGTGAGATCTTTGGATACTCAGGCATAACACGTATAGCCTCAATGGTAGTAGGTTACCTCTGCGCAGCAATACCATTGAGGACAAGGTGGAATTCATCGAGGTTATTCGAGTCCAATCCGGGTGGCGGACGAAGCATCAAATATATATCTAGCAATTGGGTCGTTCAGTACACCTTCCTACACCTTTTCAATGGGTTTCATTGGCTCACTTGCTCACCGCTTGCGGCTATTCTGCCGCTGGCTACCCCATCACTTTTCCCTTGCCTTCCCGTTTCTGCTGCAAACCTATCTCACCGCTTTCTCTCTATCTTCCCTCTCTCCGCTTTCTTGAATGCTATCCTTAGGAGAACCAGAAGGTTGTATACACTGTACTAAGAAACATATCATATATATACCTAATAGTAATTTGTGATTGCAACTACGGCTGCTACGGTGACTCTTACCACGCGCGATGACTGACGTCGTCTACGAGTTATAGGGTGCGCTCTGGCGATGCGTGTCCGCTTGACTGATGCTACATCTACGCTTTCAAGCTCTCAAGCCGGTGGAAAGCTTCGTATTTTACGTTCATGTAGTGTAACAAGAAAGTATAACCCATCCTCCTCACCTCACTATAGTTCTTTCCAGCTGCTAATGACAACTGGCCAGATACTCATTAAGCCAGGTATCTGTGTTGTCAAGCCCGTAGGCAGCGCCTCCGGCGCTGCCTTACTACTTGTCTGACACCCGCCTCCGAGCTAAGTCACGCAGGGATCCTGCATTAAATCAATTCCCGCTAAAATTCGGTCCTTGGGGTGCATGGTTCATTCTAGATTAGCTACGGGGAATAGACGGATGTGATTGTGGACGATTGGTAGCAACTTAATTCTGGCGAGTGGAGACATGCAGATAGTCCACCCGGGCTAGCGACACGTACATTAGACAGAGACAGCAACAGGGAGGAAAGAGCTGCAGACCACACATGGTACGATCAACCACACGGCCGGCTACTGGCGTCGAATATCAGATCATGCATGAGCCAGGAGGACACGTCGTGGCCCTTCAGCAGTTCAGCTTCCGGGCCGGAGCGATGGCTTGCTGCTGACGTATGCACTGGTGGAGCAGTAGTGAATCCCTGGGAATATCCGGCCGAGAGCTTGACTCAATTAAGGTGGATCATCTGACCTGGATTAGCATGTCCCCTGGATTTCACAGACCGGACCGTCAGAACTCAATGGCATTGAAAGATCTGACGAATCTCTGAACTATCTTGTTCCTCACAGCGGCACCACCGGACAAGAAGCTCATCAAAACTCGGTGCAGAGGGAGTATCAGATTTCCAACCAGCGGACTGGCGCCTCTTAGTCCCGCCTGCCAAGAAAAGGTCAATGACTGGATGCGATAACCGTTGATCCTGGTCCATCTTCGGGCAGAAGCTAATTGCAGCTCTCGGCGGTGGTTGGAAGGGCACTCCCTTCCAGTCCCTCAAAAGCGAGGCTCTTACCATAACAGGCAGGAGTCTTAATCTCCAGGTTGTCCAGGCTGAATGAAGGAACTTGGTGGGCACTCCACTGGGCAGCTTCTTCACCTTTCCCTCTTCCACAGTGGTCCATTGCTGTTAAGAGTTAATTGACCACGCACAGTAAATGCTTATCACTAATGGCTAGAAGCCAGGACCCAAGAGACTCTGCTTACATTTTCAACGTGTTTTCATGAAAGTAGCACTACGAGATTGGTAGCCAGTTCGGCTCTCTTCCATCGTAGCAATGTTCAAGCAAAGTCGGGAGCAGCCCAGATGTCCAACGCTCAATAAGACGGGGATTACTTGTAAAAGCAATCCGATAGATAATTGGACAGCTAGCTAGCAAAGTGTAAAGACTAGGTAAACATGATTGATATCATCTATGATTATTGCCGTGAGCAGAGTAACATGAAACCGAAGTTGCAGATAATCAGATTAAGAATTATAACCTCTTAAAGTGCATATTTATATTTGTTCAATCCAACTCGGGGAGGGCTACGACGGTATGGCTTGATACTCGGTTTGCTGAAACCGATCAAGGCCAAGGCGCGATTGCTATATGTTGAGAGTCTTCAGATTGTGGCCTATGAAGGAAATTAGAATGGGCGAGGAGTTCGATAAAGCGATTTACGGACCAACCGGAGCACACGAATTACACTGGCACGGACGAAGGCTTCTGGCAGATGGTGCACTTGAAGGGAATCACAGATATTTTTTAATTGGTAAAGGAGGCTGAAGCGTCATAGGCAAGAATGCAGTTGCAAGTGATATTAGGATTCTAGTTGCTTGTTAACTGCGAAGAGTTGAGCCCAATTGTCCAATGTCTTGGGTGCCACCACGGCTGACCATCGGTTGTTTACCAAAGACGGACCACGTACGGTTGCCAGGACTGTAAGCATTGTATAGGATTGTTGAGGCTGGCGGACGCATGGCTTGAGCCGGAGTTAGCACCCGCTTCTCGACATAGCGAGGCGGCGGCAGAGGGAAGAGAAAAAGATAGGAGACCCGAATCATCCATCCACCGGTCCCACCCTCACTTCTTCGCGTCGCTTCAGCTCAGCCATGTCCCGAGCCTTCTCATCGGCAACCCGTCGCTTTCTCTGCATGCTCGCAAAGCGCTTCTTCCCCCCGAATTTCAGTTTCGTGATCAGATCTGCCGCCTGGCCCCGTGTCAGCTCGCTGGAGGCGATTCGTTCGTCCCGGATTTTCGCTTTGTTTAGCATAGTGACCTGGGCTGCCGTGGCCGGATGGTGACGCCAGGGCTGCCGGGTGGAGATGTACCGGTCATCGAACTCGGAGGCCGCAAATGTGTCGGCAGCATGGACAGCCGATTCAAAGTCCGTGGCGGTGGCAATAAGACGCGGCCGGGTGTACTGGGTCGTTTCGGTGGCGGACTTGAATTTCTTGACATGGTGAACGGTGTAGGATGCCGGCGTGTCCGCTGCTTTCTGCTTGCTGGGACCAGGTTTTTCTTGGGCGAGGGTGATCCATCCGGTTGAGTCGGAGAGCGTGTATTTGCTCTCGTCGATTCGCACCCAGGCGTAGCGGCTAAGGGAGCGGATGTGTTTCTCGGACTTCATGTCATGGATCAGGTCGTATATGGTGTCATATTTGGTGAAGGTGATCTTAATGTCATCGGACACATCAGGCTCGTCCGTGGGAGTATCGGTCTCGGGTGGCTGCTCAGTGTAATCCTCCGAGCCTGCCGGGCCTTCCTTTTGCTCTCTGAGGTCCTTGGCCTTGGCGTTTTCCAGGAGCTCATCCGGGTGTAGACCGAAGAGTGTCGGGGTGGACAGAACACCGGTGTCCAAGGTGGCTACCATGTCAATGATGTGGCAATCTTTCTTCCCCGGGTGTAGCCGCAGGCCGCGTCCGATCATCTGGATGAGAAGATTCCGAGAGCGGGTTGGCCGGGCGAGCAGGACGCAGTCGATATTCGGGATATCAGTACCTTCCGTAAACAGACCACAGTTCAGAAGCACGGGAAATTCCTGGTTCTTGAAGGAGCGCAGCTGCTCATCCCGCATTTCCTTCGGGGTCCCTGCCGTGATATAGCGGGCGTCAATGCCCAGCTCACGGAACGCTTCAGTGAGCTGTCTGGTGTGTTCAATGTCGACACAAAACACCAGGGTGGATTTCCGATCCTGTGCGTTGGCCAGCCATGCACGGACGGTGATATCGTTCGTCTTGGTCGTGTTCACCGCTTCGGAGAGTGAGCCGAGGGCAAAGTCGCCGAATTTGTCCTTTCGAACCCGAGAGAGATTGACCTCGGACCGAACGGTGGTGAAGATAGCGTTGGACAGCCACTTCTCGTCAATCATATCCATGTAGTCCTTATGGTACACGATGTGATCGATCGCAGCGCCCAATTTGAGTCCATCGAAGCGTGAGAACGTCGCTGACACCCCTACCAGAGCCGGCGAATCGGGCGACGGATCGTTGAGGCCGAAATGCTGCAGAGCTGTGCGATACGTGGGTGCCACGATATGGTGTGCCTCATCCACCAAAACGAGCTTGAAGCGTCGTGGGTCAAACTTGGAGATTCTATCCTTGGAGGTAAGACTGCGGATGGAGGCGATGATGATGTCCCCCGCCCCCGACGCGACATGGTTCCCCATCTCAATCTCCACCGTCCGATCGGGATATGCCAGCCGGCAGTGTCGCGCGGCTTGCTCGACCAGCTCCCGGCGATGGACCAGGATGAGGGTCTTGTCATTGTGGCCATTTCGGGGGGGAATCCGTCCGATCAGTTGGGTGAAGATGACGGTTTTTCCCGCGCCGGTCGCCAACGACACTCCCAAGCGTTTGTGGCCTTGGTGCAGGTGGTCCAACACGGCCTGGATACATTCCTCCTGATAGTCCCGGAGGACGATGGCCGGCGGGGGTGCCGGCGGCGCGGTGCCGCACGCGTCGGAGGCGACGGTAGAGCGGCCGCGCAAGGGAGGGTGGTTCCGTATCACTGGACTGGGAATCCACGGACCTTGGAGCGACCGTCGGACCAGCAATACGGGGGTAGCCCCCAATGTCTGGCGAATGCGGTCCATCCAGATGCCATGGAGAATATTGGATGTGGTCGAATGGATCGGAGACTTCGCCCGGCTTCGCCGAATCGGGAGTTGCGCCGGGTGTGGTCACATGACGGACCTCCCGGCCAGCCGGATTATCGGTTGTCGCGGTCCCGTGGTCAGCGGTGTGAAGATAAGATAAAGGCGGACATGTTCTCTATCAGATACCGAATCTGTTCAAGTTGCGTGTGGCTTTCAAATTTTCCGGCGTCTTCGAAAGATGTGGGATGTAGCTCTGTGATATCCCCGCGCACCCTGCTACATGGTGTTTACGGAACGAAATTGTGATTGGCAGCACGGCGCGATGCTGACTCCGGTGCCCGATCAGCATTGCTGAACCTCGATCGTGGCTCGCCTTGTTTAGACGATGCTGTCGGTAGCATCGCTTTTCAGCCCCACCCCTCCTAGGAGAGTACTTCTCTCTTCCAAGCCTAATCCTGGTGAGAACATGGGCACTGGTAGTCACCCAATTGGGTAAACCACCTCTGGTGGAAGTTTGAACCACCTTCTCCGACTCTATTGAGCTCTAAGGAAGCCGCACCAACGGTCAGGTGTGAAATATTCCATCATTCAAGTTCTGATTCTTATTGAGTTCCACTGTCTGATGGTCCAGTATTCCAGTCCCGAAAGAGCTATGAACCACAAATTTCGGCTAGAGAAAAAGCAAACAAGTATGGCGCGTCAAAATCGGGCCTCTCTGCAGCTGATGGCTGACAGGGGGCGCAATGTGCGTTCAGAGACTCGAGGATTCACTGAATTCTGCAATTCACATTAGTTGTCGCATTTCGCTGCGTTCTTCATCGATGCCGGCACCAAGAGATCCATTGTTGAAAGTTTTAACTGATTGGTAACAATCGACTCAGACTGCACGCTTTCAAACAGTGTTCGTGTTGGAATCTCCGGCGGGCACGGGCCTGAGGGGCAGAGATGCCCCGCCGGCGGCCGACAAGCGGCGGGCCCGCCGAAGCAACAGTGTATCTGAAAACCACTCCCCTGTCTCCAGCTATTATATTTCCCCTGGAAATAGCCAGATTGTCCGTGGCTCTTTTCCATCTTACTGTCTAATGTTTTCCAGCAAAATCTACTTACGCATCTCTGCGACCGGATCTCATTTGATGCAATTCCGCCCGTGTGCAACAAACTTAGGACTCATCATGAATCTTCGGCTCAGTGGCTGGTTAGATTCATTGGCTGCCTGCTAGGCCTTGTATTACATTCTTGTTGGTTGCATTCCTGTTGAATTTCCCTCAGTCAGGTGGACCACATTCTTCAGCTACGACACTGAAATTCATGATACCAAAATTGACTATATCATGATTTGTGTTAGAAGGCCGTCGAAGACTCAATGTTCAATTTACCACGCGGTATCTACCGTACACTATGATGATGATGATGATGATGATGATGATGATGATGATGATGATTTGATTCATACACTGACCCCTCGCCTAGGCAACATACAGGGACCCACTATCTATACGCTCTATGTATATCCATTGGACGTGAACGATTACTTTCCCGACGAATTTGGAGCCTCGTCAAGGCCTGTGGTGGCCTGTGCCTGGGGTTTTGTTCTGCCGCCCTCGTGGCGTGCGACTTCGAAACCTCTGCGATGCCTCCGCGAAATTTAGTACCGCCCCAAGGACGCTACTGTCTGGCGGGACATCTTGTAGCCTATCTTCCCTACCGTGGCCTGCTCCTCCTGGCATGTCTGATATATTATTGAACGCGCCTCCAATCTTGTGCCGTAGTTTTTGTCGTAATGTGCTCAGTCGCGGGCAGTCAACCAAGACGTGTACGACCGTCTCAATCGCCCCGCACTCGCACTGCTCATCTTCTCGGAAGCCCTGTCGTTTGTCGTATGTTGCCAGCCCCTGCCGTATACTACGTCCGGATAGAGGTGTCATCAGTCTGACTCTACGAGTGTTTCAGCAACCCTGACATGAAGCTGCGCTACACTAGATTTTGGTGGGCTCATCAGGAACCTCTTTAATCCGCATTTGTATGGTAACCTAGTTACTAAGTATTATATGACCAAGTTATGTATTGATGAGCTGAACGTGTCTCTGCGCCATATCCACGTGCCCCACACTAGGCAGACATGTGCGGGCCTGTCTTGGGCCGAAGTTTGAGTCCGAAGGAACTTGGCTCCGCCCAACCTTCCGAGTTATCATGAAAACACATAGACAGAGAGCTAGCCAAAGCTTTTTCTTGTGCTGTGACTCACCAGTCTACCTTCTTAGAAGCTACCTCAATCTACTGTTGTTCTGGTGGGAGAGAGATAACGGGTGAAATTCGGACAGCCGCAGAATTGGACAGCTCGGAAATCCCTGTTTTCCACGGATTTGGCTGTGGTAGGCTGAAGGCAAGCTGGCACATCCTTGTCCTTCAGCCGCGCCAGCTCATCAATACATGCACCACGAGTAAAAAGGGAAACTACCCATCGCTTGGCCTGTGTTACACGCAAGAAGCTATGTTTCTCTCGGCACAGAAATCGAGCTTGTCAATTTTCAATGAGACTTTTCAGATCAATCATGCCCCGCTGCTTCCAGAATGTGTTTTAATTGACCAATATGCACCAAGTTTAACATTATAGGTACCATTGGTATATACTGTAATGTTCGTTCATCTACAACTGTTCTGTGCGCGCTATTTGTCATTGACTGCAGCTCAATCAAAATATGACAGGTGTACAGTGGCTATCAACCTTGCCCTACCCCGCACGTAGCGTAGGTATTTCCTATACTTATAATCCTACCACGCAAATTTCATAGAGTTTGATACTTCACATTGTGAAATAAGAAGACAATTCAGACCTTAGTTGGTGACTCTGATTCATCTCAAAAGACCTTCTGGAAATTGGGTTGTCATTATTACCCACCTACTCGTCCGTGAGCTGCTGCATCTGCGGATCCACTCTCGATTTCCCAAGACATCACAATGCGTCTCATCAATGTGCAGACCTACAGATTAGAGGAGTTCCTCAATGAGAAAGTGCCTCCTTATGCTATACTGTCGCATACATGGGGAAGTGATCAGGACGAAGTATCTTTTCGTGACATTACCGAGAGGAGTGCCAAGCGTGCCAGTGCTAACCATTGGCCTATCAAATTCGAGGGATGTTGTGAACAGGCAGCGAAGGATGACCTCGAATATGTGTGGATCGACACCTGTTGCATTGATAAAAGCAACTCAGTGGAACTCGGTGAAGCTATCAACTCCATGTTCCGGTGGTATAGGGAGGCTAAAACTTGTTATGCCTATCTTTCTGATGTCACTGATGAGTCTGTTGAGGCTAATCCGCATATGGTCTCTGGATTCTCTGGAAGCCGTTGGTTTAAAAGAGGTTGGACACTACAAGAACTTCTAGCACCAAGGAACGTGCAGTTCTACAACTCTACATGGACCTTCCTCGGTAGCAAAACAGATATGAAGATATTACGACTTATCGAGAAAGAAACCGGCATACCGCGTTTGTTTCTCCGGGGGGAGGCATTACCAAATGCGAGTATCGCACAACGCATGTCCTGGGGTTCGGGAAGAACAACAAAGAGAAAAGAAGACATCGCTTACTGTCTTCTTGGGATTTTCGACGTTATGATGCCAATGATCTACGGCGAGGGTGATCGTGCATTTATTCGTCTACAAGAAGAGCTTATCAAAAGGTCCAGAGATGCTTCGGTTTTTGCATGGGGCTTGCCATCAGAAACTTCTGCCCCCGTTCATTTTGAAGACATTACTTCTGCAGGAATATTTGCAACCTCTCCAGCCGATTTCGCCAATAGCAGCCATATCATATCACAGAATCGCGAGATCAAGTCTAGGGCCACATTTGTTGTTGACGGCGGATGTGTCCGATCGGAAATTCCGCTCTATACAGACCCAGCTGGCCAGCTATTCGGACTCCTAAATTGTGGCCTCCGGTCAAATAACAGTGGCAGCAAGGTAGTGGGAATCCCGCTTGTTAAGGATCTATTTGGGGAGTATATCCGACCCGGAGGACATTACTCTCAATTATTCCCAGTATCTGAAGTTACCACTGTCTCACAAATTTACATCAAGACCGAGCGGGATCAGAAGACAACTACAGCATCCATTTATAGCAACTGTTTTGAGATCGAGAATCTTAGTGAACCTGGCTTGAAGCTGATTGAGGTAGAACCGCAAGACTGTTGGAGAGAAAAGGAGTCTCTTATTGTTACAAGCAATCACCGTCCCGGAAGCAATTTACAGCAATATTGGCTACGATTCCGCCCGGAAGATGAAGGATCTACCGACTTTATTGTGCTACTTGAGCTACAGATACCGGGATCACAGGCGAAAGCACAATGTCATATTATGACATCATCTGAATTTACTCCACTGAAGGATTTGATCCAGTATTCTAGCAATATGAGACCAACAGCTTTTGGTCACAATGTTGCTCGAGGTAACTCGCGGAGCATCTATGTAACCATAGATCAAGACACTACAGCCGGGAAATGCATGTTTGTTGTTAAGGTTGCTGAGACAACAATGTTGCCTACTATCACTGTGGATGCAACATTTGAGTTAGAACTACAGGCGGCAAAATATGATCGGGAAAGGACAGCAAAAGAAAAGAATAAGCTGTATCTCGAAATCGAAAAATTCAATCAGCAGAGAGGAACGGCATACACGCTGGAGTCGGTTGGGAAACGTTTAGCTGAGATAAGAGAAGAGCAAATCCAGCTAGAGGCGATTCAAAAATGGCGGACTGAATTGTCCAAGAAGGAACTGTCTATCGAGAGGAAGTTTGACGATTTCGAAAGAATGGCCCTGGCAAAGAATTATGACCCAGTATGGATTGCAGAAATCAGTACTGCAAAAGGCGAGTTGGTGACTCGCAGTACACTCACAGGACATTCTGAACCGTTTTCGAATGTGGCATTCTCTCCAGATGGTAGAGTTCTGGCCACCGCCTCCCTTGACAAGACAGTCAAGCTCTGGGAGGTGGCTACTGGAGGACTACGCAGTACACTCACAGGACATTCTCAACCGGTTTTGAATGTGGCATTCTCCCCAGATGGTAGAGTTCTGGCCTCCGCCTCCTATGATAAGACAGTCAAGCTCTGGGAGATGGCTACTGGAGGACTACGCAGTACACTCACAGGACATTCTGAACCATTTTCGAATGTGGCATTCTCTCCAGATAGTAGAGTTCTAGCCTCCGCCTCCCTTGATAAGACAGTCAAGCTCTGGGAGGTAGCTACTGGAGGACTACACAGTACACTCACAGGACATTGTGAACCAGTTTTGAATGTGGCGTTCTCCCCAGATGGTAGAGTTCTGGCCTCCGCCTCCCTTGAGACAGTCAAGCTCTGGGAGGTAGCTACTGGAGGACTACGCAGAACACTCACAGGACATTCTGAACCGGTTTTGAATGTGGCGTTCTCCCCAGATGGTAGAGTTCTGGCCTCCGCCTCCTATGATAAGACAGTCAAGCTCTGGGAGGTGGCTACTGGAGGACTACGCAGTGGCTGACGGGGTCTAATGATTAAGGGGCTCTTGGATATCAGAAAAGTTGGTTCTCGAACCGGCGCCTCACTATTTCATTCTCATCTCTTTGTAACAGGAGGGCCTGGGATAGTAGAAGCTTATATACAGCAGTTTACTGTGATGAATAGATATTCTAGTGCTTTCTGAATAAACTTGCAATTTTGCCACTAATATGGATCCAAACGTTTCGGCGTCAAGGGACAAAAGCCACTGGAGCACGTGTAATGTTACATGTCAGTACAGGACGTTGTTCCGTCTGGAAAATCATAATTCCACCCGATTCAGGCTACGTAAATTATACATAGTAATGAGTTAACTAGTTAGTTAACTAACTAGGTGGTGGCCAAGCACTGATACTTCTGGAAAGTGGCGCAACAAGGTTGATGCACCTTCCCTGGTGCCTCAGTCATGTGACCGCGTCTTGGATTTTCCGTGCAACTTGGAAGTGCATAATTGGTCACGTGATGCAGCGAAAACGGCCCAAAATACTGTCTAGTACAAGTCGTATTGTATTGAATATTGCTCAAATAACCGGCTCCCGCTAAGCTCTTGGCAGTGGGGCTGGGAAACAGTTGTCATGTATTTAAAGGTCAAAAAAATTTCGAGACCGACTGTAGAAGGAAACCGAAATACTTGATATATGTGCTACTGATGGACCATCAAATCATAATATTCTCGTATAACACCTTCCAACCACCTGGTAACTGGGTATGACGTATATCTTCCATCACTCTGGTGGATCAACGAGCACTTATACATAGTAACTAGCACCTCCAATCTAGTGTTGAATTTATTCCCAAGTCCGCACTTCAATTTATTCAACTGAGCCATCACAATGATCCCCAAATCCGGCACCCGCACCACCCTCGACCCCGAGGTCAAACAATTCCTCACCAACCACCCCTCCCTCGCCTTAGGCGGCCACGACCTCACCCACGAGCGCCGAACCATTCCCCTGCGCATCCTCTACCCCTCGACCCCATCCCACCCCACCCGCATCCGGCCTCACCCCCGCAGTCATTTACTTCCACGGCGGCGGCTACTGCGTCGGCACGGCAGATGATTTCGAGAACGGATGTCGCATTCTCGCCGAGCAGGCCGGTGTGCAGGTCTACGTGGTGGAGTATCAACTGGCACCGGAATGGCGCTATCCCGTGCAATTGGATGAATACGAGTGCGTGGTGGCGTGGCTACGCGGGGACGGCGGACGGGCGCACCAGGTTGATCCAGACCGGGTGTTCGGGGTGGCGTTTGCGTCTGCGCTGGAGGAGGCGGGCAATGAGGTGACCTGGAGGCATTATGATACGTTGTCGCATGGGGTTTTTTGCAGATGGCGCCGTGGAGTGCAGCGGTTATGACAGCCCTCAAAGAGGTGGCTCGTGATGTCCGGCAGTTGGCGGGGAGGTTGGCAGATAGGAACACGGAATGGATTGTGTATATCCTTTGTCATTCGGGATGAAGGATAAAGTCATTAGGTACCTAGATTAGAATACATGTCCGATAGTATGCCTGCACATCCGTTATGACGATTGTCAAGGCTGACGCATCGTGGTTAAAATCCGCGCTATTCGCCCGATAGCAGGATGTGTATGTAGTTCCCAGAACGCCTTTCAACAATGGATCATGTACACATACACTTAATCGGTCCAATCACGGAAGACTCGAAGCCGTCAGTTGGCCTTTTCGCTCGTCGCCCTACCCAGACTCATTCCAACTTCCACATCCACCGCAATGGCGTTCTTACTAGCCTTCAGAATATCCTCGTCAAACTCGATACGCCCCCGTTGAAATGCCACGATGATCGACGACCCTCCAAACTGAAAGATGCCCAGCTCTTCCCCTTTCTCGATCTTGTTGCCCGGTTGCTGGAACTGCGGATGAATCCTATATAACGATCAGCCCCCGCCACCCTCACACAATGCACCACACCTACCGAACCGTTCCCACCTGGGAAGCACCAATCGCCACAAAAAGCACCTCACCAAACTCCTCCGTATCAATAACCACATAATCCCTCGCATTCCGCGTCAAAATATCCACCTGACTCTGCAACGCAATCGGATCCACCTCATAATAATCCCCCGGCATGCTTCGAAAGTGCGTAATCGTCCCCGCCACCGGACTATGATAGCGATGATAATCCTGGGGCGACAAGCGAAAACTCGCCACGGGACCATCCGCGAACTTCGGCCCCAGCTGCTTATCCATCACCAGATTCGTGATCGAGAAATCATTCCCCTTGATCCAGATCTTCTTGCTCTCCGCGACCGCCTCGTACGCGACCACGCGCGAGTCCGCTACCATCACTGCCGCGGCCGGGTCGTCTTTGCGATAGATCGGCCGGGAGCCGGGTCGATGCGCGCGGACGAAGAAGTCCTCGAATGTTGCGTAGGCGTTGATATCGGATGGCTCGAAATCGTCCATGTGGATGTGGTAGAAATCGACGAACGCTTTGATGCGGTTTCGCGATGCGGGGGTGGCTTCTTCTTTGCCTGTGCTGTCGGTTAGGGTGGTTGCGTGGTGGAACAGTGGAGGGAGAATCAGAATCATGCGTGTCTACCTTCTTCCACGGCGGCGTGGTGTAGATACAGACGCATCAGGTGCGTGGTATCCAGCCATTCGGTCAACGGGTTGAACAGGAGCAGCAATTTCAGCTTCTTCCATAGCGGCTGCTGCTCGCGCATTTGTTTGCCCGTCTGGGTGTATTAGTTGTCAGGTCTGGATCTCGAGTATAAGAGGCCTTACCTTGCGCTCGATCGTGATCCATCCGACTTCGCGATTTTGCACCTGCACGGAGATGCGTTAGCTTGTGCTTGTTGTCACCCTGGGGAATGGCGCGACAGGCATCGGCCACGCACCATTTTCACCCAGGATAGCAGATAGTCTGCTACCTGGTGCAGAAAGACGAGGATAAACATCGTGGGATTCAACTTTCGCTGATCGGGAATGTGCAGAGCGGTGCAAGTCAAAGAGGGCGATGCAGAAGATGCGGAGAAGTCGCGATAGCCCTGACGTCAGCATGACGGCTACAACCAATAGTCCCTCACGACATCACATTATTCACCCAACTACATACATATCTACATGGTACATATCTAAAACATGAAAATGATATGAAACTAGGATTAATCATCATATAATATCTAGCACATCACATCTCCACCCCCGCCTCCAGCACCACCACCTCATCCCGCTCCGCATCCACCCTCACCCGCGCACCAACTGGCAACGTCAAAAACGGACTCGTATGACCAAAATCCACATTCATGAGGATAGGAATCTCCACCTTCTGACCCCTCCCCACAATCGTATCCAAAACCTCCACAATCACCCCCGCCAGCTCATCCTGCATCTTCTCATCATACTTATACCCCCTTCCAACCACCAGTCCCCGAATCTGTCCCAGCGCCCCCGACAACGCCAAATCGACCAACGAACTGCGAAACTGGCCCACGGAATACGGATGCGTTAGACTATCCCCCATCGCGGACTCTAGGAATAGGATCTTGTCCTCCCATGATGGAGGCGCGTAGGGTGTGCCCTGGAGTCGTACGACGCAGGAGACCGTGCCCCCGTAGAGACGCCCCGTGGCGCAGCCGGGTCGGAGCCAGCGCCATGACGGGGCCTGGATGAGTGTCCGTGGGGTGGTGGATTCGTCATTACCGTAGAGAAACTCGCTGTGCTCGGCGGTGCCGATGCTCGATCGAGGGAGTGGGCCTACTGGCCCGCTCGTTGCGGAGAGGACATGGAGGAAATGATCCACGGTGAATGGGATCGGGGACGGGTGGTCGGAGAAGTCCGTCAAGATGCTAGGGCCGTAGAAGGTGCGAAGACCGGTGCGGGACTCGATGGCGTAGTGGAGGAAGGTGGTGTCGCTGTAGCCGAGGAAGATCTTGGGGTGGGAGCGGATGAGGTCGTAGTTGAGAAAGGGGAGTAGTTCGTTGGCGTGGGCGCCGCCGATGGTACAGATGATGGCTGCGATGGAGGGGTCGCTGAAGGCGGAGTGGAGTTCTTCGCTGCGGACATGGATGGATTCGGTGATGGTGGTGCTGGGTGGCAGGCTGGTGTAGATGATCTTGATGGGGAAGCCTAGGGATTCGAGAAAGGCTTTGCCACGCGCGAGGGACCGGGGGAGGAGATCGTTGAGACGGGCGGATGGGGAGATCAAGGCGATGGTGTCGCCTTGTCGGAGGGCTTTGGGGAGGATGGTTGGTGGCATTGTACCAGTTTGCTGCGTGAGAATGTAGGGCAAGTGAGGGATGATCTGCGTGGATATACTCCTTGGAATATACTCCGTAAGGGTAAGAGTATCCTGTTGGCTCAGCGGTCTACGAGATGCTAAGACAGCCATTTACTGTGACATATATACTTGATACGAAAAAACCCCCCGTGTTAGCAAAACGAAATTAAACCATGATGCAAACACGACTTGGGCTGGATGAATGGCGGAAACTGTGAACCATGCCAGTTGGCAGGGGAATTGATTGGAGCGCCGGGGATTTGCATTGTTTGGTCTCCGCCGGACGGCCATTTGTTCAGTTTGTTTGGTTTGTCGCAATTGCAGTGGAGGCACCTGATCGGAGCCGAGGTACTTTCCCTTTCCGGCTTAGGTAATCAGGTGACCCTGATACGCTGTCCAGTCACTCAAAGTGAGACAGGATTGGACAGAGGATCTTGATGGTTCTCTGAGACGTGAGTGCTCTTTTAAAGAGGCAGACAAGGTATATGGATCCTGTGAGAATGGTGAGCGTAGTGCGTAGCGGCTGAAGATCTGAAGGAACAAAAGAAATGGTATACTAACGACCAGAAGATGTAAAGACAACAGTTTCATTCAATGCAAGACGCTAAATACCTTGAGTCTACTTATATACGCCGATAAATAACTTCCTGCCTTAGCCATGATCAAGACTTCAGATATTCTGGCCGAAGTTAGCGAATGGAATCTCCGAGTGGAACGGATACGTCTCATTCTCAACCTGGAGCAACTTTAAGTCCCCAGACACCGAGGCAAATCCCGCAGAGGGAATCACTAAGCCTTCAAAATGAGCCCCGGGATGTAGCAATACTACCATCCCCGAGGTGCCGTGCGTCGCCTCTGCCGACCATCTCGGTTGCTCCCTGTCATACTCGCTCGCTCCATCTATTTCTCCGTATTCATTACACTGTTTATTTCCGTGGTGCCACCACTTCATCCCAAGTGAATCGATACTGGTAACATACGCACCGTGCATTCACTGGCACCCACTGATCACCTCCTAGACTTTAAACCCTCCAACATCCTCCTCTCCAACCTCAAGACTAACCGCGTCACTACTAAAGTTGGCGACCTCGGTGGCGGTACCAACCCTTATCCCTGCACCAACCAGACTCTTCCTAACAGCTAACAGTAGTTCCATCAAACCGCCACTTCAATAGCCAACCCTTCGCCGTGCGCGCCCCCGAAGTCGATCTCGGCGCACCGTGCGCCGAGCCATCGCAAATCTGGGCCATTGCCGCGACACTCCTGGTATGGATCAAACCCGGGTGTTCTGGGCACATGGGGCTGCACATCTCCGTTGATCAACGATTCCTGGTCCATGGCCAAGATTAAGCAGCTTTTTCCCGAGTGGCACATCCCCGCTCCCGAAGATGTGTAGGGTCTCGAGTTCAAGGAGCAGATCGATGCCGGCAGGAAACTTGGAAAAATGGGTATCAGAGCTCGAAGCGATCTTGCCGTTCGATGAGGAGACGCGGAAGATCCAGATGCCGCGGGAGCTAAGGGATCTGCTTCGGTTTATGCTGGTCCCTGATCCAGTGGCAAGGCCCTCGGCCGCGGAAGTGCTCGCATCCAATGAGTTTCGCGCATTTGAGAGGTTGGTGGGTAGTCATGACCCGACGATACGATGTCCTAGGATGAACTCGTTCACAAGGTGGTGGGATATGAGTGTCACCTAGCATTATCTACCAAGTGATCCTCTCAACGCAGCTCTCATATGACTATTCAGAGCGTCCAATGACTCTACCAGCCTGGGCGCTATTTCTGCAAACTTTGCAAGCAACCTGCACGCTCTCATTGTCTTCCTTGAAGTAATGGAAAATTAGGTGAAAGGGCCCCGAAAAGTGAAAGAACCGTTGAGAAGAGATGAAAGAACCCTAGTGAAAAGCGACCGAAATAAAAAAAGCCCCGAATCACTTATTGCCAAGGCGTTGCTGAAGAAATGATCATATTAAAACTTGATATTTCGTGAGGAGACTCCTGCCCCGCATGTTTACAGGGAATTAATCTCACTCACCCAAGAAAACGATTATCCCGGTATCCGCAGTCTTTCTATGTTAATGTCTGTCGAGCCTATTGATTCTGCATAAAAAGCAAATCTGTGATGATATCAGTCACCTCGCCCAACTTACGTATCAAAACCACATCAAAGGTCATCAATACAAGGGTATGATAGGCAAGCTTACTGTAGTGATTGTCTGATGCCCACACATCAACGATATCCAGTCCTGCTCTCTGGCACAACGCATCGCGGTCATCAGCATCATACTTATGACTCTGCACCGCCAGAATACTCCGACCAGCCGGGACGGTCGCTCCACCAAGAGCCACCTCGCCAGAGGCCAGATAGTATTGATTGTGACTCCCATGCTCGGCATCCCAGCGACCGACCACTGCCCACTTTTCAAGATCGAAGGCATCATTTCCTAGGATCTCGTTCGCCCGTTCAAGCCCGTGCTGGATGAACCGACGATTGACACCTTCTGGATCATTATAAGCGGCTAAAACCCGTTCTGCATCCTTGCAGCCGTCCAAGCCAAGCAAAAGAGACGAGTTGCATCCAGGAGAATTGCCGACGAAGCTGGCCAGAAAGTCGGCGGCATCCGGCCGCTCGAAGCTGCCCAAGGTTGACCCCAAGGAGATGATTGTTTTCGATCGGGTGCGAATCTCCGGGAGCTGCAGCCATTCGCGACCGTCATCGTAGGTTCCCAAGAGTCCGAAGCAGCGCACATGCCGGAAGGTCCCCGGAGGGACTATGCTGAGGGTCCGCTCGAGCTCTTGGAACGACACATCCAGCGCGAAGTAATCCACATCTCGACCAAGTTCATCCAGGGCGTCTAGGAGAATCTTCATTTTGCGGAGGTTTCTGATGGAGAATAAGCTCTCTGTCACTGCAGCGGATACCGTCGCACTTACCCACTGCCCAACTCGACCAACATGCTCCCTGCCGGGATGTTCTTGGCAATCTGATACTTGTATTTCTCGAGAAGACCAATTTCCTCGTTCGTCAAATAGTAAGATGGAGTATACGTCACATCCTCAAAGTACCGCAGGCCCTTCTCGTCCCAGAGCAGCAGCTCCGGCATGGCAGCTTCTCCATGACAGGCAGCATGGATGCATTCCTCGAGGGACTGGCGTAGTTGAGTCTCTGACTTGTCGGTCCGGATGTCGATAATATTTTTTGCAACGAGGGGTGCGGGGACAGCTTGGACCCGGTGCTGCTGTCTATTATGTAACTGGGGGGTAAGAATGCTCTCGAACATGGTGGGGATGATGCAGTGCACAGTAACAAAGTCTAGATCTAAATGCGGTGTCTGGAGCAGGTAGCCTATCGTGCATCGAGCTCTGATTTATATTCGGAAAATTGAGACATCGACTTTCGAACGCGTTCACAGATTTGTGATGCAATTTGCTGGGGTCATGGTCTGATCCAGATAAAGTTCGGCGGTTCCCGCAATGATTGGCACGACGGATGAAGTCATCGATGACCCATGGATCGACATCGTCCAGGCAGATCCGCCCCGCGGGAACATTATGCAAGAGTGGACCCTGCCGTGACATTCCAGCTACAGCCTTGGTTTGAGGTGAAGTCTAGATTGGACCAGCTGATAAGCATTCGATTGCGTCAGTTTACCTCTGCCAAGTATTTCCACTCTCAAGCCTCCGGGCGGTTCTTCGACCCACGCAGCTTACCTGGGCAACCGCTAGCTGTGATACGGCCGCGGTGGATATTGCGATGATCGAGCTGACCGACTTGCATGGCAAGGACGCCAATGCCTCTCCGCCCTCACTTCAAGCCGCCTTGTCCCATTCCCGGCATCTCTGTCCAGTAACAGCGATGCAATTAGCATTTGGCAAGATGAGGCATCGGCGTTCAAGCCAGACGATTGGATCCCGGTCATTCAATAAGAGTCATCATCATTGGACTGGCTTTGAACGACATCTGTTAACCTTCCAGATTGACGGGTGGTGGAGGGTAGCTTGGAAGGCATTGCTCGCGACTTTCCACGCACTGAGTATCTGAGAGTAGATTCTGGCGTCTGGGTGCTGGTGTCCCAAAGCCTCCTTGCGAAGGTGAATACATTGTTCCATCAACCTCAAGGCGTCGCTATCCTTACCAAGGGATCCCAAGGTAGTAAAGGCAAGATTGGTCATGACGGTCAGGGTCGTGGGATGCTCAGACCCTAGGATTCTCTTGCGCGTCTCTAGAAGTTGAACTTGAACTCTTCTGCTTCCTCGGAACTTTGATGGGGTGCGCAAGTGGTCAGCGGGAACCGCCGTAGCCACCCAGCGAAGCCACGCCGACCTGCCCAAAGGCCGATCAGCTCATCAGAAGCAACACGGTCGCGGTATGGAGGAAGGTAGAGACTCCCCCCCAGGATTAGTTGTCTGGCGGTCTGATGCGTTGGAGCCTTGCTCAGTCTGCATCTGTTTAGCCCTTGTTGGTTTACACCATCGAAACTAGAACAAAGGCGGTTCAAATAAACTGTTGGGTCTCCCGGTCATTATCTGCAACCACAGTATCCGTATGGCCGCACGATCAGTGGATACGATGTGCCACTGAGAAAAGCGAGAGCAGGATGAGGTGATGGAGCCAGGAACGAACATAAATTTCGGAGTATTGCCGAAACCTTTACAGCACGTGTCCAGGCACATGACGGCCCGCGGGGTTCATTCGGAGAATGTCCAGCGGAGTTGCCTGCTATAGCCGACATGGGTCGGCTAACCTGCTAGCCAGGGTTGAGATTTCAGTATCGCCAGTAGGTCAGCATCAAGGACGCCACACGAATAGTAAGATATCAAACTCCCCGGATATCGTTCATCGAATCATCCCGAATACCAAGTGGTCCACATGACACCCCGTCAAGCAACCACCATCCAGCAGCATGGAGAAATCCACACTCATCCACAAGAGACATATGGCGAGGGAGAAGTATTGCTGAGAATTGGGTAGGCGCTGGTCCCGAAGATCTCCAATCCATTGGATCCATACTGAGCTGCTACAGAAATGGCGGTGCCGGTAAGCTGGGGACTTGCAGCAGCACAAATGACGACCCACTAAACCGAAGCAGGCGCCACAGGCTTGATACGAGCTCTGGCAGAAGACTATTTGGCCTCTCTGGACCGACCAGGCTCCATCCAGTGGATCTGCAACCACTCGAGAAACACCCAGCTGGCCTTGTTTCACGGACACGTGGACCTTGCCCTCACTTACGAGCGCGAACAAGAGGAGATCGCTGTTGCCGAGGGATGGGCCCGGGGCGAGGGGGTGGTATTCCACGACCATTTCTGCTTAGCTGGCCCGCAAGATGATCCAGCACGCGTCAGTCAAGCGCCGTCAATTGAGAAGGCCTTTGAAGCGATTGCTGTCGCTCAAGCGACCTTCCACAATCGATCCGATGGTTCAGCAACCATGTGGAAAGAACGTGGGCTCTGGAACCAGTGCCATCGCCAGCCATGGGAGGATGCCGATGCAGCCTGGTACCAGAGCTTTTTGCATACGCCAGCGGAAGCAGTAGCTGAAGCCAACATCGCGGGCGCATATCTCCTCTCCGACCGATCCACCTTTCTGACCATGGCATCTCAGGGCCGCGTCGATAATCTGAGAGTCTTCTTTGAGCCAGATCATCCGCATGATATTTTGATGAACTCCTGCTATGCTTTAACCAGTCCGCATGCATCCAGCGAGGTTGCTCAGCGGGTTGCGTCTTTTCTCACGTATCTGAAGTCTCCACGGGGCCAAGAGATTGTTGGGCGATATGGATGTGATAAAGTTGGATTGCCTTTGTTTGCTTCACTTAATGAGGGATATGCTAGGGCAAAGTTGGCGGGGAAATCTCACGAGGCTGATTGGCACACGAAGAGCAGCACGATGGAGAAGCTCTAGCCTGATTGGAATGCTACGGGGTACATTGTCCTTGCTTAAATTTATAACCCATGATTATCTTAGAGTTTTACGGGAAGCAAATTTTGCAAGCGAATTGTTCGAGTCGATCTACGTTTTGAATCGTTTTCTCGTCACGCAATGGCCAAGAACGTTCGGATTCTGGGCGATTAAAATCGTAAGCCAATGCTAACATCGAGACCGGTGACGAGTCGGTGATCTCTGAGCACAATGTATGATTCTTACTGATGTTTAACTGCCCGGATCCAACCCCAGATCTCTTCCAGTTCCTTCCAATCCTTCTCCATCTCGAGAAATTCTATATCTGACAGCCCGTATCGGAATTTTTCTGGCAGCAAGTCGAAGTTTCCTTTGCATTTTGCCAGCCGTGCCTTCCAGAGAAACAAGGCATTATCTGGCATTTCGGACGCGATGGCGATCTCCATCGCAACATCGACGTATTGCCGTAACATGAGGGCCCGATCAAAAAATAAGACCCAGCATGCCTGGAGAGCCAACCGCGGTCGCGAGATGCAGGACCGTGACCTCTTCCAGATCCAAATCGAGCATTCCCGTCCACCAATCACGCGGATACACATGATTGATATCGACTCCAGTTTCGAGCACCCGCTCGAACAGGGCAACACCATCTTTATGCTCACAGAGAATCCCAAAGATATGAGGGCTTGAAAAGGTCGCCCCGATCTTGACAAGAAATGAGATTTCTTTCTCGTCTTCTTCTGAGTACCTGTCCAGACAGTCCAATGCCTGAAGACCTTCGGACTGCCTTGCTGGTTCGGTCAATCCGGTATTTAGTAGGGGGCATGTGGATGTCCGCTCCCTTTTCCAACAGCAGCTCGGCCGCATCGTAGTGACCGTCATGAACCGCTGCTGATACTAGCCGTCGCTGTAGGGGCATACTACTAGTTTGCCAGCGATCGAGGATAAACATATTAGGATCCACGCCTGACTCTAGATAGGACCTGAGGATTTTGCAGCTGTGCATAGAAACCCGGATACTCCAATAGCCCTGCTCACTATGGGGCGAGGGAGTCGTCGCATGCTTCAGCATTCGCGCTTTGTACTCTTCCAGGAGGATCGCCTTGAGCGCTGTGCATGTGCCTCTGAAAGAGACAAAGGTCTTGGAATCCATGAGTCCGGTACACATTTGGATCAGTTCGATTGGAAGCTTATACAGAATGGCGTTGGGTGGTGGCAGGATAGGATCCTCCATGGTGGATATAGCCTTGGATGGTGTTGAAGGTTCGACTGAGGGCGAGTTGGAAAATGAGAAATCGGTGAATGTCTGTGATTGTACATTGAGAAGTGGCTATTAGTCAATCTTATCTGGCCTGCATTGTGGTCTCTGGTTCGGCGGCGCAATTAACAATACTGCGGCGACTTCCGGATTTAGGTGATCACAAGTCATTGATGCTATCCTTAGGCCGGAAATTCATATAATATAGAACGTGAAAGTAGTCTGAAACACGGCATATTACTGAAGACTGGGTTCATATCTGACCTGGAGGAAGTGCTGCTGACAGTCACACTGACCATGGGGAGCATGTCCTTATTACCTCCCTTCTTTGCCACGTAGGAAAAATCATCTACACTTGAGGATATACGAATAGAAGTGTGGCTACTGTAGTTATCCTTATGTTCGTTTCATTACTAGTACGGTGGGATTCTCTTTCATCGAAGGTAGAGAAAGTGCATTGTTCTTGTGTTTTGTCCCAGGACTGCACCAGGAAACAATTATTCTTTGTTCAAAGTTAATCTCGGGATGTAACGCGGAAATAATGAATGTTGAGTCTCTCATGTGGCAGAGTCTGTACGTATCGACGGATCCCTATTAGACATTCGCGATTAACCGAGACTATATCTGGTTGCAGCGGAGAATACCTCTGCGAGAATATTGAACCACCGCAGACAAGGAAAGTTACAATACTACTCGTGGTTGTTGCGGGTAGCTCCCGTGAAAGAGACCCTTTCTGGACGACGGAACCTAGTATCAGCCATAACCTCCACAGTTACCAAAGTCTAAATGAAAAAACCCGAACAAATCCACATTTATTGCTCTCACTCAAACTACCTCTTGCCTTAGTCTATCTACTACAACCCTGCCTTGCGAATATATCAGCTGACCACTCGCCCATTTTCCAGCTGAATCACCCTATCGACACATTTCACCATATCAGGCCGGTGAGAGATGTGTACAACGGTATAACCATCAAATTGGTCTTCTATGATCGTTTGTATCAGCCTGTCTGTCTCAGTATCAGTTCCGCTGGTGGCTTCATCCAGGATTAAGATGCCGCCACGGCGGGGCCCGTCATTGTCTCGGTTCCATTTCCTCACTAGCGCTACGGCAAGTGCGAACAGTCTTTGTTCGCCTTGTGACAGTGAAGACGACGTCAACTCTGCATCGAGACCACCGCGCGACGTAACAACGGCAAGTAGGTTGGCTTTTTCCAATGCTGAAAGCAGAGTCGCATCTGTAGAAAGGCCGGACGGGTCCAGATTGGAGCGGATAGCAGCCGGCAGAATGAACGGGTCTTGGGGAATGGCGATGATTCGGGAGCGAATGATATTCCGGGGAATGGTGGAAATGTCGAAACCGTCAATGAACATCGTTCCGTTTTCAGTGTTGACTAGTCGTAGAAGGGCGGAGAATAATGTGCTCTTCCCACTTGGATGGATTAGCGCGGTGTATACAGACTGTGCTGTTAATGCCCACCTTCCGGTCCGCCCGCTTATCACAACCTTCTCTCCTGCTTTTATGCTGATGTTTACATTGTCCAATGCACGTGTGATGCCACTGCAAGATCGAAGTCAGCCAAGGTTCCGAATGATCGATCGGAATACATACTCATAGGAAACAGAAAGGGAGGCAATTTCAATATCTCCGTGGACAGGCCAGCTTGCTGGAGGGATGAAAGTTTCCTCGACCTGATGCTCAGAAGGCGTCTGCATTTCGAACGACCGTGTTCTTGCGATCGCACCGAGAGATGTTTCGAGCGAAGTCCAGCTGGTCACCAAATCTTGCAAAGTCTGACTGAAGGCCATGATTGCCGTCAAGGACACTCCCAATTTTCCAGGATCTGTCGAACCTCGCAATGACGTGGCCAGGGCGATTAGAATTACAGCCAGGACAGCCACAAGGAGGTCAAGGACGACATTGAGCCATCGCTGGATACAGTAGAGGAGATAATATGGCCTCTGAGAATCGTCAAGGCGGCGTAAACACTCGGTGACAAATGAACGTTGCCATCCAAGGCCTCTGATCGTAGACAGACCCTCTAAAGTCTCTACAAACCATGTATAGAGCGGGCTTCTGGCCTCAAGATCCAGGAATCGGAGCTGTCTGGATGTGCGGAGATAGACTTTTTGTGCGCCGTATAGTACCAGTAGACAGGGGATGATGGTGATGCCCATGTAGCTAGAGCCCAATGAGATCAGCGCCACCTGAGCGAAGCATTGTGCCACGCCTGCGATGAATTAGTTTGACCCAGAACTATGGTGACTTGACGTACTCAACACTGTGCCAAATGCCATGGTTGGCAGTACAGCATCTACAAGGGTCATATCCTGGCTGAACCGGTTAAGGATGACGCCAGAATCGACCTCAGCATAGAAATGCATCGGGGCGTTCGTGACGGTTTGAACAAGGATCCTGTGTAGCTCCAGTCCTGACTTTAAGACGATCTTGATCATGATCTGCCTTTTCAACTGTTAGCCTGTCGTGTAGTGACTTGAATGGCAGCCGTACCATATCATGAGTCCCTGTGACCCCGAAGCAGCCACGGCAAGAAGCACATAGATGCCGATGAATTGGGCAGCCTTCTTCCCATTATCATTGGTGAATAATTCCAACCACACCTCTAAGTCTGGTCAGCTGGACTCAATGAGTCCCAGGAATATACTCACGAGGAAAGGTGGAAGAGAATGTGTGGATGATGATGATGATACAGGCGACCAATGTATGGCGCCATCCGATCGCCTTCAGGTAGTAGGAATACACTGCCGCATCGCCGGTGCGGCGAGATATATCCGCTATGTCATCCACAGTAAGTGTTTCCACCTTTTTGGTAGTTGGCGATTGGTCTTCACTGCTGAGCTGGTCAGTCGAGCTTTCCGACTTGGTCTCGGTTATATCTGGGACCAATTCCGAGGCCAGGCCTAAGCTGACCAAAGAACCCTGCTTCTCGATGCGTCCACTGGAGCTTAGGAAGACTACCCCGTCTGCAAGAGACAAGTGCTGATCTAAGTGAAGATTTAGCAATGGCAGCCGAAGTATGGACATGCTACTCACCTGAATGAGTCGCCATTACGACTGCCGCACCTATTCTTCGGCAAAGCCCATGGGTGCTAAAAAGGGCGTCGGTGACAGATTGCGCCGTCTTGCTGTCAACGGCACTCAGGGGGTCATCAAGGACGAGAAATGGTTTCCTTGAGTAGATAGCCCGAGCAAGTGCCTGGTCAAATTGTCAGTAGTGTGGAAAAATGAGCTAATACGACTTACCAGACGCTGTTTTTGTCCTCCGCTCAGCTTGAGTGCTCCGCTGCCTACGATGGACTGGTCACCGTGTGGCATCCGAGAGATGTCTGGCTCCAATGCACATGCCTTTAATACCTCTCTGTACCAGTTCACGTCCAGCTCCCCGAATCCGCAGATGTTATTCTGGATGGTGGTATTCTGGAGCCAGGGGGCTTGACTGCAGTAGGCAGCACCCGACCGTGCTCCCGTGACTGTCCCACGATCGCACGAAATCTCACCTAGCATTGCTTTCAACAACGTGGACTTTCCACACCCAACAGGGCCCATTACCATCGTCACTGTGCCCATGGCAACCGTCAGATGGATACCCTCCAAAAAGAAGTCAGATCCCGAAGCTGGGCGGATGTAAGCATCCGTCATTGCAACCACCGGCTGGTAGGAATTTAATTTCGGTGCCAAGACCTTGAGTTGGACCTCGGAGCCATGTCCATGGGTGTCGTACTTCTCATCCGGTTGAGAGCTCAGCTCCCTTCCGGGCGGCAGTGCATCCAAGGTCGGAGATGTCAGGAATTTGTGAATGCGGTCAAAGGCCCCCAAAGCGGCCGTTACTGCCGGAATGGACGACAATAGTTGGAGTGCTGGGCTGGTGATGAGACTAATGATGGCAAGCGAGGTAAATGCTTGAACTGTTGACAGTGGCTGCGAATGGTCGATCTTTGCGCGAATGACAAAGGCTGCAAATGTCACGAGTGAAGCACACATCTGAGGCAAACTGGCTGCTCCATGGTGAGTAAAAGTCAGCGACCGGATAGGAGATGAACCTACCAACCACATTGAGCCAGACAATCAGCCATCGAAAATCCTTGGATAGATTCAGCTCGCGCTCTCTTTGTCCCTGGAGTGTTGTGGCGAGCGTTTCAGACAGCCCCAGCATCTTGACGCTTTTCATCGATCGCAGAGCCGTGGAGATCATGGCCACCCGGCGTTGGATAGCCCCGACCCAGACCTTCTGCCTGGCAGGCATAAATGTCGCCATGTACATCTGGGCCGAAGTACAAACTGCGGTAGAGATTAGTTTCATGACTAGCAGGAGAGGAATGGACATACGAAGAATCACGAGGATGGGGGCAACGCAGACCGCAGCGAGTTGCCGCTCGAGTAGCCAGATTCCAATGGCAATCTCCACTAAGCGGGCCCACATCTCGCTGGCCTGCTCCAGCGACCGTGCAATCATGTCAATGTCGGTACTCATGAGCGTGACAGCGGCCGATTCAGTGCATGCCCCATCGTGGAGGACCAAAGTGTGGTCGTAGATCAATGCAACGGCTGCGCCGCGGAACATGGTTATCATGCGAAATAGCTGGTGTTTGTAGTGTACGGTGGATATCTAGGGTAATTAGCACTTGATTGCGCAGTGGGAGCGTCCAGGGCTGCCTACGGCGATACCCCCATAAATCAGCGCTGCGGCCCCGATCAAGCCATAACCTTCGTTTCTCGTCAGCTGCGTATCCGGCTTGTGCAGATGCTCGATGGCGCGCTGAATGAAAAATGTCTGCGCATAGCTGAACCCTATTAGGCACAGCCTGGGGAATATGGTTCGAAGAACGGCCCATCGCAGACTGATCGCGGTCGCAAGAATCAAGCTGCGTGTGTTGCTAGATTGATCTGAAAGTTGCAACTGATTAGCGGCTGGTGTAGAGACAGTGGAAGCCGGTACGCCTACATTTTTCCCAAGCAAGTCGAATCTTCCGTCTCAGAGGGCCTGATCTCAAGTCCTCGTCCGTCGGGAAGAGATCCTCAATGGTGAGAAGCTTTCGAAAGCCTGTCAGAAACAGACGATTGAGCCACCAAAAGATGGTGCGGGCAAAGATTCCACTAGTCGACTCGGGAGACGTGTCACGGTGGGCCGACTTCAGGTACCTGCGTTTGGGTTGTGCTTCCAATGCTAGCAAAAGAACTTTCAGGGCGACAGTTGCCGCGGACAGAGCAGCGAGAGAGGGTGGATACTGCCGGATAAAGAGGGTCCGCACCTGCACCGCATCGAATCCGATCGACAAGAAAAGATAGATGCTTAGGAGCGACGAAGGGCGTACGGAGCGATTGTGCTCGATGGCTGAGAGGAATGTGATCGATAGTGCGTCCACCAGCGACAGCGAGATGGCTGGAATAGCCGTGCGAATGATGTTGTGGCGCGCCCAGAGGACCACCGAGGCGATCTGTAGCCCGACAAGACAAATTGCAACAGCCTGCATTGACGGTTAGCGCGTGGGGGTCTGTTGTGGTCCCCGGACTGACCAGCTTTTGCCAATAGGCCTTGTTCGCGGTCGTTTTGATGTTCTCGGGATAGAGCCACCAGATTCTCCCCGCGACTAGAAGTAGGAAAAGAGCTGACGGGCCGATGGAGAGGATGCTTTGCTCGAATAGTAAGGTGAAGTCGAATGTTGCTGGGCAAGGAAAGACGGGACCAAATGTGTTGTCTGCCGCGGGAGAACAGCTCGCCGCCATGTTGATGGTTGAGATTGAAGGGCTAACGCATGTAGGCGGGGCAATGTGATGGATCGAAGATGAGGAATGGTAAAATGGATGGAGATGGATGGAGAAGCTGAAAAGGGTGGGAGGGATGGAAGATAAGCGATGGCGGGCCCGTGACTGACATGGATGGATCCCCGGGGCATTCCACGCAATCCGCTCGGCTGCCTGGAAGCCACCCCTATCTCCATGACCTCGCCTGCCATTGGCCGTCTTTCGCTACACCCGGACAAAGAACGCTAGCAAAGTCAATAGCCGTACCTGGCGGCATTGCCCATGTATCGATATGCCATGACTGCCGTTCTTCGATTGACCGAATACTCCCCATTCTCTCATAGTCTTCACACGGCTTCAACAATGCTTCTCACCTACCGCTGGCAAAATCGCCAGCGACCGATACAATCGGGCATCTCGCGATCCGAGTAGCTTTGCCAAGGTTCCAGAAATAGGGCTGGGTTTAGCTTCCCCGGTTGGGGCTTAAATGGTAACCGTGACTGACACCGACACCCCCAGTCCCCCACATAGTAAGGGTGGATTCTGGGTTTCCCGTAGTGATTGGCTTGGCTCCCCGGTGCAGTCGGCTGGACCCGGTTGGAGAAAGCTTGCTTGTCTTCGCACACGATATGCCAAAGGTACCTATAAAGTTAAACCATGGGACTACGGAGTAGGTATCACAGTACACCGTATGGAGTATATCAGTTGGTATAGCATACTGGGAGAGTTGGTCATTTGACCCATGTTACGGGACGAGGATGACTCTGTGCTCTCGGCCACAGTATGAGACCTATCCAGCCCAGGCGCATCTGCGGGGTCTGTTCAGCCATCCCCTTGTCGCTCTCCCAGCCTCGACGACCTAATTCCCACTCGGCGAGGTGCAGATGAGCAGTCCAGGTCGCTTCTCACGGAACAATCTGATTCATCCAGTTGCCCAGGCACCGCCGACTCCACCAGCCGTCTCTCAGTCTACCTCTTTGGAAGCAGGTACGTTTGACATGACACATTCGCTCCCTGGGCCATTGGCTGAATATCCCCGTGGCAGAATCGGAGGAGGATCGGACATTTGACCTGGACGTGTTTCGGCGCGTCTGCTGGAGGCGTCCATCCCATCTATTGCCCGATCAGGTCTAGCGTGGCTATCCACGGAATTGACTGGTCGCTCCGGCTCTCGACACATCTCGACACATCGTCGTCGCACTTCCATCTCACAGCTTGCCCCCCAAGCGGGAGGCAGGCCGACATAAATATGTTGACCTACACTGACTGCTCCGTCTTTTCTTCCTCTTCCTCATCCCCTCACTCTGACCTTGTTCCGCGGTGAAGTCCATTGATCTCCCATCATGTCATCTCACCGGCCTTCCCCGCAGATCCCCCGCGACCGATCCATCCGCCGCGCGCAGTCCCGTGGCCGTCCGAGCAGGAAGTCGCAGAGACGGTCTGTCCCATCACCGTCGGTCGTCACACCATGGCATCGGCTGAATAGCCCACCCCCCACCAACGATCCGACCCTGTACGGGGAAGCCCCTCTCTCCCCTCCCCCCGAAACGCCCCGCCCATTCCGGGTGGTCGCCGCGGCTCCCGCCCAGCCCGATCCCGAGCCTCCTGCCTTCGAGCCACTCGACGAAGATTGGACGGAAGATGTCTTAAACTTTGCCTGGCTGCGGGAGGACAAGCCGACCTCCGATGAAACATACTACCTGTCGCCGGCGAGCAGCAACATCTTCTCACCCAGCACCCCGACCAACTCCCGGACCAAGCGGAAAGCCAGTTCCTCACCACCCCCTTCCCCGACGCCGAAACGACTGGACAAGAGGCGCAAGGAGCAGACCATGGTGGCGGTGGAGGTGTGCAGACGGTTGGACTTCAACCCGAAGGAGTACCAGCCTTTGCGGGAGGATGAGTTCGATGGGGTGGATTGGGATTCGTTGGATTGATGTACTGTCCGAGGGCGACTGGCAAAGGGTGGAGATACTGTCTGCGATGTGATAGTAGACTTCTTTCGGGTTGCTGGGAAAGCAGTGGGATAGGGAACCCACATGGCCAAGGATGTATTACTCTGTACTGTTGATAGATAGTTAGATTTAGAATACCATTGTCTTATACACCATATGTAGTCTACCAGTACCTCATTGCACCCGATAAGGTGGAGGCATTAGACAGCCGTTCTCGCACTCACTCCTGCCCGTCTGCAGAACTCCGCTGTCCCCAACTGTGGCTTTCACGTCAGAGACACTCACGGCATGTGTCCCGCTATCAAGCACCGCCCTCCACAAGGGCTCCGGATCCCGACACTGGTGTGTATGTCCAATCCCATCGATGACCAGAACGCTCTTCCCGTCTTTGTCGATCACCGAATGAGGTGGCTCGATGGTATCGTCCGCCGCACATATAATTGCCTTGCACCATTAGACAGCTTCCATACTCCCAGGGACAATCTCACCTGCGCAATATAATCAAAGCAATGAGCCCAATGCACGGCATCCTCATGAGCATCGCCCGAATGGGATGGTGATGTGGATGCCCCATGATGCTGTGATGTCCCGGGAAAGATCAACCCTCGGAGAACCGTCAGGCAGTGAAGCTGATGGAACATGGAAATTCCATAGTCGGTCACTGTGTCGTTGCTCGTTTGGACTCTTAGCATGCCGCCATTTTGGGGGAGGAGCAGCGATTCCCAGGAGATGTCTGCGCTGGGGGATTGGGAGGTGTCGGGGTGGACGCCCAGCAATGGGGTGAGTGAGTGGAATTTTCGCGTGATGGGGGGACTAGGCTCGGAGGGGCTTGTCGGACAAACATGCTGCTGGAATTGTTGTGTCAGGCTGGGTATGCTTCTGTCTGAGGTGAGTACGATGCCAAGGAGAGTGAGAAGAAAAATGACTGTTGCTGATATGCTATAGAAAAAGCGCTGTGAAGAGGGCATCTTCGGTTCCTAGAACAAAGCGGATTGCTACAGGGAGAGTGAGAGAAGGCGTCAAATCATCACGTCTTCACAAATTTGCTATTACAACTGGGGGGGACTGGTTGCCTCTTCCTCGAGCTTCTTACCTCGATGTGATGGGGCATCCATCGGTGGCTCCCGGGTGCACCAGCTGAGCTGCCGTCGATGCAAGAGTGGTTACATCGTGTGACTCCTGCGAGAGAGTACATTGTACCCCTCAGTGATAACCAATCGACAACGACGTGAAAACTACAATGATATGCGACTACAGGGCTGAGTGCATCACACACCTTATTGTGCAAGGATTGACCAATCATTATCTGCTGCCATCTTATCAGGCCTCCAGTTGTGGCGCTGACGCAGGGATCGCTGATTCCACCCGCTTAGCTCGACCACAACCACACACCAACAAAGCTTACCCCGCTCCATCATCCCTTGCGCCCCCCTCATCTCGAACTGCCCCGACCACCATGATCGTCCCGGCCGGTCTCGACTATCCAATCTCCCCATCCTCTGCACCATTATCCGGGTGAGACTTGTACCAGCCAAACAGATCCTTGAACCGATGCGACATGACCCTCGCCAGCGAATCAGGTGGCTTCCGAATGGCAGCGAACGCATCCACATCCACCGAGTGCGCCTCCTGCCAGCTCAGAATGGCGTCGAAGTCGCGACACTTATGGTTCACGCTAAAATCCGGGAACGCATTCAGCTGTGCATCCGCCCAGAAGTGGGTGTAGATGTCGACGTTCGCGTTGCACATCAAATTCTGGAGCAGGATGTAGACGCAGTGCGACATGTGGGTGCGATGCATGTCCGACGGCGGAGTCCCCGGCGGCCACTTCTTACCATAGTAGTGGTCAAAGTACGTCTCGCGTCGCAGCCAATCCAGACAGTGGATTTGGTGGAAGATGTCGAGTCGGCCAATGTACGCCTGGGATCCAAATCCGAAGCTTTCTGGCCATTTCGCGGCGTCCTCGGGGTCGCGACCCAGCTTGATCACGTCATCGCGACTGATCACGATGGGGTTGATGTTGGCCAGTCGGTTCCAGGCTGCGTCGACTTCTGGACTGGGGGGCTGGCGGTAGATGGGCAGGGGGTCCGGCTCGACCAGCGTCGCATTCATCCGTTTGGTCATCAGTGGGATGTCCAGTTGGTCGAAGATGGGGGCTGGATTGGTTAGTCTCGAAGCGAGAGAGGGGGTGTACTGACAGTATTCAGATGTTTTCCGTAACAGTTGGTTTGTGTCGGTTGTGCCCCGGACGATGCTGGCAGTCATGGCAAAAAGAAACAGGGACAACCCGAACAGGGTGGCATTCAACCAGAGGAACAGATGGTGTCGGCTATAGCAACTTTTGGATTGCTTGAAGGACTCTGTTGGCAATACCTCATTTTCACTTGATGAATCTCCTGGGATGCCATCGAGCACAGCGTCCCGGGTACCCAGTGGTTCATATGTTGGAGACAAGCCCGACTTCATCTTCAAGTCTCTGTACAGACCCAGTGAGGAAGGGATACTGAGGAGATTTTGAGAGCCAAAGCAGCGGGGGTAAAATATCTTCGTTCCCTAGCGGTATTCTGATCAGCTGAGAAGGGATCCTCGGAGTCGTTTGCATCCCCCCTCGACAACGCATTAGTGCGAGCAGTTTCGCCATCCGCAAATACCGCTCTACTGGTGGTCTGGACATCATTTCCTATTCCAATGGCACGCAGCACCTCCTGCAGTCTCATCACGGTGACACCAAGGCCTCCCAGGTGTCGGAACTGCCGGATATGCTGCTCCATGTATCACAAGGGGTGATCACATCGGGGTCTATCAATGGGCTAGATGGGCGAAGGTATGGCCCAGGCTCATCCCTACACATAAATACCCTTCCACGTCTTTGTCCCTCTTTCACCAGACACCCCTCATCCTACCAACTCATTTACTTGGATCAAAAGGTGCCAGCTCACTATGAAGTATTCATTCCTCCTCACGGCCAGCTTCGGCCTCCTGATGGGCCCCATGGTGGCCTCCGCACCTACCGCGAAGCGTATGCCCACCCTTACACTCCAGCTTTCAACTGAACTCACATTGACTGACCATTTGTATTCTCCAGCTGCCGTGATGACGCTGAGAGTCAGAACAGAAGACCTGAACGCTCTTCGAGCCAAGAGAGGCGACGACGCCACGGCTCTCTATGCGTACATTGCAGCCGACTCCGAACTCGACAAGCGTGACGAGGAAGCCACTGCGCTGTATGCCTACATTGCGGCCGATTCTGAACTTGACAAGAAGAAGCGTGATGAAGACGCCACCGCATTGTATGCTTACATCGCTGCCGACTCGGAGCTCGACAAACGCGACGAGGAAGCTACAGCACTGTATGCGTACATTGTTGAGGACTCCGAGTTGAACAAGAAACGGGATGAAGAGGCGACAGCGTTGTATGCGTACATTGCGGCGGATAGTGAGTAGGATGACTGAGTACGCTATCATTCGGGCGGGAATGGATGTGCGAGGGTAGCAAGTATTAGCTTTTTTCGAGGCAGTCTGCACACCGTAACAGAACCTATCATTTGGGCTATCGAGGTGTGGAAAGGGTATTTTAAGTATTGTCTTTCACGTGCCATTACCAGTTTACTTGCTCAGCACATCACGTCGTATTTAATCATATAATTATTATCATCTAGTCATCGCCCATAACCCGACGTAGGGCAGTCTCCAACAACACTCCCTCATCCCCACAAAATGTTCCACCGCGACCATTTACTCGTCCGAATGGGCACATTATCCGGATCACTCCTGGACTCATGCAACGCTTGCTCCAAGGGCATCTCATACACCGAGACCAGCTCCGTCTTTTTCCAGAATTTATACCCGAAATAGAAAGCCAAGACGAGAGGAATATCCCTACACCATTAGCACATCACCCCTCACCACTGGTATCAGGGTACTCACAAATACGAGGACACAAAATACGACGCGTCCCAACTGCCATGGGTAAAGACCGGAAACCCACCCGTGAACAGCACAATCACGCACATCACCAGCGCAAAATACGATGAATACACTGCATGTCTGTCAGCCAAACCCACACCATCCCTTCCACTCCACCAAGAAAAACACCTACCCGACCACCAATTATGCCACGGCATCTCACTCTCCGCCAACCCCTGCGCCTTAAACCCCCTCATCAAGCGAATATGATTCAAAGCAATCGTCCCCCACGACACCAACACCCCGGCGGCCGTCAAATCCAACAACCAATTAAACACGGTATACGCGCCATTCGAGCACGCCAGATACGCCAAACACGAGACGGCAATCTGCAACGCCGCACACATATACGGCACGCCGTGCTTGGTCGTCCGGAGAAATATCCCCGGGGCGTGGCCCTTCAGGGCCAGACCGTATAACGTGCGCGTTCCGGACAGGATACTTTGATTGGAGGAGGACCAGGCGGAGGTAAGCACGACGGCGTTGATGATCGATGGGACGACGTTGATGCCCGCATCTACGGCGGCAATCACGAAGGGACTCTGCGTGGCGGTGCCGGTTTCATCCCCCAAGCGGGGGTCGTTGCTCGGGACGATCATCCCGACGATGAGCACGGCGATGAAGTAGAAGATGGTGACTCGGGCGAAGACCCGTTTACAGGCTCGGGGGATGTTTTGCCGCGGGTTCTCCATCTCCGCGGCCGCCATGGTGAGACTTTCCACCCCCGAGAACGAGTACACGGCGTTGGTCATGACGGCCCAGAAACCGAGGAATCGGCCCCAGGATCCCGAGGCGATGTATTCGACGAATGGGCCCGGGTCTTTCCAGTAGTGGAAGCCGAGACGCGGGGTCCCCGCGACACCACCGAGGTCGATGACGAGTCCCATGAGGATGATCCCGATGATGAGGAGGATTTTGAGGATGGCGAAGGTGAATTCGAGTTCGCCGTAGACGCGAATGAAGAGGAGGGAGACGACGGCGGAGAGGACGATCAGGATGGTGATCCAGATGGCGGTGTTGAGGGTCGTCCAGTATTGGATTAGCACGACGGCGGCGGAGATCTCGCTGGGGACGGACATGAAGCAGCCGTAGACGACGTTCCAGCCGATGGCGAAGCCGAGGGCCGGATCGACCAGGATCTCGACGTGGCGGACGAAGGACCCGGTGACGGGCATGAGGGCCGATACTTCCCCGAGAGCGATCTGGACGGCGCAGACGACCAGCCCGATGAGGGCGTAGCCGAGGAGAGCCCCGAGCGGGCCGCCCGTTTGGATGGCGCTGCCGAGCCCTAGGAAGAGGCCGGTGCCCTGGGTTACACGGGGGGAGTCAATCATCACATCTCAATCTCATCACATTTTGTGATCGCCGGGGGAAGTGCCGAGGTGGGAGGGACTCACGATGGCGCCTGCGATGGCGATCATCTGGGTATGACGCTGCTGTAGACCCTTGCGCAGATTCTGGGCCTCTTCATCCTGGACGATGCGCGGCGTGCGATCGCCGACTTTGGCCAGAGCGGGGCCGGTCTCGGGGGTGGCCGCGAGGGCGACCTCGGGGCCCTTTCGGATGGAATCGATGCCATCCATGACGCTGACCGAAATTGAGGCACGAGCGAGAAGAAAAAGCAAGAAGCAGTGCGAGGGGGGAGGACTGGCGATCGCGGCTTTAAGCAGACGATGTCGGACATCCATTGTCGGGCGGTGATTGGCTCGATAGGCCGGGCGCGGTCGGCGGCGATGGCGACATTCCTTCGCTCTGTTGCTCTTCACCGAACACCATCCATGGCGGCGGGATTGATCCAGTGGAATCTTTCCTGGAAAATTGTCTCAAGTATCTGCGCGAGGTTGAAATTGCGAGAATCCTACCCTCAGCTGTCGAGATCGGGATCGAATAACCTTGTCGTGGCCAGCAGGTCCCGACTTGGCACGGTCGCATGCACTGGCGCATGCTTGCTTTTTGCGCGGTGGCATTATTCCTGCATGCAGGCACTAGTTTGGAGCTTGCGTAATTGCTGAAGAGCAAAGATGAAAGCATGCCTCATCGGTTCTAGATTATCTACCTAGCAGCTGGCGGGTTGGACTGGCGCGCCGCCGTCCGCCACTTAGGGCTGCCAAGAAAGGGAAATAGATTGCTGACTCTCCACAACGGGGCAATTCAGCAGGATGCTAGTAAGGGGAGCAGAATGGGAGAGCTTACTGCACATTGACTATTCAGTCACAAGATACTGATTCACTGCATAGCCTCTGTCAGGATAGAACTGTGCAGGATGTGGCACCTCACCATTACAGACACAGTAAATTCACAGCAAGATGCACTGAAATATATAAAAAGGGCTCGGAGAAACCATGATCGCCATGAGATTCAATCATCATTGCTACCAGACGGGTAAGTAAACAGCTGCATCTCTAACCATACATCATACGCCATAACCATAATTCAATAACAGCCCCCCCAAACCGGTACTCCGACGGGACTCATAAGATCATGTCCCAGTCTCATCGAGACTATCTCTAGTCATGCTTTTCACTCGATGGACAGCCCCAGGTCCAAATCATCCAGCTCGTTCATATCCGCCAGGGCCGCGGCCTCGGCGGCCTCCGCATCCGACGCCTGCTTCATAGCGATCTGCTGCGCCTGTTCCTCCGGCGACATGGCCGCAAAGGCCGCCGTGTTGGCATCCCACTCCGCCACACATTGTTTGTTCCAATTGCACTGCTCCACCTCGCCGTACACCGGGTGGTTGTATCGCGGGTGGTTGTTCGGCCACCCGGACGCATGGTAGTGATGCTTCACCAGCGCCGAGCGCGCATTGTGGTTGCCCGAGTCGGAATGCCCCTGGCCGGCGGCAAACGCCTCCACGGTGAGGACCAGAATCCCGCCCACCAGCTTGGACTCGGGAATGTCGTGGAAGGTTTTCCACGTCACCTCTTGGCCGGTCCGGTAGCTCATCTCCGCCAGGACGGCGCCCGTAAAGGCCGATGGGCCGGTGCCGCTGATGATGTCGTCAAAGTCGAGCTCGAGGTCAGAAATGGGCTTGCCCTGCTTGACGGAGTGGTCGTGCAGCCACTCGAGGATGTGGTCCACCAGTCGCATCATCACGGGCTGGCGGGGCTTGCTGATGAAGGTCCACTGGCAGAAGGACTGCGACTTCTGGCCGAGAATCGCATGGTCGTTGAAATCGGGTTCGTCGATTTCCACCCCGATGATCAGGTCCATGTCTTGTTCGTCGTAGCGCTCCGGGATGAACCGCTCTAAAGGCCGGAGGGCTTCGACGTCAATGTCGGCGTACACGCCACCATCCACGTACATGACGAGGTAGCGGAGCAGGTCGGCCTTGATAATTTTCGCCGTGAGGGAGCGGTAGGTGTCGACGATATCCGGGCGATTGAAGCCATCGGGCCCGAAATTCGTCTCGACGTAGTGCAGGTCGTTCTGGTCGGTGAGCACCTCGTAGCGGTAGCCCGGGTTGATGGAGGTCCAGCTCCGGGCCACGGTCAAGTCGCGCTCTTCAAACTCAAACGGATTGACCTTCCACGACTGCCAGATCTTGCGGGGAAAGAATTTGCACTTGCTGGGGGTCCGCGGCAGGCCACCGCGCAGCTCCCCAAAGGTGCCGGTAATGGAGAGATAGAAGACCAGACAAAAGACGGCCAGAAACACCGGAACCACCCGGCGAACGTGTCGGGGGAGGCAGACGCCGGGCATGGGAGTCTTCATCTGCATGGTCACGGCTGAACCCAGGAGGGGAGGAGGGGGGTCAGGGTCAGGGTCAGGTCAGGGTCAGATCGGGGGCGCCAGACGAGCATGTTTATGAGCCCGGCCGCACCGCCAGCTCTCCCCGCAGCACCTACGGCCGGGATTCAGAGGATTCAGAGCATCCAGGGCAATTCAGGGCAATGGGTCCGCGGGCCAGATTACGAGCTCCACCGGCGTGCGTGCACTACGCGTCTTAGCTTCACTAGGGTCCGACTCGCGGGCCCCGAGCAGCCGTGCCTGACAAGACGATTGGGTCGAGGCTTATCTCACGCCCGACGATCCATTGCGAAATCCTGGGGTGAAGGCAAGTAGCCTCGGGTGGCGGGCTCCAGTGTGCTCCGGATGGGCAATGTCCCCGATGCATGTGCTTCTGGCCAGGAAATTGACGAGCTGAACCAGGGCCGCCGATCTGGCCCCATCGGAGTTCGGGCAATCTGGCCGCGGTCAGTCCTTTCCCTCAAATATCGCCGCTCAGCAGCCGGTGTGAGACAGTGGGAATCCGTCCTGACGACGCGTTAGCCGACTCGTCACGATGCCCGTTCGCTCTCTGTCCCCAGCCCTTGACAAACCCGCGCTGCCCCTCGCGGGGGGGCCCTCAGCCAAAACCCGCTGGTTTGACCTGCTGTTGCCTTCCTTTCTGGCCCGGTCCGAAAAAAATCCGGCCTCGGGGAAGGCCCGGCGCACGGCGTATTTGGATGGGTTGCGTGGGTTTGCGGCCTTCCTGGTGTATTGGGGGCACCATGAGTTGTGGGCGCACGATGGCATGGGCGCCGAGCGCATCTTCGAAAATGCGTATGGGTATGAGAAGCAGCACTACCTGGTGGCCTTTCCGGGGGTGCGCACCTTCTTCTCCGGGGGTCACTTTGCCGTTAGTGTCTTTTTTGTGCTGTCCGGATATGTGTTGTCCGCCAAACCGCTGGCGCTGATCCAGGCGAGCGAATATCTTCAGTTGGGGGACAATCTGGCCTCTGCCCTCTTCCGCCGGTGGTTGCGACTCCACCTCCCCGTCATCGCCACGACCCTGGTCTACATGACCTTTCTCCATCTGTTCCGCATCCGAGCGACCCCCGAGTTGAAGGACAGCTACGGCGCCGAGCTGTGGAACTGGTATACCGAGTTCAAGAACTTCAGCTTCATCTTCCGCGGCGGCGGCGAGCCCTGGTTCACGTATAACTTCCACTCGTGGTCGATCCCGGTCGAATTCCGCGGATCCATCATCGTCTACACCGCCCTGCTGGCGTTCTCCCGATGTCGGCGCAACATGCGCCTGTGGGGGGAGGTCGGATTGATCGTCTACTTTCTCTACATCGCCGACGGCTGGTTTGGGGCGCTGTTCATCGCCGGCATGCTGCTCTGCGACCTGGATCTCCTGGCGGCGCGGGATAACCTCCCCGATGTCTTCCTCATGCTGGAACCGTTCCAGGAGGGCATCATCTACGTGCTGTTCTGCGTCAGTATTTACCTGGGGGGGGTCCCGTCGCGAACGTGGGACGTCCAGGTGCTCCGGGAATCGCCGGGGTGGTACTATCTGTCCTTCCTGAAGCCCCAGGCGGTGTTCGACTACAAGTGGTTCTATCTGTTCTGGGCGGCGACCTTCCTGGTGACGGCCATTGCGCGGATGCCCTGGCTGAAGCGGTTCTTCGAGACGTCCTTCAACCAGTACCTGGGCCGGATCTCGTTCGCGTTCTACCTGGTGCATGGGCCGGTGCTGTGGGTGTTGGGGGACCGGCTGTACGCGGCGGTGGGCTGGGTGCGCGAGTCGCATGCGACCAATTGTCCCGGCTGGGTCGATCGATTGCCGCTTCCCCGCACGGGACCGCTGGGGCTGGAGGTCAGCTTCCTGGCGACCCAACTGATCCTGTTGCCGACGACGCTGTGGTTGGCGGAAATCGTCACCAAGGTGATCGATGAGCCGAGTGTGCGGTTGGCGCAGTGGCTGTACCGACGGGCGATGACGTGTAGCTAAAGAGGATAACCAGGTGTCTCCGAAATGAATGTCTCAGTTTTGCTTTCTGGCTGTAAATGGTTTCTTTTGTTCATTTGTTGGGCCCTGCGCAGGGGCCGCTGCTCATCACCGTGATGGATGCCACTAAGGCGTTAGTCGTCACTAGCAGCTTGATAGCGCCGCGCCGTCGACAGCCGGAGCCACTGATGCCTGAGCCCCTGGCGGGTGAGCTTTTTTCACGGCGGGGACTGTCCACGGTCCAGAGAAGAAGAAGAGTCACATGCTGCATCGAGGCCAACCGTGGGATCGACATGAGTCTCTCCCCTGGGTCAACCTCGGATGCAACCCTAATTAATCTGCCCCGTCCCGGCAACCTGACAAAACTCTGGACGCCCGGGGGCTCCCACAGCGTCCCCCAACCATGCTCATGCTTGCCCGGTGGCTGCGCCTCGTGCCTCTCGTGGGCCTGCTCCTGCTGACCCTCGTCACTTTCCACTACCTCTACCGCGCCATCACCGTGGAGGCCCAATCCGAGCTCCCCGTCGACCTCGATCCCCTCACTCTCATCCCCGACACGGCCATCTCCCAGGCCATCGCCCACACGCATCACGAAATCGCCTCCCTCTCCACCCCCGATCGTCGATACTTCCACATCGACTTTGGCGCCCACCGCGCCATCAACCCCAGCATCATCCCGCACCCCGTCCGTCCAGACACCTGGATCATCACCGCCCAGCTTCACGAAAACCGCACCGCCGACCGCGACTCCGTCTGGTTCGCCGAACTCGTCTGCAACGCCGTCTTCCAAGACCATGGCCGGACCCTCCGCTGCGTCCAACCCCCGTTCATCCTCCCCATCGCCGCGACCGACGGGGACAATGCCTTGTGCGCGGGGGACCTGGCCTTTTTCGCCATGAGCATCGGACCGCACGATGCCCGCGTCTTCTACGGCCCCGAGGCCCCCTACACCATCTACGGCTCCAACAGCGCCGTGACCTGCTTCGGACAATGGATCCTCGACTTTCGCGTCCTGGTCGACTGGCCGGCCCGGGAGGTGGTCATCGAGCAGGGCTTCCGCCGGGCTACGGAGCTGCAGCGTCCGTTCCTGGCCCCGTACCTCGCCGTCGAAAAGAACTGGTTCGTGTTCTGGGATCTCGACGGCGCACCTTACGTCCATTACGACGTGGCGCCCACGCGGGCCTTTGCCGCGCTGGCTGCCGACGGGTCTGTCGGACCGGACCTTGCCCCGGCAGCTGCTGCTGCTGCAGACGAGCAATGTCTCCAACAATACCTCCCGACGCTGCAAGACCCGGACCACGAATCCATCCACCAAGCGACGAATTCCCTCGCCGTGACGTTGTGTAAACGGGCAGATCCCCTCTGCCACCCGACCGACTCCAACACGGTCATTCTCACCATCTTCCAACATAAAAGCTTCGTGGCGTTTCACAGCGTCTACGAACCCTACGTGATGCTCTTCCGACAACGAGCACCATTCGAGATTTACGGCATTTCCACGAAGCCGGTGTGGATTCGCGGACGGGGAATGGAGGTAATCGAAAGTGAGGACGGGGATGGTGCGGGGATGAATCAGACGGAGATGATGTATATCACCTCGATCGGGTGGAAGGAGCACGGATTGAAGTATCATGGGTATTTGGATGATGTGATGTTTTTGGCGTTTGGGCGGGAGGATCGGGATACGGCGGGGGTGGATGTGTTAGTGGAGGAGTTGGTGAGGGGGGTGGGGAGGTGTGGGGAGTGATTGATGTATTTTCTGTTGTGACGATTATGATGAAGGTGTAGAGCAGTATGATCGTACTATTTTTTGATAACAGATTGTCTGGGTAGTTAGTATGCGTATCAACTCATCTCCTAGTCATCTAGTAAGCATGCAGCTCGGCACGAATGCGATATCAAGGACATAATTCCCCAATCCAGCCCTCTATCACCTCCCTCAACCCCAAACCACCCTAACACCAACAGTAATCTCCGACCCTCATCAAACTACCACGAGCCCCGACCAGGGTATATATTATATTATATATATATATATATGACTCACCTCCCAAACAGGCAACCCGCACGCAACCCGCACCGTCAGCGCTAACCACCTACCCAGTACCCATGCTCATGTCCGCGGGTCGACACTAGTCTACGTAGTCTAGTCTAGTCCAGACGAAGCGGAGTGTCTCGGCTGCAGCTGCAGTGCAGTGCAGTGCAGCTTGCTTGACAGAAGCTTTGACTTTGGCATGTGATGCGGCTTGGTGGACGGGGTCATCTCCGAGGGATGTGCGTGCATACCATCATCGCTGTTTGTTTGCTTGTCCACTGGATTTGATTCAGTTTTGGTTCGTCTGGGTTGGTTAGTTGGTTGGTGGGTGTCGCTCGCCCCGGATATTACCTCCTCGGAGGTTACCCCGCTTTTTCTTATGATCCTGTTCATCGGATCAGGGAGTTGTTGGAGTTGGTGGTTAGCTGATGGTGCAGGAATCGAGGGGAGGGAAATGATCGGTTAGTACGGGTCAAGAACGCGCTATCTATCTAGTGTCTACTGTCGACTTTCTAGGGTGGGAGGTATCCAGGTATCCACTGCGGTCCGGAGATTGCACTCGGGGATTTAGGCATGGATGCATTAGTTTATTCAGCTGAGATTGTAGACCGTTGAGGAGGGAGGCTAGTGGCCTGGAAGGGGTTGAGTGGAATGAGGCAATTGGGGTATTGGAGTTGATTGCTTTCTGCCCGGGACGGTCTGATTGGTTTGGAATAGAAGAAATGGGAAAAGAGGGGAAGGGCCGATGTAGGTAATTGAACTCGGGGAGTACAGCGGTCGAGGTGATTTTGAAGTTGCATATATAAAAGGTGAGAAATGATATGGGGCCTACTCATTTGTTTCGCTCAGTACTCTGTAAGATCCATGCGGGAAACTCATGATGGAGTCCCTTGCGACCATAGAAAGTCCCACAATTCTATACCTGCACATAGGTGTCTATCATTTATCTCACATTAATTGCGATTTCGCCGCTGATTCATTGACGATTGCACCATACGATTTCTCTGGTTTGGTTTCGGCTTCCGCTCTTCGCTTGTGCTGTTCCTTGCACGGCCGAGAAAATATATCGTGAGCAGCCCTATTGTCACGATCCGCTCTAGTTGCTACTAACTAGGCTATCTGGCAAAAGACTAGAACTCTAAGCCACTTGCTTAAAGTGCGCATCCCTTATAAACCCCATTCACGCAAGAGGTGAGTCATGTGAGGGGCTGAAGCCTCACACCTATCCATTAGTTCAATGATGTTCAACACCCCACGGCGTAACAGGCCTTGAGACGGATTGTCAACTGATGAAGCACCCACCATATTTGCACTTGGTCAAATAATGTTGAGTTTCAAGAGTTGTCCTGCTGGATTGAGGCGACGATGATACATAACGTGCATAGTAGCACATTACTAATCCAGCATGTATGCACAACACGGAAACAAAAATCTTTTTTTCCAAGGACAAAATTACAATGCTGGCCAACAAGGGCAACTGCGATAACCTGGACGAGTCCCGGTTCCTTCACTGACTGTGGTACCTGTATGTCAGGCTGTGGAGGACATTTCAGAAGGGGCAGCAACTGAAATGTTCTCGCACGTCGAATCCGATGAGGGGAGGGAGGCTGGGCCGTCAACCGGGCGCCCTCACCGGGAATCGAACCTGCGCATACTGCCGTCACCGGTCGAGCGAAGAGACACCTCGCCACTGAGCTATTAGGCAATTGCTGGTTAAAAAGAGAGATTCGCACGGGGTTTTATGCTGTGTTTTGTGAGAGATGTGCACCACACAGCGGGTGATTGGAGATAGAAAAAAGAGACTGCATCATCCGTGAATCGAACACGGGCCTCATCGATGGCAACGATGAATTCTACCACTAGACCAATGATGCGGATGCTTTTTCGACAATTTATTGCTATATAAGGAGGCCGCCAACCATTACTGCTTAATTCTCTGCTCGCCTTTAATCAATGCACAACACCCCCCACATACAAAAATCTAGTACCCCAATCCCAAAGGATAAAAAAATACAACTACAACAACCATCCCATGATGCTCATGCTCATATTCAGGCGGAGAGATACTAGAGACTTCTCAATCGTATATTCGGAGTCTGGCTTTGCCTTTCTTCTCACTTGGTTTGTATTTCCCCCTCAGTGGTGCAGGGAGGGCATGTCCATCCTCCCTGCGGTGTCTAACTCACTGGGGATCGAACCTGTATACGGCTGTCTTGGGTCGGAAAGATGGGTATGGTTCATCGGGTGTTTAATGGGCCTGGTGGTCATATAGAAAATTACGATCTACGGAGTACTTTGCGACACTTGTCTAGTATACAGCTAGGATCTATAACAGCGTACGATTCCGTACATTGGTCACTTGCATCTACCCATAGCCCCAGACATGCTTCTACCAGAGGGATCTATATCCACTTCTCAACCAAGCCACTCCCCCACCCATTTCTCAACCCACTCCGCCTGTACCGCCTCCACCCCGCGCAACCGCTCACTCAACCCCTCCGTCCCCGTCGTATCAAGAACATTCTCCCGCCCCGTCTGCGCCATAATCCCCTCAAAAAACTCCAACAACTTCCCCGCCGGATTCCGCGCCAGCACCGCCTGCAGTTCCCCCTCGGACAACTTCGGCCCCGCACCGACGGTCTCGATATCCGACCGCACGCGCTGCACCCATTCCCGGAAGGGGACCGTCGCGATCGTCGTCCCGGATCCCTTGGACAGGGCGGCTGATACCACCGGTCGGATGGTCTCCCAGGTGAGGGGGTGGAGGTTCACGGGGTGGTATACGTTCACTGCTCCCTCCGCTGGTTTGTGGTCATCCAGTGCCAACTCGACGAGCACCTCAGCCAACAAATCAATCGGGATCCAATCGATGCGATCGAGGGCCGGACCGAACGTATCCGGTAGGGCACCGACGTGGAGCGAGCTGAGGACGAGACTCGGGAACCACTCCGCCTTGTTCCAGAGCCCCGGGGAACGCACGGCCCCGGCCACCTGCCCCACGCGCGCGAACGAAGCACGGATGTGGCTCTGGCGGGCGGCGTGGTCGAGGAGGTGTTCGGCGAGGTACTTGCTCTCTGCGTAGCCGTTGGGAGCGGGGGTGGTGGTCTGGATGACGGTCTCCGGGGTGAGTCCGGAGTCGGTGCGGTGGCCCATGGTGGAGCTGATGGAGGAGATGAAGAAGAGGTGCGGGGAGTGGGTGGCCTGGGCGCTGAAGTTGATGAGGTTGATGACGCTGGCGAGGTTGGGTTTGAAGGAGGGGAGGGAGAGGTTGAAGTTGACGGCCCAGGCGTTGTGGATGATGAGGGTGGTGGTGGTTTGTAGGGTTTGGAGGATGTCGGATGGGAGGTTGAAGTCGGGCTGGGAGAGGTCGGCGGTCCAGAAGCTGATGCGAGAGAGATCTCGGTTCAAGGAGTAGGCCGCGCTCTTTTGACGCTGGACGTCGGCGGCGTTGTCGTTGCGGTTCAGGCAGTGTACGTGGGTTACCGATGGGGTTTTCAGGAGGGCGTTGAGGATGTAGGTGCCTAGGTTACCGGTGGAGCCGGTGAGGATGACGGTGTGGGAGGTGGGCACAGAGGGGCTGGTGGGTTCGTGGGAGGTGATTTGCGCCGTGAACTCCTGGAGCAGCTGGTCGCGCTGTTGCAGCTGGGCTTGCTTCGTGGCCTCGGCCGACGCCTCCTGGTGTTGCTGCGTGCGCCGCACCGCCTCGGTCAGTTCGGTCACACTGGGATGGAGATAGATCAGGTTCGGGCTGAATTCCGGCAGAGCAAGGCCTCGTCGGAATGTCCGCGTGGCGGTGATCGCCTGCAGAGAGTCCAGACCGAGATGGAAGAAATTCTCCGTGTCGGTGAGCTGGTCCGGGTTCCAGCCCGTAATCTCCATCAGCGACTGTCGGATATAATCCGAGAGAACCTGAGGATCATCCACACGGCCGGGACCAGACGCTTCACTGTCGACCTGCGTCAATTGATCCGCATCGGCATACAGGGCATCCAGCTCGGGCCCATACAGGACCAAGGTACCAGCTCGTTGAATGGTGCCCTTGCCCGCGCGCAGCATCGGCTTGTCGGGCTTGGTGAACAAGATATGGGTCTTGGCGACGCGCGCATGGGCCGGACACACCGCATTGGCCTCTTCAATGCTGGGCCAGAGTTTCTCGATCATGGCGGCGCGTTCGGTCGCATTCAAGTCCTTGTCGCCCAGCTCCACCAGCAACGAGGCCTGGAAGCGGCGCGCGCCGGCCACCAACGCGGCCGTGACCTCCGGGTTAGATGCGGCAATGTGTTGCTCCATCGACACCGGGTTGGTCTTCTCGCCATTGAGAAACACAATCACATCGTCGGCCCGGGCACTCCAGCGCCACAGATCGGGCTTGTTCGGGTCGGGATGCCGAACAAACAGATCACTGGTATGATACTCCTGTCGATCCGGGAAGACAGTAAACGAGAACTGGTGGGCTTCGAACTCGGGGTTGCGGACCACGACGAGCTCGTACTCCCCGTCGGCGACGTGGCGCAGCTCAGCGCCCATCCGGGGGTTGATATTGATATACCGCCAATCTGTGCGAGGATCGCGGTTGGTTTTGGAGTGAACCGAGCTGATCATGCCTACTTCCGAGGCGCCATACAGATTCATCAGGGGGATCTTGGCTGCGACCGTGTCGCCGATGGGCTGGGGGAGATCGCCTCCACAATACACCAAGCGCTCCATGTGCTGGCTGCAGTAGTCGAGCAGCTCGGGGCTTTGTGATAGTTCCTGGATGATGGATGGCACGCCGAGGAGAACGTCGATGTGTGTCTTTTTTCTCGCTTCCACCAGTGCGGCGGCCGTGGGAAGCCCGGCAGATGCGGGAAAGATGACGGTTGTGCCGACGGGGATGGTGATGAATAGCGAATATGCCAGACCGGCGGCCTATCGATGATTAGATTGCATCGAGACGGATCGATTTCTTCAGGGAATCGCTTACGTGAAAAGGAGGCGGAACCAAGAAGATCCGCTTACCAAACAACCATTGGTGCTGATTTTCGAAACCCTCTGGCGGATCCAAGGCCGTCATATGCATGTGTTTGCAGGCGGTGTCATGGGTCCAGAAGATCGGCTTGGGGATGCCCGTAGACCCCGAGGTGTGTCTGTTGGTCAGGATCAAATGTATGATTGCATTGCGGGAAGTCACTTACATCACCGCCAGTGTCTCCCTGGCCGCCTCGGGATAAGTCTTGGTGAACTCGAAATGCGGATACTCCGTGTTGATCAAGTCATCCACACTGGGGACATCGAGAACGTCCAGCGTCTGTGCCTCCAGGATGGCTGTGACGGGGGGTGGACGCGGCACTGGCGCGACCAGCTTGGTGCAGTTGAGCCGTTGCAACAGGCTGCTGTGAGCGGCCACGCTGTTGCGGGGGGATGTCAGAAACATCTATTCAGATTAGTCAATATTTCCTGCTAGAGTTCAGGGAAGAGTTGCCGAGAATTCGACATCTCCTTGGTATCACTTACGCGGTATCCCGCTTTGACGGCGCCCAGCACCAAGGCCGGGTACCGGAGATCATTCGGTCCCACATAGGCCAGAATCTCGCCGTCCCCGCGGCCAAGCTTTTCCACGAGCCACCAGGCGATGCCATTGACAGCATTGGCAAATGCCTTGAACGTAATGGGTCGGTAGCCGTCCTCGTAGGTCATGAGCGACACGGGATACTCGGCGTAGATGGCCTCGGGCTTGATGGTGGCATAATGATCGACGATGTGCGGGACCAGTTGGGTCCGAGGATTGAACTCCGAGGTGTTGGTGGCGGCCATGGTAGGGAATGAGCGGGTGGTGAACCCGGAATACGGATAATCGCAATCGCTACTGGACGTGAAGCCACCATATATCAGGGGGTAAGACTCGCGGGGTCTGATATAAGCTTGGGTAGGCCACGTGATTACCTAGCCCTGGAACCTTGCTGGGCTGACAGAAACCTCCAGGCTCCAACATGCGGGTGGGTGGGACGCCCTCACAACTCACAAGATAGCCTAGGAGCGGGGTAATTGACATGAGTGGGAGGGCCAGGGCAGGGACCCTGCTAGCGGAAATGGCCTGTTATTACTAGGGTGAGGCAGAATCTAGACATCTCAAGCTATCTAGTTTCGATCTACCCCCTCAGGGCGTGCTGTCAAGTCGCGGAATGCGGCATCACACCAATAAGCAATGGACCAGCAGGTGGGCCTGGCCGTGAATTTGGGGGCCAAACAGTCCAGGCGGCTTGGACAGCACTCGTAAGCTAGCCAAGGCGCGCGATGGGTGGCCCGTCTGCACTAACAGCGCCAATCCTGGCTAACGTGGGCTAACCGTTGCTAACGCCCGGCGGCTGGGGGCTAGCGGTTTCGGGGTGAACTAGTGTCCCTGATACAAGCTCGATACACGGAAAATACACCTAAAGCGTCGGGGATCGGCAAGAGTGGTCCCGAGACGTGGCCTGACGTGAACCCGGTAGATACCCCTTGGGCCGACTGCACTCCTTCCGCTGACTGATGAAAGGATCAATACACGCATCGATGATGGGTCACTCCGGGTTACACGCTACAGATTATGATCTCTCCTACACAGGATGAAATAACGATGCGAATCGCAAGTGGCTTCGAACATAGGAAATCTAGAAACAGGACCGGCTATCAATACACAGAAAATTGGTGGTCCACGAGAATCTTCCCCGGAGCAACCTCAGGATGTGCATGGCTCCCCGCCGTCACCAGTCGCATGGCATCCTCCTCGTTGGTCGGGCCGTCTTCGGTCGAGCCAAAGCGTCCTAATTCACGCGGGGGCAGGCGGCACAGGCCAGGCAGGCATCCAGATCGCTCAGTACCTCGGGGCTAAGGTCTATACCACCGTAAGCACCAGGGAAAAGAAACAGTTCCTCATCGATGAGTACAAAGTCCCCGCCGATCGCATCTTCTACAGCCGCGATACCAGCTTTGCCCGGGATGTCATGAAAACTACCCACGGCCGGGGCATCGATGTGGTCATCAATATTCTGGGTGGAGAGATCCAGCAAGCTTCCTGGGACTGTGTGGCCCCTTATGGTCTGGTGATACAGCTCGGCAGTCCATCCAACGCCAGTCTTTCTTTCGCCCAGTCGGGCAAACAAACATCTTTCACGCACTTTGACAGTGCGCGGTGGATGCGTGATCGACCAGAAGCTGCCAAGGAGGCTGTTGAGACGGCGTTGAGTCTCCTGGCTGATAACAAGCTTCGCGTTCAGTCCCCTTGCCAGGTCGAAGATGCAAGCTCCGTTGAAGAGAAATTCCGCTCGCTGCAGGATGGGGTTGCCATGGGCAAGACAGTCATCGACCTGACGGCCATGGTTGAGGTACCCACGGTGTTAGACACCAAGGTCCAGTTTCAGCTCGATTCCAACGCGACCTACATCATTGCTGGCGGGCTTGGGGGCCTGGGTCGGTCGATAGCTCGATGGATGGTTGACCGAGGAGCACGCCATCTGGTTCTGCTGGGACGATCGGGAGCCAAAACCAAGGCTGCACTGGAACTCATAGATGAACTGGCTCGACAGGGGGCATGTGTCCATGCTCCCCCGTGCGATGTCATGGATGCGGCATCCGTGAAGCAGGTCATGGAAGATGTATCCCAGACGATGCCTCCGATCAAAGGTTGCGTGCAGGGATCGATGGTCCTGCGGGATCAAATGTTCAGCGAGATGAGCCATGAGGATTGGCGGGTGTCCGTTGAATGCAAGGCCCTCGGGTCGTGGAATCTGGAAATGAACCTCCCCAGGGATTTGGACTTCTTTGTCATGCTGTCCTCCGCCAGTAACATCATCGGACTGACGGGGCAGTCCAACTACGCGGCAGGAAATTCTTACATGGATAGCCTCGCACGCTATCGCGTGGCTCACGGTCAGAAAGCCATATCGCTGGATCTCGGCCCCATGGTCGACGACGGTATCCTCGTCGAGACTGCCGGGTTCCTCGACAAGGTGCTGGGATATGGATCCCTGGCCCCCGTCACCCGCGCACAATTCTATGGGATTTTCGACCATTACTGCAACCCCAATCAGCCGCTCCTGACCCCCGACACGGCACAGCTGGTCTTTGGTATTTCCGGATCGACGGGTGACGGGCCTCGCGGAAACACGCTGGCCGAGCACCCCCTGTTTTCTCGACTACAGCTCGACAACATCACTGGGGCCGCGGGTGTGCCGGGCCATGATCAGATCGATTTCAAAAGGCTCTTTCAGGAGGCGTCCTCCCTCCAAGAGGGACGTGACATTGTGCGTCGCGCCGTCATCGACAAGATGGTCCACTCGTATCGTCTGATTCCGGAAGATGCGGTGGTGGATGTTTACGCGCCGCTGCATACCTTCCGAGTCGATTCCCTGTTGGCGGTCGAACTCTGCAATTGGATCGGGAAGGAGTTCGCGGCGGATGTGGCGGTTCTGGAGGTTATGGGGGGTGCCACCTTGGCCATGTTGGATCTGCTGGTGGCGACGAAGAGTCAGCTCAGTCACCCACAGTGGGCTTGAAGACATACTGAATTACGCCTGGGCAAGTATCATCGGAGATCCAACTCAGTGCAAGGTATAAGCCAAGACTAGAAGACGGCGAGGGGCAGACCGTAATGAGTATAGGAATGAAATGAATAATGATCAACTCCTGAAAGCATACGCTATGCAACAGTAATGAATATTGAAGTACCTGTGCTATTCGGTGTCTGTAGTGAAGTTCTACCTGACTTCCCCTCGGTGCTCTTGGGCTTAGTTGCATAGCAATACTGCTTTTGCTCGCGCTCGTGGCTTTGGTAGTCGTCTCATGATCCACGTTGGTGCACTTTGCCACCGCGTTGGCCACTCCCTTGATGTGATACGTGGATCCGATACACTGGTACCTCTCATTCATCTACCTGCCGTCTGTGATTCCATTTATCAGACAGGTGCTGTGAGCAGATGACCGAGATCACTTACTACCAGAATAAACTCCGCCAGACACCAACAGATATTTGTACAGCGTTGTGCTGGAGGTGAAGAGTTGCTGTTGCCATGTGCTACTCTTCCTCGTTTCCTTTCACGTCCTCAATCTTTTGGCTTGTTTTATTGTATTACCTCTATCCCTGTACAGGTCTTGCCGTTGCGGTTTACGTCCTTGAAACGCATGCTGCGGCCTGAGAGGCCGTCATTGATTATCGGAGAGGCCGCCGGAGTCTCAGATTAGCCTATGAGGACTTCAATCTGTTGTTGTCTGGTCTCTAGGCCCAAATAAAGCAGGGGTTCTGACTCTGTGGCGCACGGTTTCTTTGTTGGGCCGGTCGGGATGGAAGCCTTGTCCGCGAACGAGGACGCGAACATAACGCCCCTTAGCCAACACCTAGAAGGTTTTAGCGTGAGACCCAAACGCTCGAAGGTAGTAATGTCGAACTGAAGAGCTCATGTTGGAGGCCTCGGTGAGACGTGCGGGAGGAAGAGCTCTCGGATGAGGCCGAGCTGGACCCTGTCGGCTGAGTTGATCTGGCCCCCGTCGATCGGTCGATCCGGACCACAGCCGAAGCACGCTACCTGGCAGTACTAGTACCAGCTTGTGACCCCCCACAAGCTTATATCAGACGCGCCTCCATTCCTTTTCAAACACCTGTCCTCTCCTTCCCATCCCAGCATGGCCATCCACCCGGACTTTTTGGACCGCCCCGAAACCCGCATCATCCGGGAGCTGATCGACAACCCCAATGCCGTGCCAGCCGCGGTCGTACAGCAAATCATCCAGCTCAGCCAAATCCATGTGAATGCCGGCGATGAGGAAGAGATTAGCAGTCATGTCTACTACACTTCCACCGTGGTGGTAGAACTGACGGACCTGGTTCCTCCCTCCCAGCAAACCAAGCTCGTGGAGTTTCTCGTCCAGCTACAACGAATTCCCATCCTGGATCCCAGGACTGGCGAAGAGGCCACGGTGATCGAGGGTCTCAAACAATGGAGTGATCTCCCGTTATTTGGCGTGCATGTTTCCGATGAAATGAATCTGGGTAAGCTTACCACATCGGCAATCCGTCTATCTCCGTCCCTCTCTTGCTGCTAACTCTGTGGTCTAGATTACTGGGGGCCCCAGTCTCCTGCAAAGCTCTGAGAATGGGAGAATCGGGTGGGGTTTGTGGCCCAGGTCACGACGGCGTCCGAGCCAATGTATGACTCAAGATTCATCCATGTGATGGATTTTTCGATCTATGGTCTGTATACCTTTCGGGAGGCCTTCGAAGAAGATAAGCAGGTTGAGGAACTGGTGCGGACCGCCTGCATCTGGTACATCTATGCGGGCCAGCAGATGTTGGACAACTGCCGGCATCAACGACGCTTCTATGTCAAGGATCCGCCGGACCGTGCCTTTGATCTCGATCGGTGGCAACTATGAAAGGAAGGGCTGCGGGCGGCGAGTCTGGTGCATACCGGGGAGAGCACGCAGGAAATGATTCAGCAGGCATTGACGGAGATTCACCGGGTCGAGGTTGATGGAGATGATGCCATCAGACCATAGGGAGAACCCGAGTAGTAAAGGTTATCCGATGACAGATTGCTCGAGGCGGTTGTTCGGCGAGATATAACTATATGGTCGTCTGTAGGGAAGCGATATGTGCAAGATCTTCTGGTAGCAGAAGAATACTCCCGATTCTTCGGCCTAAGAGCCCGACCAGCAAGCCATTCCACACGATCCACCAGGTTCTTGCTCATCGATACGGTATGGTCGGACATAGTAGACTTATCGATAAGCCGAATAAAGCACTGGATAGGGTCGGACGTAGAAAGCATCAGCCAGAGTAACACAGATTTAGTAGCAATGCGGTCAGGGTCACTTATATATATCCACTCTAGTGCTGGTCCCTGAAGTTGCAGTGGCGGTGAGTTGCAGCCAGATACTGAGGGAAAGCTGCTAGGCTATTCTCAAAGATTACCGCATTGGGACTAATGAGAGGATGTAGCAGTGAAAAGACGAGTTAATAAGAATCGGAGGTGATGGTGGAGTGTGGATGCTATCCAGTGATCGGAAATAAGAATGCCGACCCCGTGGGTGCTACGGTGCCTTATTGCCTTATTGCCTTATTGCCCGTCTGCCTGATAGCCTGATAGCCTGATAGCCTGGAGAGGATCAGCGATCGGGCCGAGACGTTCCGCGGGTAGCGTCAAGCTGCCGCAAGATGCACCTCCCTTCTGGCCGAGCTGCACCCCCTCTTCGAACGCGACCAAGTCTCCCCCCCACCATCCGCAGTCCAGTAATGGAGGACGCTCTCGATTCCCTGCTGGATCTTCCCCTCGATCCCTCCGAACTCCGCGACGGCGCGATTTCCGACCAGGAGTCCGACTCCGAAGGCTCCAACGAACCCATCCCCCCTCCGCCGCCTCTGCAACGCTTCCCCTCCCTCGACGCCGCCTGGCAATCGCTCCAAGGCTTCGCACAAAATAATGGTTTCGCCGTCGTGAAGCGTCGGTCGCGTCCCGATCGCCAGACTGGCGAGGTCCAGGCCGTGGATGTGTCTTGCGATCGGGGCATGGCCACCGCCAGCCATTCCACCGGCGCCCGCAAGACGCGTTCCCGCCGCATCGGCTGTCCCTTCAAGGCCGGCATTCGCTTCTACAAGACGTTTGGCGAATGGCGGCTGATCGTCCATGATCCCTCCCATAACCATGGCGGCGCCTCCGCCTCGTCCCTCCCCTCCTTTCGCCGTGCCGCATTGAAGCGCCATCACAACCAGATCGCCGCCATGCTGCATCAGAGCCTCCCGCCCCGACAGATCATCTCCATCCTCGAATTCCAAGATCCCAACACTCCTATCCGGGCCCGCGACATCTACAATCTCCGCCATCGGCTGGACTTGGGGCTGCTGGGTGGTCGCACCCCGATCGAGGGTCTGGTCGCGGCCCTGTCCGAGAATGAGTGGTGCCGGCGATATTCCGCGGAGCAGGGTGCCCACGGGCCCGCCATCTTCTGCTCCCACGTGTCGGCCGCGCAGATGCTCGCGAGGAATCCATACTTTCTCGCCCTGGATTGCTCGTTCAAGTTGGCCCGCTATAACATGTCGTTGCTCAGTATCACCGGGATCAGCGCTCGCAACCAACCCTTCTTCATCGGCTTGGGGTTCATCTCGGACAAGCGGGAGGCTTCATACCGTTTCATTTTAGAAGGGTTGGCGGAGATTTACACGCGATTGGGGCTGCCGCCCCCGCTGACGGTCCTCACGGAGAAAGACGAGAGTTTGATCAACGCCAGTCAGACCGTCTGGCCGGAGGTCAAGGTAGTGCACTGCATCACGCGGATCAACAAGGAGATCCTGAAGTATGCCAAAGTTGCCATCCATCAACACCTCCGTGCGAACCCGCCCCTGACGAATGATGGGACACCCGTCACCAATAAGGAGTACACGGACGAGGTCGACCGGCGGTGGAAGGAAATGTTGAAGTCCTGGACGGACGTGGTCTGGGCTCCCACCACGCAGGAATTCTCGGACCAATGGGCGAATTTCAAGGGTCAGTATCCAGGACCGGCCTATGAACCCCTGGTGACCTATCTGGAGACCGAATGGCTGGGGCCGGTCGTCCGCACCCGCTTTCTGCGCTGTTACACGGATACCTACACCCATTTTGGCCAGGTGGCCACCCCGCGGACGGACGCGCCCTACCGGATGATCAAGCGCGAGCTGGAGACCTCGACCAATGACATGTCCAAGGCCATCAGAACGATCGAGCGCATGCTGGTCAAGCAATATACCGAAGCGCAGCAGGAGCTCGAGGACGAGAAAAAGCGGCGGGCGACTCATCTGATGATCCCGCTGTTCCGGGACGTGTTGCAGCACGTATCGGGGCATGCGTTGAACAGGGCGTTCAAGATCCTGCGAGAATATCTGCCGGAATCGCCCTACAAGCCCCGCATCCAGCCCTGCACCGGGGTCACCACCACGACGTTCGGCGTCCCGTGTGTCCATACGATGCAGCGGTATTATGCCGTGGATACGCCGATTCCTCTCAACGAATTCCATAAGCAGTGGTACCTCTCCCAAGAGCCGGTGCCGCCGCCCGACCGGAGCCTGCTGGTCCGGGAGGTCGGCGGGGAGGCCGACGGGCAGCGGATCCCGACGATATGATCATCCTGGAATAGCTAGTCCGATGTAGAAGATTACGTTGACCGGATAGTTACTCTTTTGTAGATTCACCGGCCGTAAGGCGTACCTCAATGGTAAGGGTTTGGGCTGCCTATTGACGAACGCAGATGACCTGGTGGGGCAAGCAGCCTATATGATCGGACTGCAACTATGGTTCACCGTGAAGCTCGACCGGAACTCGTCCGGAGACCGACCGCCCTGTTTCACGTCCCGCCGCCCAGCATGCGGGCGTATGCGGCCTTGACTCGTGTCTGTCTCATGGGTGGGCCATTGGGTTTTCACGGTGCAGACTGCAGAGACTGTTGCCTACTTGCCGGCCATGTGGCCATCAAATCCTTTGCGTGGTGGCAGAGTATAGCAGCTGTCATATAGCCCTATCGGCAGACCCTTTTGGCTGCTCCGTCGGGCGGTGAAGATCGAGACCCTCGCGGCGATTAAGATGAAACCCCAGTTCCATTAGCCAGGGGTCCACGCCCCATCAGGGTCTCACTTTCATCTGCGCTGCCAGTGGAGGCCTCTCCAGGGTTGGCTCTATATATCCCCCTCACCCACCATGTTTAAAACAGCAGCCGACACATTCTTTACTGACAGCTGACCAACTACCCCATCATGCGTGGGTCTTTCGCTCTTTCTTTGCTCTCCGCGGCGCTGGGCGCCTCTGCTGCTCTTACTGAGGCCAATCTCAAAACCCATGTTGACGTGCTGGCACTCAACAGCTCTTTCAACCCCGTCAAGGCTGCCTACTGGACCGGCTATCCTCACCACCGTCGTACTCCATTTGCTGTCTCCCCTGATGGATCGACTGCATACCTCGCCTACCTGGACGCCAGCGGGACTGACGTGCACGTCGAGCAGCTCGACCCTACCACCTTTGAGGCCACGGGCACCACCGTCACTGTCAGCGGTGGCCAGGAAGGTACGTACAGTGTCAATGTGTCATGATGTCTAGCCCCCCATTAACAATGTCAGCTGGTGGTCTCATCGCCCACAATGATGGCTTCGCTCTGTTGACCAACGAGGCCATGCCCTCCGGCACCACCAACGCTCCTCCCAGCGACACCCCCGTCCCCGTCCTCCACCGCTACACCAACGGCGAGCAGACCTGGAAGACCTGGCTGGGTGGCCCGGATGTCCACGCCTCGGACGGTCTCTCCGCCGCCCCTGACATGAACGGTGACCTGGTCTACTCCGAGAGCGCTGGTCTGTACGGTGCCTACTTTGTCGTCACCGATTACTCGGGGTATGCGTCCGGCCACTACGGCGATAGCATTGAATATGTGGCCGACAACGGTACCCTGGTCACCATCTCGGGTGCCTCCAGCTCCTGGGGCTGCAGCCACAACACCGGTATCGCCTTTGAGGCTGCCGACGAGCCGCCTTACGCCAGTATCTGTGCCGAGGACCAGGGTGCCATCTGGCTGAACACCCAGACCCAAGGCATGACCAACGACGGGGTCAAGATCTCCAATGAGAACACCACCAACGGGGCTTCCGGCGAGCCCATGGGTGGCATGTCTGGCAGTTACAGTGGTCTGGCCCGCTTCGCCGATAGCTCTCGTTACATCTTCGCCTGGGTGTCCCGCGGCGCTGTTGATGTGACCGAGAACACCTGGATGGGCGACGGCTACACTCACGTCAGCAACCGCACCAACCCCCGCAACGTCGCCCTCGCTCTGTTCAGCGACAAGTACACCAAGGTCGGCGCTCAGGCTACGTCGACTGTGGGCGCCGAGGTTGGCGACAGCCAGGTCAACTGGGTGACCTCGGGCTCCAACGACTGCTCCAACGCCCACGTCGCCACCTTTGGCAACAGCTCGGCCTTGATTACCTGGGAGGAGATCTCCGATCCCATCTGCGACTACCTGGCCATGGGCTGCCGCGGTGAATTTGCGGGCACTTACTTCCAGCAGGTCGATGCTGAGGGCAACAAGGTCGGCGATGCCTTCAAGAGCACCGACATCTACGTGTCCGGTGACATGGTCACCATGTCTGATGGCCGCATCTGCTGGCCCTACGTCAGCATGGAATGGGATCTGTCCCAGGCGGTCTACGGCGACGACAGCTCCGAGTACACCAAGAAGATGAGTTTTGCTTGCATGAGCCCGAACGGTAGCTCTGCTGCCGCCCAGGCTAGCAGTTCTGCCTCTGTGGTGGCCACTTCTTCCGTTGCTGCCGTGACTCACGTTGCGGCCAGCGCGTCTGCTTCTACCCAGTCGGTCCCGACTCAGTCCGTTGCAGCTGTCTCTTCCGTTGCAGCTGTCTCTTCCGTTGCAGCTGTCTCTTCCGTTGCAGCTGTCTCTTCCGTTGCAGCTGTCCCTTCCGGTGCGGCTGTCTCTACTGTTGAGCCTGCTGTCTCTTCTGTCGCGGCTGTTTCCGTCCCCGCTGCGACCAGCGTGGTCGGTGTCGCTGCCGAGGCCACCTCGGCGCTGTTCACTCCCCAGGCTCCCGGTTCTACTACCGGAGTGGTGCGTCCCACGACGCTCCAGACTCAGGTCCAGGCCCAGACGCCTGGCGCCAGGCCGACCTGGGGTGGCAAGCACGCTGCGCACCCGGGGGGTGACGAGTTGCCCGAGGGATACTGCTATTTCTGATTCCGTAGTGAGGCAGTGGGATTGGTTGTGTAGTATTGTCGATAGTCCTATGTATAGTGAGGGGGTTTAAATCATAGCATAAAAGCAACGACTCCTTTAGATCATTCTTCTATGCTAGGATGACTGTCCAAATGAGGGTTTCCTTGTCAATCACTTAGAATACCATCGACTGGTGACTGACGAGCACTGATAAACAATTCTCGAGACTATAGCACCAAACATAGTATCATATCTATTCCACTTGCATGCATACCTCCGCAATTACATATGATTCTGCACCATCAACCCCGGGCATATCTACAACCTCCCCTTCTCCCCCCCCAACCGCTCCCACACCTGCTCCCGCACCTCCCGCACAATCGTCCCCGCATCCTTCACCTCATGAATCAACCCCACGGCCGCCCCCGCATACGTCGCCAACCGCCCCTCCGCCCCCCACCCCTCATCCCCCGCCTTCAACGCCTCATCATGCAACCGCTTCAACTCCTCAAACGCCCTTCCCGCCTGAAACTCCCTCCACGACCGATTGACAATCGTCCGGGGACTATACTCCTGTGGCCACCCAAACGTCCCCCGCAGATGATTATACAACAACGTCCTGGTCGTCATCACCGCCCCATCCCTCACCCTCACCACCTCCCCCTGATACCCCTTACTAATCCGCGCCTCCTCCGCCGCCAAAAACCTCGTCCCCATCACCACCCCCTCCGCACCCAGACACAACGCCGCCGCTGCCCCCCGCCCATCCGCAATTCCCCCGGCCCCAAATACCATAATTCCGCTGCCTGCCAATACGTCCGCGATCTCCGGTAACAACACCATCAATCCCATCCCGTCATTGGCACGACCATGACCCCCCGCCTCGGCACCCTGCACGACCACCGCATCGGGCTTTTCTCTTCCACTGAGGAGGGTGGTCGCTTCGCTGACCGTCCCGATCTGCACCCAGATCTGCGTCCCGGGGACGGCGGCCCGGATGCGTGCGGACCAGGTATCGAGATCGGATTGGCCGTTAGCGGGCGCGAAGAGCCAGACTGCGCAGGGTCGGTATTGTTTAATGGTGGTGATGGCGGTGTTGAGGTCGTCGCTCCAGAGCTGGAAGCCGACGCCGATGGGGAGGTGAGATGTAGGAGATCCTGGGAGTGGTGGATGGGGGGATTGGAGTAAGGAGGAGACTTCAGCCAGATCGGTGGCTATGTTTTGGGTCGTGGTGTTCGGACCCAGGAAGCCGAGGCCCCCTGCTCGGGAGACGGCTACCGCTAGGGCTGGGCCGGACATGATTCGCATGGGGGCGCTGATGATGAGGGGGGCGGTGAGCCAGGGGTAGGTGCGGGTGAGGGTGCTGGTGAGGTGAATGGCTCGTGACATGGTGGTTGATTTGGTGGGAATTGGATGTGTTGAGGGTGAAGAGATGGATGTGAGAAGAGGGAGAGGAATGGGGGGATTTGCTCGGGGGAAGACCGCGGGGTCGGTTACGTCAATTGCGGGTATTGCGGGTATCGCGGGGATGGCTTGGCATGTCCATCTTAGTTGAGTGCTCCACTTGGGGGCCATTTACGTGGAATGTTTTCTAGAAACCCTAAATGGTTTGCGGATGAAGCAGTCACTGGGTGGAAGACTTGATTATGTATGTTCAATGATCAATCTAAGGACAAGCCACCTAAGTGAATCGAAAAGGATCAACACGGCACAGATCTATTCATCTGACGTTCTTTCTACCCCATGGCAATAAATCATACTGAAACATGTTAACCTCGGAAGGATAATAAGTGTGTATGATGAATTTCATCCAGAGGGATGTTTGTGTAGAGGTGCAGAGATAGACTAGGAAGATAGTGTGACAGACCGAGCCATACCGACCCGCGTCACGGGCTTCGCGCGAAACCCTAATTCCTATTCATGGGTGGAGTGTGGACCACGAACATGATCACTCTACGTAAAGAGAATAACCTATCTGGCTGGACAAGTGTAACCAGGAAATCGACATTCAGTAAGATAAAGTGCTGCCAAGGAGACTGAACTACTCACGATCAATACCAATGGATTACACTATAAGCATCTGTACTCTACCCAAAGCCAACACACCTCCAATAATACACGACCAATCTTTCTACCACAATAAACCAATCTCCATCACCACACACCATACCCTAGCACTCCCCCCAACCCTAATCATAACGACTTGACAGCTTCCCCCCCCACCCACCCCGCCAACCCCACCACACTCGTCCCCGCATCCATCAACGTCAAAAACGGCACATCCACCCCAGTGACACTATACAGATACTGCCTCAACTCCGCCGCCAACATACTATCCATCCCAAAAGCCGATAACGACGAGTTCACGTTCAATTTCGCCAGGGGCAACAGTACCAAATTGGCTAGTTTCTGCGCAATTAGATCCTGTGCCGCGGAGGTGAGTTGCTCTTCGTCTTTGCTGCTTAGCGCGGTGGTCCACGCTGTGCTGGTATTGCTGCTGCTGCTACTGCGGCTGGAGGTACCGGCTTGTCGACGGAGGGTACTTGCCAAGATAGCGAAGCGGGCATCATCGAGAAAATGCCAGTAGCCTGAAAACCCCTGTTGATGTTGGCGGAGGAGCCCGGTGACTTCGAGACCGGTGAGGAGCAAGGAGTGCGTCATCGCATCTCTGGCGGGAATCGATGTCGGAGGCTGAGACAGCCCGTAGTCGAAGATCCGGAGGAGTTCGTCTTCCGTGATGGGCCGGAGACCCCGACGGAGAAGCAGATCCTCGATATGTGGGTTCTCATGGAGGTATCCCACCTCGGCAATCATCCCCAGCCCTAAGGAGATCGCCGGGCGGCCGAGACTGCGTCGGTAGCGCGCAAACACGTCGAGGAAGTTATTGGCGGCGCAGTAGTTGCTTTCGGTGGCGGTGCCCATTTTGCCGTTGATGGAGCTGGTGACGACGAAGAAGTCGAGGGCGTGCTCGCGGTTGTGCTGCGACAGGGCCTGGTGCAGGTTCCAGGTGCCGTGGACTTTGGCGTGGGTGCCTTCGACCCAGGCGTCGTGGGGCATGCCGGCGAAGAGGGCCTCGTGGAGACCCATGGCGGCTTGGACGACGCCGCCGAGGGGAGTCGAGGATGCGGTGACGGCGCGTTCGACGTCGGCGGGGTTGGTGACGTCGCCGGGGACGACAATGCAGTGGGCGCCGGCGTGTTCGAGGTCCTCGATGAGACGCTGGGCTGCGGGGCGTTGCAGGCCGGTGCGGCCGAGGAAGATGAACTGGCGCGCCCCTCGCTGGACCATCCATTTGGAGAGACTGCGGCCGAGACCCCCGAGACAGCCGACCATCAGGTAGCTCTTGTCGGGGTGGAGTCGGGTGGCGAAACGGGGAGGGACCATCGTGATCTGTTGATTAGGGTCCTCGAACGAGATGACCACCTTGCCCATGCGTGCGGTGTTGTTGAAGTAGTTGAAGGCAGCTTGTAGTTCCGATGCGGGGAACACCTTGAGAGGCTGCACGGGCTGAATGGCACCGCTGCGGATGAGGGCTACCACCCGCGTCAGAAGCTCGGCGAGGACTGGGGCCAGAGATGGCGATGTGACGAGCAGCGCCAGGTCGAACGCAGTGAATGTGGCGCCCCGGCCAAAGGGTTCCATGGGCAATCGGCCATGATCCCGAATGTCTCGCTTGCCCAGCTCCACAAAGCGTCCAAAATGACCGAGACACTCCCAACTCTCGAGCAGCAGCTCGCCAGCCAGCGAGTTAAGCACCACGTCCACGCCCCGACCATTCGTCAGCTCCCTAATCCGAGATGCAAAGCCCGTCTCGTGGGAATTGAGAATATGATCTGGCTGCAGTCCAAAGTGGTTGACGAGATATTGCTTCTTCTCCTCGGTGCCGACGGTGGCAAAGATCTCAGCTCCCTTCAGCTTGGCAACCTGGATCGCAGCAATGCCCAGCCCTCCGGCGGCCGAATGGATGAGCACGGACTCTCCTGCCTGGAGATGGGCACGATGCTCCAGCGCATACAGAGCGGTGGTATAAACCACTAGAATCGAGGCCATGCTGCGCAAATCCTCGCCCGGACGCAGCTTCACGCAGGCCCGCGCTGGAACGGTCTCATACGTGCTGAAATGACCCGGATAGAGCACTGCGACTTGATCTCCCACGGCGAGATGCTGCACGGCCGATCCCACCGAGACAATCTGTCCGGTCCACTCGCCGCTGCAGGTTGCCTCGGGGGTTTCCACTCGACCGGCTAGGGCATACACATCCTTGGCATTCAGACCGATGCACGACACCTTGACGACCACCTCGTCTGGTCGCACGGTCTGTTGGGGGGATGGCACAAATCGCACGCTGCTGAGCTGGCCGGGCTTCTCGACAGACAGTCGCACCTGTCCGGCATTGACCAGTGGCACTAAACGCGCAGTCCCCTGCTCCTGATCGCGAAAGTAGGTGTTCATACGCTCATCCGGCACGACGCGACTGATCAAGAGGCCAGCGCTACTCTGCAGGAATTCATGGTCCACGGTAGGATGATTGGCCTGTCGAACGACCTTGGCAACATGGCTGGAGATGGTCTCGGGGTTGGCATTGGGGTCCAGCTCGATGGAGAAGATCTTGGTCGATGGCTGCTCCACCATGATGGCTCGCGCGAGACCGGGGAAGAGGGATCGCGTGGGGTCAGAATCAGCAGTGGCACCGGACCCCGTTGCCCAGACCACCTGTGTTGCCTGCGTTAGGATGTGCTGGATGCCGGCGTAGTCTTCTGGCGATGGGTTGGCGAGGACGGCGTGTTTCAACTCCACGGTTGATACCACCAGCGTGTGATCATCAATTGGGGCGCTTGGAACTTGGGCTAATGTGTGCTGCTCGGTTGGCACCAACAATGTTGCGCTGAGATCATTTCGCAATTGCTCCTCCGCTGCATCCTGGCTGCGCACCACGTGGATGATCCGATCGATGCCGGCTCGGACCCCATTAGACACATAGACTGGTCGCAGGAGTTGCACTCCGGGGACCACACAGTCAGGAGTACGGATGCTGGTAAAGTGATCGCTTGGGATACTGTCGTTGCTGTTGAAGCCCACCAGGCGGGTATGACCATCCGTATATGCGACCAATTGGTCGAGCAACCACGCTTCCGGCGTGGCGAGGACAATCAGACCAAACTTGAGACCCGACGATGCAGCCACATAAGAAAGTGATCGGATCCCGAATTTCAGCCCCGAGACATGTACTTCCGCTACCTCCAGCTGTCCAGCCGAATCAAACCGGCCCAGATGCAGAGACCGGAAGCGCTGGTGGGTTGTCCGCGCCTCGAGCACCTCCAGCATCGCGAGGGCAGTCAAAGACACATCCGGTGAGATCACAAGAATATCGGCATCAGGATCCTTATGCACGGCCAGATCGATTGCGGACAGCAGGTTGGCATGCGACCCCAGACGGCCGAGCTCGGTGGTGGCGCGAACATGCTGAATCGCTGCCGCCAGCATCGTTCCATCGGAGATGAGGTCAAAGTCCGGCTTCCACACGACCCGAAACAGGGGATCGCGGACCTCGTCCGTCATCTGCTCGCTTCCGACGTAATTGGGGATATCGACCTCTTCGAAGTGCGCCACCGGCTGCTGCTGAGCATCCCATAAGGCCGCGTTCATTCGGTGGGTTGCGAAGCCAGTCACTGCAGATGTGCAGCGGATGATGCCCTGCTGCTGGGGCTGGCTGGGCTGGCATAGACGGATGTACCCGAGCCGGGTTGGCACTTTGGCCACCATCGACTGGAGATGCCCCCCTGTGGAGGCGACCAGGCCGGCTTGAAGAAGATTGTCCAGCAGGGCAGGGTGCAGAAGATACCGGGGTGCAGACTGAACCCCTTCAAATTTGGGGTTGAGCGTGTCGATCCGGGCTTCGCAGTACAATGTCCCCTTGGGATTCGGAGTCAGAACCTCCTGCATGTGCTGGAAAGTGGGCCCATATCCCAGACCTGCCTTAGCGATGCCCTCATACCACAGTCGCTTGGAGTGCGCTTCGACGCGGCAGTTGGCGGAGGGCAAACGGGCATCATCAATGCCCCCGCTGGGCTCCAATCGGACCGTGCCTCGAGCTCGGATGGTCGGGGTATCGTCGATGATGGACGCGATTTGAAAGTCCCACCAATCACGCGAGGAAGAGACCGTGGAGAGAGCATGAGGCCGAAGCTCCGTGTACAGCTCGATTGGAGTCAGCTCGGCCAGGGGCAGGGCACTCGGCAACTCGACATGGCGCAGGGCCACGGTTTGTTCTGCCAAGCTGACATTTGGGGATATCGCAACCTGCAGAAGAGCCTCCACAGCCATCGCTAAATAGCCTGCCGCTGGAAACACGGGGGTGTTGCTTAACTGATGATCACGCAGCCAGGGCACATTGTCCAGTCGGAGGAGGTTTCTCCATCCAAAGGTGAGGTGATTGCCCCCGACGACTGGGCTTCCCAACAGTTCGTGACGCTTGTGTTTGCGGTGGCGGCCTTCGCGGCTGATGCGCGACTCATTCCATAGCAGCTCCTCGTAGTGCCAGGGATAGGACGGGAGATCGCAAAGCACCTTAGGTGCACCATGGGCGCTGGGATAGAAAGTGCTTTGGACTTTGGCAAAGTTTACGGCATATCCCTGCACGAACAGGTCGCCCACGAAGCCGAGCACCGAGACCAAGGAGTCCTGATTGCGCTGGAGGGTGGCTAGATAGGGTGTGGACTTGCCCAACGTCTGCGCGATTGGCATCTTCAACACGGCATGTGGCCCCAGCTCCACAAACGCACAGTCTCCCTTCCATAAGCTCGTCACACCATGCAGGCCATGAGCGAATAGGACTGGAGACTCGAGATTTTGACGCCAGTAGGTGATAGTACGGACGTCTCGCTCGTGGACCTCGCGGTCGAGGACGGTGGAAAACATCCGCGCACTGGTGTTCGCTTGCGCATCAACGAAGGTGTCCGCTTCCTGCAGCAACTTCTCGTATTCGGCGCCCACGACTCCCATTTGATACGAGTGATACGCCTTTCCATCGGTCTTCAGCTTCCGCACAAAGACGCCCGCTGATTGTAGGGCCGCCACGAGCCCATCGATGCCAGCCAGGTCACCACTCACGGTCACGCTCTGGGGTGAGTTGAGGCAGGCCACCTGCACTGTAGACCCCTCTGGAACGGCCCGGTGAATCCAGTCGCGCGCTGCATCCGGGCCAAGACCGACCGCGGCCATGGCTCCTTCCGGGGCGTAGTGGGAAACAGCATAGCCGCGGTAATACGCCACGAGGATGGCTTCCCGGAGGGTAAGAAGCCCAGCGGCATACGCAGCACCTATCTCGCCAGAAGAGTGGCCGACCACACCTTGCGGCTCGATCGAGAGGGACCGCAGGAGCTTAACCAGGCCAACCTGGACCGCGGTCGTGATGGGCTGAGCAAAGGCTGCTTGATTGATGGGGCACGCCTCGGAGTCATCTTGCAGAATGCCCATGATGCTCCACGAAGGGGCATAGGGAGCCAGGCGCAGGACGTCGTCGAGCTGGTGAATTGTATTGGCAAATGTTGGGATCTGGAGGAGCTCACGGCCCATCCCTTTCCATTGCGCTCCTTGGCCGGTAAAGGCGAAGACCACGTTCTTGTTCAACCAGCTGGCATCCCCATTGACTGGAGCCTGCCTGAGGTTTTGCACGTCCAGATCTGTCGCTAGGGTGTCTGACCGCGCAAGGACATACCCTCTTTGGGCCAGATGCGAACGACGTTGGCCAAGGGTATAAGCAAGGTCCGGTAGGGCAGCAGCCGGGAGGTCTCTCTTCGACAGCTGCTGAACGCGCCTCTCCAATGAAGGTACCTTGTTGGCCGAGAATGGCAGCAAGTATCGAAGCGTGGGATCCGATGTCTCGTTGATGACCAAACTATCTGCATCCGAGGAAGCACCCTGGCCCGCCTCTTCCAAAATTCCATGGGCATTGGCGCCGCCGTAACCAAACGAGTTGATGCTGATGCGGCGAGCCAACCCCGGGGCTGGTTCCGGGAATGGAGTTAGATCAGTGACAATCTGCATGCCCCAGTCATCCAGACGCAACTTGGGATTTTGTCGCGTGATGCCAATGGTGGGTGGCAGCTGCGCCCGTTCCAGGGCCAGAGTAGCCTTGATGATGCTGGTGATGCCACTGGACGCTTCTCCATGCCCTAGGTTCGGCTTGCAGCCACCCACCAAGATATGTTGCTGCCGCTCCTCGCGACGAAACACCCGGGAGACAGCCTCAGCTTCCATCGGGTCTCCCACGCTGGTGCCGGTGCCGTGCATCTCCACGTAAGCTGTGTCGGCGGGTTTCAAACCCGTCCGACGGTACGCCTTCTGGCTAACGGCCTCTTGGCCATCAATGCTGGGCTGGGTGATGCCGGGGGTACGACCATTGCTATTGGTCGCGGTCCCACGGATGATCGAGCGGATGGGATCGCCATCACGAATGGCATCGCTCAATCTCTTGACATAGAGTGCGTTGACGCCATCAGCTCGTCCGTACCTGTTGGCAGGTTAGCTAACCATTTCACCTCCCTAGGTGTCTAAGGGCAGAACTTACCCGTCTGCCGCGGCGTCAAAGGTATGACAAATGGACGATGGGGAAAGCACTCCCGCCTGGGACATGGCGACTAAAACATCCGGGGATTGGATGAGGTTGACCCCGGCCACGACGGCCGAATCACACTCTCCATTCTGCAACGCCGAGCAGGCCAGATGCAAGGCGTACAGAGACGATGAACAGGCGGTGTCAACGACACAACTAGGGCCTTTGAGGTTGAAGACATGACTGATGCGGTTGGCTAGAATCGTCGACCCCATCCCCGCTTGAGTATACCGGGTCACGCTCTCGGGATCCTTGGTCTGCAGAGCGATGAAGTCGGCGGCGAAGTAGGCCACTGCAACTGTCAGCTCGTCCCCCAAAGAAAGAGACAGGCATACCATAGCATCCCACGTTGGCTCCGGAGACCTGCTCCAGAGGTACGCCCGCGTTTTCCAACGTTTCATAGACTACCTCGAGCAGTTTCCGCTGCTGGGGGTCCATATCGGTGGCTTCCCGATTGTTGATGCCAAAGAACTGGTTGTCGAACTGGCGGATATCCTCTTGCAGGAAGTATCCGCCATTCCCTCGGACGACGGCCGGCTCGTCCGGTGCGCCGTGGTAGCTATCAACATTGAATCGCGACGAGGGCACTGTCCCTGCTGCTGTGCGCCCTTGGGCTAGAAAGTCCCATAGCTGCGAGGGACCTGAAATATCGCCAGGAAGGCGACATCCTGGCATCAATCATCAATGGCAGCCTAGCGAGACAGGAAGGAAACTGACCCATTCCGATAATGGCAAGGGGAGTCTGCTTGGGCTGGGCTGGCCCGGCGGTCGTCAATGGGAGCTGCATACTGGTAGTCGAGAAGCGCCTGATGTGGAGTGAGTGGAGTAGGGAGCGTTTCAACAAACGAGGAATGAGATGCAGCTGAGAGATTGTAGTGCTGGGATGTGTTCTGTGATTCTACCTTTCGTCCCCCATCCGATTATCGGTCTATATATGGGATATCCTCCCTATCACATATCACCGCAGGGCAAACAGCTGAGCCTGCGGTCATTATCTTGGACTTTCACCAGCCAATCAACGCCACAATTAATGCAACAACCAACACTGGTGGTCGCGACGGCGGCCGGGATGTTCGTGTTCATCGCGCCGCTGATGTGATTCCGAAGACGTGACATCTGAACGCGCAAGATAGCCAGCCTGGTGAACGACTGGCAGCAGTGGGGGCCAAATAAGAGACAGCCTCGCGCTACCAACAGTAGAAATGAGGGGAAGGAGAATGAGGGGAGAGGGAGAGAAGGAGTCGACCAGGGATCGATAGACTGGACGGAAGGAGTCGGGGGGCCGACGGCCGGCAGTTCGGATCATCCTTCAAGGTTCCCCTCCAAGGCTGAGGTGAGAGCTGTGCCGGAGATAACAGAGCTGAACCTACAGCATCGTTGCGGCGCTTCACAAGCATGTGCCTGTTTAGCCCCCCCACAGGTGATGAATACGACGCATGCAACCAACCAAGGTAGGGCACGACAGGCACGACAGGCGCAGCAGGCACAGCCGCTGTCAGCAATGCATCGGGCCAGACTCCCATCCTGGTCTGCGCGAATAAAACCGGTGCCTCGACAGGGATCGGGACAACGAGAACAAAGAAACACGGAAGAACCATGCATTCCCTCGACCTGGCAGTCTCCTGGTGGGGGCTGAATGTCTCCTCATTTTATACGACATGAGTAGACGCTCATGCCTCCTGACTCCTCATTCCTCTTTCTCATCACAATATTATTACCTATCACACCTGTTCATCTCTCTCAGCCTTCACCTGAATCACTCATCATGTCTTGGTCCCAAGTCTCCGATCGTCGTTGGGAGCGTCCCACCAATGGCATCGAGGGCTACTTCACCGTGGCCGGCGCCTTCTCAGCCTCGTTGATGGAGGGCCGCCATCACTACACCATCTTCTCGCGCGTGTCGGTGGACCTGCCGTTCTCCTCGCGCGCCGAAGCCACCGAAGCCCTGCGCCTGGCCTGGCAGCAGCTGCGCTACGAGCAACCCATGATTGCCACCACCATCGAGGGCCTGACTAAGGTCTACGAGATACCGGATGAAGCGGCTCTGACCCGATGGTTGGAGACCACCTGCATCGTCTCCCCGGCCGCCGACGCCGAGGCTCTGACGCGCATCATGACGCCTGTCCAGCAGGCCACGCTCTACTACCTGCCGGAAGCCTCGGAACTGGTCTTCCGCTCCCACCATGCCCTGATTGACGGGGTAGGCACGTTGATGCTCTGGCACCGCTTCCTGTCCATCCTCGCCGATCCCCCTGCCGGTGGCCCTCCTGCTTTTGGCGACGAGCCGGCCCGCCTGGCCCCGTCCCTGGAGACCATCCTCCAGCACCCGGTGCCTCCCAAGCCCGAGCTGGCGGCTCAAGGCGCCAAATTGGTCCAGGAGTGCGTCCAGGCCATGCCCGGCGTTGGACCCGTCAATCGGGTGGGCACTGTGGCCGCAGGGCCCATTCAGAACCGTGAATGGGTGTTTCCTGAGCGGACCAGCGCCGCATTAGTGCAGGCATGCAAGGCCCAGGGGTTCAGTGTCTCCGCGGCGGTCCAAGCGGCATACATTCGCACGATTGTCGCTCACGCGGACCCCGCCGCCCGGGCTGCAAGCACCCACCCCAACCGGTACGTGACGGTCAACTCGGTCAATCTCCGCCCGAAACTGCCGGCCCCCTACAACACCAGCCAGTATGCAGCATCGCTGTACTACACCCCTTGGGGATATGTCATCGAGGACATCCCAGACTCGTTCATCGAGACCGCCCGCATCGTCGACCACCATTACAAAACGCTGTTCGATCCCGCCGTGAACCCCGACCACCTGGAGATCAGCGGCTCGTTGACCCAGGCGCTGCGGGATATCGTGCAGACGCCCGAGTTTCTCACGCAGCCGGTGTCCCGCGATGCCTTGTTCAGTAGCTTGGGAATTATGGAGCGCTACGTGCAGCGGTCGTACGGCACTGAGGGACGGAAGATTGTCGTCCAGGACGTAAAGATGGGCGTGGACGTCATTCTGGGGATTAGTATGTTGTTCTTGTATACCTTCCGCGATACGCTGCGGCTGTGCTACAGTTTCAACGAGGCGTACGAGGACCCGGAGATTATCCAGAGTCATTTGGAGGAGGTGCAGAAGGTGTTGGTGGAGGAGTTATTGGGTTGATGCCCCCGCATGGTAGTGAAACAACGATGGGTGAAGGGGGGGTTAGCTAGTCACCAATCAAGCCTTTCCCCTCACGTTCTAGACCCGCTCATAAGGACACAAAGCTATAATTAAGGCGCCCGATCACACCACTCGAACCGCCTTATCACACCACATGGTGACACTAACCCCAGACCCCTGCTGCCCCCCTCCGGGAAGTGACGGAACGCTGCCAACCAATCCTACTACAGAGAACACGAGCCACACGGGACGCCAACTGGCGTGTGTTAACACCGGAGCCACTCAATGCCGATCAAACCCTGCTTCTCTACCAGGCAACCAAATTGCTTAACATGCATGCCGCCAACCAATAACTCCATTCACCTAATCCAGCATTCCCACCACGGCACCCCTTTTCGTAAACCACAAAGAAAAAAAAAGAAAAAAGTAAAAGAAAACAACACGGCACATCCCCAGCATCTACTTCCTCACCACCTGAATATCCGTCTTGACACGAATATCCCCCAACGCAATATCCATCTCACTCAGACGATCCTGCATCCCGGGCCCCGACGCTATAGCCTCTAAATCCCCACCCCCAGTCACCAACTTATCAATACTATCGTGCTCACGATGCAGCCCACTACCGATGGGGCGATGGCCGCGACTTTTCCCCGGCACGGACGCATACCCACTACTACTATTCGCGGTGGCTTTCTTACTCCCTTGATGTCGATGTCGATGCCAGAGATACTTCACTAGCGCGGTCGCGTTGGGCGTACTCACCGAGAGGATCGAGATCGAGGCCTCCAAGGCAGCCCAGTACATATACACGGGCATTTCCCACGTTTCATCACTCGTCAGACGCGGGACGATCTGCACGGTGGCGACGAGACGACCAATGGAGAGGACGATGACGGAGTAGGCGAGGAAGAAAGCCACGAGGAGGTAGATCCGGCGCCGACGACTGACCTGGAGGCCCCAGATCCGCGGGATGGGGACAACGAGGATCCAGATATCGATGACGCAGGAGAGGGCCGCGGTGGCGAGGAACCAGCGGTAAGTGTTGACGCAGGTCCCGGGGAGGGAGGTGTCCCAGGCGCGGGGGATAGGGTGGCATTGGAAGATGGTGACGAGGTAGGCGGAGAGGAGCCAGCCGGCGATGATGAGGCCGAGGGCCCAGAGTTGGATGCGCAGGGAGCGGTCATTGGTGCGGAAGACCCGGGCGTAGAAGAAGATGGCGGATAGCTTCGGGAGGCAGATGGAGCTGTCGAAGAACATGGTCGCGACGTAGAAGTAGCGGCCCCCGGTGAGGAGGAGGTTGGGGTCCGTGGCCAGCACGAGGTCCATGTGCAGTCCGAGACCGATATGTTTCCAGGCTAGGAGTAGGCCGAACATGATAATCTCCGTGGGCTGCATGGAGGAATATGGTTAGCGTCTGCTTTCTGCAGGGGGAGGGGGGGGTGGGGGCGACACGGAACAGACCAGAGAGAGAATGGCGAAGAAATCATCCCACCACCAGCGCTGGTGAGTGACGAGCTTCGACACGATGCGGATGGCAGTCATCAACGTCGTCAGGACCAGCAGCACGATCAGCAGGATGGCCATGCCGGTGCCGCGGTCGGGAGTCCCGGCCGGAACGTCTAAACCCATGGCCAATCAAGACCCAGTCTGGACGAAAAGATAGGGAGAAGAAGAAGTGTGTCCGTGGGTTTCTTCACGGACGACAAGCAGAGCGGGACGGCAGAAATAGGATGACAGCCGGTTATCACGGCGTCTGCAGGTGTCAGCCTGATGGCTGGCAAAACGGCCCCCAAACGGGATGATATTGGCAGGTTGCATGCATCAGGATCAGCTAGCCCCCATGTCTGTTGCTCCTCCAATCCACGAGGCCCCCACTTGCCCACGGACGCACATGGAACGTTTGGCCCCATGGCGATGCAGTCAGCTTAGCAGAGAAAGTACTCCGTAGATGGATTCGGATATACTCACGGAACATATCTGACAGATTAGCCAAGAGCATCATGTCGGAATCAAGTAGATGGTATTCATAACCCCAATGCCCGTCATCAATCATAGTGACAGCAGAGTACTGGTAATTTCTCATGGCACTACGAGTAATCATTGTTGGGGGCTCCATCGCGGGCCTAACCCTAGCACACAGCCTACGGGCGTGTCACATCGACTACCTCGTGCTCGAGGCGAAGGCAGACATTGCACCAGCCGTCGGCGCATCGATCGGCATCTTACCTAATGGCGCCCGCATCCTGGACCAACTGGGGATCTGGCCGGCCATTGGCCAGCACATTGCCCCCCTGCATCAGTCGTTCGTTTGGTCCAGTGCTGGGAGACTAATAGTCCGAAGTGACCATCCGCGGCTGATTCATGAGCGGTGAGTGCTTCGCCATCACAGGAGACGATGCTGACGCCAATAGACATGCATATCCGTTTGCCTTTCTGGACCGCCGGATTCTGCTGAAGATACTGTATGAGCAGTTGGGGTTGCAGCAGGAGAGGGTGCATCTCAATAAGAGGGTGGTCAGGGTTGGACATGTAGCCGACGGGGTGGTCGCTCACTGCGAGGATGGCTCTGTCTTTGCGGGGGACCTCGTGGTCGGCGCAGATGGCGTCCGGAGCACTGTCCTGCAGGAGATGCGCCGTCAGAATGCCAAGTCTATTCTTGATGTCGGACACCGCGGTTCTGCCATGCAATCCGAGTACTCGTGTCTGTTTGGTATCTCCAACCCGGTCCCGGGCTTACACGCCGGAGACGGGCACTTTACCTACGCAAAAGGCTACTCTACCCTGACCGTGGTCGGCAAAGACGATCGCGTCTTCTGGTTTCTATTCACGAAGATGAGCCAAAGCTATGATGCTGACCATATTCCCCGCTTCACGGAGGAAGACCTACAGAGGCATGTTGCCCGCTATGGACACGTGCCTATCAGTGACACCGTTCCCCTATCTGCAGTCTCCGAGCGCATCCAGGCAGGAAGTCTACATGCTCTCGAAGAAGCCTTCGCACCCGTATGGACCGTCGATCGTATCGCATGCGTTGGGGATGCAATTCACAAGGCGAGCCTTTATCTCCCCATCCTCAACCTCTGCTAATACGTCCATGCATAGATGACACCAAACATCGGCCAAGGCGGAAACTCCGCCATCGAAACCGTCGCAGCCCTAGCGAACCATCTAGCCAGCCTCCGCCGAAAAACTCCCGACCGTGCCCCCTCCCTCACCGAGCTCAAAACATGTCTCCAAACCTGGCAAACCGAGCGACACGATCGGGCTCACAAAGTCTGGAGCGCCGCCAACGCAGCAACCCGCATGGAAGCGGGCGATACCCTGTACCATCGAATCATAGGGCAATACATGCTCCCCTATCTGGGCTCTTACTTGACAGATGGCATGTCAGAGTTGATCAAAGGGGCGGAGAAGTTGGACTTTTTGCCGGTGCCGGCGAGGTCGCTTGCGGGATCGATTCCGTATACTTCTGAGGGAGCGACTAGTGAGATGGAAGTGGGGATGGGTAGGGCTTGGTTTCGTTGGATGTGGGTCGCGGTGCTGGTGGGGGCCGTTTGGCGATTGTGTGTGGTATGTCTAGTTGGGGCAGATGTCTTGCAATGCGGTATCTTTTGAATGTTAAATGCTTTTTGTTCTGAATTTTTATGTTATTATTTGAGGTTGAAGACAATGTTCATTGTTGCACCTGTTCATGTTTTGACCATGAAGTTCATGTCAGCCATTTGTATGAGAAATATATATTGTGTTGAAAGATGTCTTTTGAATTGACGACCCGGCCTATTGCACTTGTATTCAATCAATCGACCTGTCAACACTCATCTTCCTTCTCGAGGACGGAATAAAACGTCTAAGATGATCAAGATTCAGTTATATAGCGACTTAGAATGACACTTCAAGCATATAAATTTTCATACGTCGTAAGGTACTTTGTGATAAACGTACCGTTACCCCTCTCCCCATTTCACTACCCATGCACCTAACTTACACTGAATCCAAATTTGAAGCCCGTGGTGAAATGTGTACTTGTCAAAAATCACGCTCATAATACCGGATAGGCTAAACATCGCAGAAAGGGCACCAAATAACGCCACGACGATCCAAATGACCTAGAAACAAGTTATGTATCTAGCATATCACAACAAGGCATTATTCCCTTCATGTTTTGTGGGGAATCGTCGGGATAAAGGCTCTTCTGCAACATAAACAGTGGACCCTGTTTGGCAAGTTCTTGGCAATGCGGCTGAGGATATACACAGCCATAACCCACTCTACTCCATACTCTGGTACCATGCACGTAGGGCTATGTCTGCTGGACCAGTGGCTCTTCATGCAGACCATGCTCGGACTGGCCGTATTAGTCGGAGATCCGGGATTCGGAAAAGGATAGGGCAGTAGTGTACGAGTAGTCGAGTACAGCTCACATTTAATACGTCCTTTAAGTACAGTCTAGCATAGGTAATTGCCAGACGTAGTAGTGTGTAGGATACATTCCATGTCTGCGTCGTTCACATAAGATTGGATTTATCAGAATCTGAAAGTTATCGGCTTCTGGGTTGGACTAGGCCTTAATTGGGGGGAACTTGCGAGAAGCTCGGAGGCTCCACTGGACCCTGTCGGATTTAGTATTCTCGTGGTCGGTGTACAGCTAGGATGTTTGATCCGATGGCCGATGGTGCAGATGACAATCCCCACAATTTCCCATGGGGAAGATGGCCCGATTGTTATGGGGTGGTGCATAAACTGTACAGGATACACGTGATCTGAGGATGGATGTAGACGATAAGAGGAAGATGTGTCTCGGGGTTCTTTTATCAATGAATCCCCAATGCTCTTTTCCGTTGATAAGCTATGGTCGAACGTTTAGGCTATATAAAAATTCCAAGAGGATGATGTTCACCGAAGTTCATTGTTCCAGTCGGGAGAGTGTAGTTCTTTAAAGTGGGATGATCAAAGCTGACGACTGGTGTGGGCTTGTGGGGAAGGAATGCGGGGATGCAATCCTTTATCCTCCGTTCTCCGTGGGCCTCTTAGTCTCCGGACCCCAGACTGCGGGTACCACTTCATGCACTTGCATCAGAACGTCTTTCTTGTCTTTTGTGAAGGATGGTCGTGACGTGACCATTATAGTCTGTAGAGATATCCAAGCAATGGGCTATGCTAACAAGTAAAAGATAAATACCGGCCATGTCCAGCACATAGCCTGGAAGTGCACACCACTCAGCTCACGCTATCTCTAATTCACCTTACTTCCTAGCTTTCCCCAATTACATACACCATGCTCCTACACACCTCCATCCTAGTCACACTTTCCACAGCCCTTGTTCGACAAACCTACGCTCTACCAGCCACCGTCGACTACAACAGTACCTTCCCCCCCTTCACCCTTCCCTCCCCATGCACTACCCCCCTAACACCTCCAGACCTCCCCACCACCAGCACGATCCTCAACCTCCCCATCCCCGCCCGCAACACAACCTACACCGTCCAACCCAACGACACAATCCACAGCATCGCCGCCCACTTCTCCATCGGCGCATGTGACCTCGCCCGCCTCAACGTCCTCGCGGACCCCAACTACCTCTACGCCTCCGAACCCCTCCGGATCCCGCTCCACCCACTCCTCCCATCCGACACAACCTGCTTCACCCCCAACAATACCCTCACCACTTCAACCTGCATCCCCGGCGGCCCCCACGTCTACACCATCATGCCAGGCGACACGATCCAAAAAATCGCGAACGAGCGCTTCAACATCACCACGGACTCGATCCTCCACCAGGTCGCGCAGACGGGATACATCGCTGCCTTGAATCCAGGGATCTATGATGTATTAGAGGCGGGAGAGACGGTCAAGATCCCCGTGTGTGAAGATACGGTGTGCAAGATGACGGATTTTACCATTACGTATGGCACGGTGCAGGATTTTGCGGGACAGTATGGGGTCACGGTGGGGCAGATTCTGGCGTTGAATTTGGGGTATAATCATACGGAGGAGGAGGCGCCGTTGGGGGTGTTGTTTGATTGTGGGGTTGTGGGGTGATGCTGGGGCCGCGGAAGAGGGGGGGGAGGGTTAATGGGTGTGGAGATAAAGTATTGGTTCGGTTGAGAAGTCATCTATTAGCTACGTGAAGTCTGGAAGGTATCTATCTATTCATTGACTCGCATCCGGCGTCCGTGGTATATAACTCCTCGGGGGTGTAATCAGATCCACCGGCTCCATCGGTTGCAGCGATTGCATCGGTTCCGGGGTCTGGAAATCAGGAGAGAACCGCACCATGTCTGGGTCAAAGTATTGTTCTAGGTCGAAACCCTGTAAGGTGGGCACATCGGCCACCACTCCCTTGATCCAGGTCACCTCGTCGAGGCCGGATGGTGGCTCCGGGTCTGGTACCGTGAAGGACCTGACGATTCCATTCAACAGTCGGCTGTCTTCTTTTCTCCGTGCTTCGTACAAGGTGATGAGAAGGTACGCGGTCGTAAATGCCTCGCGCATCCGCTCGGTGTTGTAGGTCGTGGCGACGAGTTTCAGCGTCTGCATGGCGTCGGGCAAGACCGCCAAGGAAGCACTGGTATCCATTTCGAGCAGGATACTGATCATCTGGAACGGGACGTTGGCCACATGCTGCCATGGAGACTCCTCCGTCACCAGTTGACGTACGGCAGACAGACTCCGTCGGAGGAGGTCCATGACTCGATTCATCGTGGTGGGCGTGGTGGTGAGGTTGGTCAATCGCAGGCGTCGGAGGAGACAGAGCGTCAGATTGCACTGGGCGAGCAGAGATGGCGGGAGAGTATGAGTGCGATCCAACGTCTCGAGTAAGAAATGTTCGATTTCCTGGTCGTGGCGTTGATTCTCCGGCCCGAGACTCTCGGTCACGGGCAACAGACCGAGAAGTTCGACCGTGGCATCACCGGGTGTGGGCGTCGGCAGTCCGATGGCATCATGGTTCAATGGAACCCTCGACAGCCCGAGATCGTAGGAGATCCATATGTTCAGGTGTTCCGCCACGCCGATCAGCCGTCGGCGGATATCCAAGTCGGGTTCATCATTCGACCAGACCTGGTGCAGCTTGGAGGCTTCGATCAAATGCATCAAGGTCGAGCTGGCGGCCCAGGCCGGGTAGGGCGCGGCCGTCATGCGCAGATACACCACCCGGAGCGTCCAAACCGTGAGTAGATCCAAGGACGGAGCAGCGGTGCCCAGGTGAGTGTCGGAGATGCGGCGAACCAATTCCGCCAGACTGCTTTCGACTCCATCCACGGCGGTCCCCGAGAAGAGGGCTCCCAGGGCGGCGACGCCCGCCAGCACCCCGTCATACGTATTCTCCGTCGCGGTCGGTTGCCAGCGAGCATCCAGACGACGATAGAACTGCGCGGCATCGATAAAGCCATAACAGGGATGAATCTTCTCGAAGTAGCGACGTCCCAGGGTCTGCAGTGTTGTCGCCGAGATAACCTCGTCAAGAGTCTGGCGGAAGGTTTCTCGAACAGGGGATTTGCGTTTCCCGACATTCCACCCGAACAGGTTCATCTTCGGCGCATTGTACGGGTCGATCTTGAGGGCGATTTTTCGCACAAAGGCAGCGGCGGAATTGGCCTCGAGGGCTTCCGTGCGGTGGCTCCCGCGCCCCCCTCGTCCATGGTCGCTGGGACTGTTGTCGGGGATGATGATCGGGTTGGATTGGGATCGGTCGGGGGTGGACGGTCGGGGCCTCACGGGGCGGGAATAGTGACAGTCGTAGCCCCAGCTGGTGCAGGTCGAGCAGGGCGACTGCCCGTCACATTTCCTCTTGCGGTCCCGACACGGTCCGCAGGCCAGTCGGGTGCGCTTGCGCTTCAACGATGCTTCCTCGCTCGCCATGATGGTGGATGAATGGATTCCGTGGGTAAATGTGAGAGTGAAAGGGAAGAGGGAGGAAGAGGTAATGAGACGGTCGGTCGGCCGACGTCGGCCAGCCACGGCGGGCCGACCCGGTCTTTTTATCACACCTTCTTATACGTGGTTTGGGGGATGCAGGAGACTACGGAGTAGCTGGGTTGATTCCTAGCCGGCTCTATTCTTATGATGCTTCTAGTGATACATCCGAGACTACGGAGGAAAAAGAGTTGACACAAGTGCGGACTGCGGAGTATGGAATCCTTGGGGGGTTAGCCAGGCGGAGATCTCGGTAGCGGCGGGTACACCGCGGCCAGCGTCGGGCTAGTAGAGATGCGGCATTGGATCTAACAGGAAGGAGCTACATAGGCCACAGGCAGCTCTGCTTTAGGGTTCCTCGTAGTGGCCTCTCACAGACACGCCAATAATTCTTTGACAGTTCTGAGACAGTTCTAATTAAATGAAAGGTCAAATTAGGGTATGGTGAGAACTTCACAATTCTCAACTGTCGCAGCTCTCGAGCTTGAACTGGGAGGGGGACTACCGCGTTGCCCTCGCAACCGCGGGCCATACATCCGGAACAACAAAGGAATGGGGATCATCACCGCAGCTAAGCATCCCAGCAACGTCCCCGCCCACTGCACCCCCAGGTTGGTAAACATTTGCTTTGCAAACAGCGGGAATCCGGCCGCCACACTCGATCGCAGGATGATGTTTGCGGCGACGGTTGATGCCGCCCTGTGATGTCAGCACAATGCAACTGCAACGAACGGCGCCATGGAACACCTACAGGGGCAAAAACGAGTCAACCAGGTAGTTGAAGCATGGCAGAAAAATACACAAAATGCCAAACCCGATCAGAACTCCTGCAGCAGTCGGCGCGAGCCAGTGGATCGTGGCCGTGAATCCGGTCCAGCTAAACCTGACAGCCGTCAGTACCAGTGGGGCATGGGCCTGGTCGGGTCGACTCACCAAAAGATGCCGGCCGTAAACACGGGCGCCCCAACCATCGCAGGCGCCAGACGCCATTCCGGGATGGGGATGTTCTCGTTATCCACTAGTTTCTTCACATACACCGAATGCTGCGAGAGGATGAATCCACATGCCAGCACCTGGCCAATGATCAAACCGATGAAGGTGAGGCCGCCAACTCCCGGGCTCATGCCGTAGACAGTCTCAAACACATACGGGTAGGCTTCCAGCAGGGCATACACCAGTCCGTAGATAAAGGACATATAGACCGAAATTACCAAAATGATAGGCTCGGTGATCAGCATCCGCAGCGGACGGGTAAAGTTCTTCTGGATCAGCTCTTGCAGGTCCACTTCGACCTCTTCCTGTCTGGCGTGGATGCCCCAGTTGGAGGTCTGTCGTCGGAGGGCTGCCGCCTTGGAAATGAGCAGACACGGAGCATATGTCTCCTTCAAGAAAAGCACAAATATCGCACCGCATGCAAAACCCATGAACGCCGGGATATACAGGGTCCATCGCCAGCCAAGGGAGCTGGAAGCTAGAAAGCCTCCGACAAACGGGGCGCTGAATGGACCCACGAAGACAGTAAGCGAGTAGACAGCAATAGCAGCACCCCGATGCATGTGGTTGTAGATATCCGAGAGGACGGCAGGAACCACGGAGAGCTGGCTGGCTCCAAACATCCCCGCAAAGAAGCGACAGATAATAACCGTCTGGATATCCTTTCCCACCGCCGAGGCGATGCTGAACACGCCCACCCCGAGAATGCCCACAGTCAAGGGCCATCGTCGGCCAATCAGTTCCGAGGCAGGTGCCCATACCAACGGGCCTGATGCAAATCCCAAGACGTAGAGTGTTGTACCAAGCATACCCACCTCCGAGCTCACCCCAAATGCCTTCGCTGCGCCGTCAGCCCCTGGAGCAAAGACTGCGCTGGCGAACGACGCGGTGAGGGTACCAAAGCACACTGTCACGGATATGTATAGCCTGCGAAAAGAGAGGTAAGTAGGGATCTAATAACATGGGACCAGCGTACTTGACAAAGAGCGCCCAATTGAATGGATGTTCTGGATCGTCCGGGCCGTCAAATGCGACGACATAGTCCTCTCGGTCCGGAAGAGGCGGAGGGAGGACCTTTCCTTGCCCCATAGATATAGGCCTCGCTGGGTCTTTTTCAACATCGACCTAAAGGATCTGTTAGTAGGGGTTGGTGGTTATCAAGACAGAAGTGTACCTGAATCTGGGAACCCTCACTGCTGGTCTCACTGCTCGGGGGGTAATTCATTTTGAATGATGATCCGCCACGCTCATGAGGCTTGAATATTATCGCTGCCGTTGATGAATTATCTTTACCAGGGAGGACCATCGTATCTGCACCGCATGATTTAAATATGTGATCGAATCCCTCCATGGGTGTTGCGGGTATTGCGGGCCAGAACCAAGATGGTTTGCAGACGGGAAGCCCTGCCGTTCCGCAATACCCACGGTCCCACCTGCACTCGAAACTGCTGCAGAATTCACTACTGGCATTGCCAAGCTCCACGGTAAGTCTACTGGCACGAGCGAACACCTAAGGGGTCTCTCATTCACATGCCACCTGTCGCCTAGATTCGCCCTTCGGCCGTATGGAAGGCTCTTGATTTTCCGTCCGTCCATGCAGATGTTCTCTACAGTGTGTTGTCAAAGACAGTCCCTATTTTAGGCACCATATCCAAAGGCAGTGACAGATCTGTCAACTGATGAGTGCCAGTACACCAGTCGGTCTCCGAAGTGACCCGCCGGCTGCAACCGAGGTCCAACGTCCAATTGATGCCACGCCCAGGCGGCGACTGGCGCGATGAGTCAGATCGGCCACATCCATCGCGACTTGTCCCGAAACCTTAATCAGCTGTCTTTTTATACCGATAGCCAGATTTCATTGAGTTTGTGGAGGTTGTCTTCCTCATGAACAGTCATCATTGCCAGCACCTTTTGGGCGACGAGATCAACCCCATCATGCCTCGCCTGGAGCCTATTTCTATTGCTCCCAGTCCAGCTGAGGATCGTTCGGCCCACGATGCAAAATGGTATGTCTAATCCAATGGTGTTGGGTGACTCTGACCTCTCAGGACATCCACCATCATTGTCGTCGCTTCCTTTGTCATCATCTTCACTTGCTGTGGCCTCAACTTTGCCTGGGGTGTGTACCAGGCCTTGTATGAGAGTCTGTCAAGGAAGCCCGGAACCCCCTTCACGGGGGCGACCCCTGCCGAGATCGATCTGATCGGTACCATTTCCGTGTCCCTCATGACAATCGGCGCTCCTTTTGCTGTCGCCTGGGCCAAGCGCTTCTCTCCTCGCATGGTCTCCTTTGCCGGCGGCTTCATCTTCGGCGTCTCCCTCGTGCTTGCTAGCTTTGGCACCCAGTTGTGGCATTTCGAACTGGCGCAAGGGCTGCTGACCGGGGTAGGTACTTGCTTATGCTACATGGTACCCGTGACCATTGCCCCAACCTGGTTTACCCACCACCGCGGACTTGCTATGGGCATCATCTTATCGGGAACCGGCGTAGGCGGACTGGTCTGGGCGCCAGCTCTGACGGCCTGCGTGAAAGCCCTGGGCTATCGCAACACTCTGCGTCTGACCGGGGCTCTCTCCGTTGCCCTCATCTCCATCGCCAGCGGCGCGATGGCCTGGGAGCCCGCCAGCCGAGCACAAATCGAACTGGAACACTCCACCAGAACCAGTCGTGCCGACGGAATCCTTAAAGTGCCTCTAGTGGACTGGCGGGTTGCCCGGACACGTCGGTTCATGGCCCAAGCCCTAAGCGCTATCTTCCAGGCGGCCGCCTATTACACCCCGGTGTTTTTCTTTGCCTCGTACGCGCAGACCCTGGGATACAGCACCACCGCTAGCTCCAACTTCATCGCTCTCAGTAATGCCTGTAATGCCGTGGGCAAGATCATCATCGGCCATCTGGCCGATCGCCTGGGACGACTCAACGCACTCTTCCTCACCACTGGTTTGAGTGCGGTCGCGACCACTGCATTTTGGCTACCATCGACATTATCCGGCGCAACGACACAGTCGCAGGGGCTGTTCATCACCTTTACCATCTTGTACGGGACCTTCGCGAGCGCATATGTCTCGCTCTTCCCGGCGAGTCTCGTGGAGCTCTTTGGCGTGCAGAACTTTGCCTCCGTCAATGGTGCCTTGTACATGGTGCGCGGGATGGCCACGATGATCGGCACCCCGGTCGGAGGAGTGCTGGTTCGCAGCGCGTCGAATGCTCTGGGCCCTGGAGCGTATGAGAAGATGTCGGTGCTGGTCAGTGTGCTTCTCTTTGCGGCCACGGCGGGAGTCATCTGGGTTCGACTGGAGGCGATGATCGGGCCGGATGGACATGCTATTTGGAAATGGCGACAGTAGCCGCCCACAGTGGCATGAGAACGAGGCATACTGAACTGGAAGTCTGTGCCTCTTCAGGTCTGCAGCTTTGCTTTTTGCACCGGCATGTACACCTTGTTGTAGTCGTTGATCTAGTCATTCCACTGTATACCTAATACGGTAATCATCCGCATCACGGTTGATCTATCTTAGTGGCTGTATACGATCATACCAAACGATACCGGAAAAGGAAGAGGTGCGGAGCGGCCGCCAGGCGCCGAGCCGAGCAACTGACGCCTGAGGCATGAATAATGCTGGTTGAACATCCGGACCACAGTAACATGACGATTGCCGCGCAAGGGGTCTACCATCGACCATCTGCTCACTTCCCCCTAGCACCTCGAGATTCGTGGCACCATTCTCAAAGCTTGTCGCCATCATGAATATCGCACTCTCCGAGGTGATCTTTGTTGACCAGCTCAAGAGATCACCCGTATCTTGCGTCTTTCGCACCATCTGGCGTGGCAAAGATTGTGTCTTGAAAGTAGTAGGTAATCTTCAAGGATTGGGCGCGTGAGTATCGTGAAGCAACAACATACCACTAACTACCTTTAGTACCATTCACCTGAGCCCTTGCTTAGGGAACGTCGGCCTCGCGCTCGAAAGCGGGAAATAGATCCGTTCAAGTGTGAAAGCGCTGCTTTCATCCGACTCCAGGAACACGGCTTATGCGACCGAGGATATGTTCCGGAGTTTTATGGCCTGGTAGAGCAGATCAAACCGGCCGATTATCTCCCCCATCTCAAGGACTTCCTACAGGATACCATATATCCAAACGCTGTCCTGATGGAGTATATACCTGACATTCAGCCCATCGATCTATCGACTTTCTCAGAGCAACGGATCCACCAACTGCACCAAATCCTGCGAGAAATACATTCCACTGGAGTCCATCACGGAGACCCATATCCTCGGAATATGATGGTGCAGACTACCTCAGACCGAGTGTCGTGGATTGATTTCGACCGTGCGCAGACGTTCACTCCTCAATCTGTCCAACCATATCAGCTAGACTGGTTGGACCATGAAAAAAAGATGATGGAGTACTTTGTTGAAGCTTTGGTGGGTTCTCGTGATTTCTTCAAGTTTTCTGCAGTAACTGATACCAGTCGTACAGATGGCAGATGCCAAAATCGGGAGGATTGATGCTACGTGGATTTGCTATTATGAGTATGTTGCTCATGGGTTGATGGTATACAGGCTAACCTTCAACAGTAGCCTCAAACCGCCGCGAGAGCAACAGGTCGAGGCAGGTCTGGGCGAGACCCTAAAGTGAGGAACCGCGCGGGTAGAACTGGAGGCTTTCAGTGGCCACCTAAAACTGCTACGGCAAAGTAGTTCGGCCAGCCTTAAAGGGTGATTGATAAGGGGAGTAGAAACAGACCAAAACAAGCACCGTCTCGCAGGCTCCTGCTCGGATCAACCTTAATCCGATAACTGTTGGTAAATACAGCTGCCAGCAGGGCTGCTATCATTTCATCTCTAGCTAGGCAATGGACGATTTGAGTAGCCAGGTGGTGCATTCATGGATGTCGATTCTTCATGGCCGGCAGTAGCTGCATCTGATACTTTGATGTTATCCGCTATAACGATCTGTGATATTATGAGATCAATGTATTTCTTTATGCCTACTTCTATCCTCTTCATTTCCACTTTTCTTCGTTTTTTTTTTTTTTTTTGTCCATCCTTTCTCACTTCCTCTTATTCCTCTCTTACACACCTCCATCCGCGAGTGGGGCATATCTGTAGCCGATGATAAGGATGGAGTCATTTGGAGACAGAAAGCCTGTGTACCGGTGTGACCCCGGCTTCTGAAAGCTCAGCCACGTGGAATCAGCATAGCTGACATTCTGGAAGGTCCAAACGATCCGAGGTCCCGCTGAGGAGCGCCGACATCGCTCGGGGTTGGTCTTATCAGTTATCAGCCGAGCAGCTACTCCAACTGATAACGATAACAGCGCCAATGTGCCAAGATCAGGCGTCAACGAACGACTCGGAGGACCTTCCGTGCACGCCAGGATTGATATCTCGTGCCTATACATTGGTGGAGAGCGGTGGAAGACTCAAGATAATCGGAGACGGCCGACATGTTTCATCCCAGATGATAAGTCACATCTGGATCCGACTATATATTCTCCCATGGCAATCTCTAGGCATGATTCTGACTGACCTGTGGCATCCTCAACTCTCACCATGGTGCGCATTTCCCAATTTGCCCTCTCAGCCTTCGGGCTGGTCGGGTCAGCGGCCGCACAGCTGGTATCCACGGGCATGTCTGTCACCCTCGACAACACCAACTACTTCATCTCGCCATACCCGTCCGGCAATGTGACCGTGTCACCAGCCTTCCTCTCTGGCATTCCCAGCGCCAACGGCTTCTACCCAGTAACTGTCGTCCAAGAAGCAGCCGAGGCGTCAACTTTGTCTTCTCTGTTCTCCACATGGATAACCAGGGATGATGTCTTTACTGACGCCTTTTTGGGCGCCGTTTTCGTTCGCGGTTACAAGCCCGACAATGTCACCATAACTACGTTCAACGCTTCCCGTCCCAGCGTCCTCGCTCCCCTAGAGTCCAGGATCGTCCCATCCGGCCCATACTTCCTCGAGCAGGCCACCGGAAATCTCTATCCGGTATACCGTCTTTACAGCGATTTTGCCGGATCCTTTACGCAGTCGCTACTGCAGAAGCCAGACGGTACTTTTCAGCCTTTGTCCGCGCAGGTGGCTGGTCTGGTGGCCGCAACGGTTGGCGTGCCCTCTCGGATCTACTACACCCCCAGTGCCGAGAAGCCGCTGGCTGGAGTCCGCGTGGGTGTCAAGGACATTTACAGCCTGGCTGGTGTCCGGCAGAGCAATGGCAACCGTGCATGGTACAACCTCTACGAAGAGAGCAATGCCACGGGCACCGCAGTCTCCCGCCTGATCGATGCAGGCGCCATCATTGTCGGGCTGCAGAAGCCCTCGCAGTTTGCCAACGGAGAGACGGCCACTGCCGACTGGGTTGACCTCCACTCGCCTTTCAACCCGCGTGGAGATGGCTACCAAGACCCCTCGTCTTCCTCCTCTGGCGCGGGAGCATCCATTGGCTCCTACGAGTGGTTGGATCTGGCACTGGGCAGTGACACGGGTGGCTCCATCCGCAATCCCGCAGAAGTCCAAGGCGTCTACGGCTCTCGTCCCTCGCACGGCCTCGTTGAACTCGACCACGTCATGTCCATGTCTCCTGTGCTGGACACAGCGGGTGTGCTGACCAGGGATCCGTATCTGTGGGACCGCGCCAACCAGGCGCTCTACAGCACCAACTACACCTCGTTCAGTGAAAAGACGGTCAAGTACCCCAGCAAGCTGTATACCATTGATTTTCCGACCACCAATGATTCTGCAGCGGATGCACTGCTGGCCAAGTTCCAAAAGCGCTTGGCGATTTTCCTCAACACAACGGCCACACCGCTGGATCTGCCTGCGGACTGGGCCTCCAACCCCCCGGCTGATGCTCCCAGTGATGTGTCTCTCGAAACGTTACTTAACCTGACCTATCCGATGTTGATCACCAAGCAGCAGATTCCTCTTGTCAGAGATCCTTTTTATGCTGATTATGCTGGTACGCCCGTCCCCCGAAGTTCTGTTTCTCTTCATATTGTTGACTGATGACTGATAGCCAAGCATGACGGACGAGTCCCCTTTGTCGACCCTGTGCCTCTATCCCGCTGGGACTGGTCGATGGGGTACCCCGACTCGGCCCTCGACGAGGCCATCTATAACAAGACGCTTTTCATGGACTGGATTGCTGAGAACTACCTCACGCCTATTTCCGATCCTGACCAGTGCTCCTCGTCACTGATTGTGTACGTGGGCACCGACGGCTCGCAGACGCCGCGTAATGTCTATCGCTCTCTCCCAGGTGCACCCTCGGGGTACAGCCGCTTCCTGATCTCCAACATGGCGAGTGTGCCTGACTATGTCATTCCCATTGGAGAGGTCGAAGCCTTTAGCACAATCACGCAGCATAAGGAGAAATTCCCCGTGGCCATTGATGTTCTGGCCGCCAAGGGCTGCGACGGATTGCTGGTCAGACTGGCCCAAGACTTGTTGGAGGCTGGCATCATCACTGCGCCTTTGGCCGGAGGCACCCTGACTGGTGGCTCAGTTCTGTTCTGATGAGGTGCTTTGAGGATCTGCCGGATACTTCTTTGGACAGGGTCCAACTCCGGGCTTGAGATGAGTGATGGTTGACGATTTGGGATGCCTGTATGGTAAATAGACACTTTGTATAGAATCTGAACATGAATAGACTCCGCCATAACTTATCGCATGTGTGCACACGTACCATGTAGACAACTCGGGGAGGGATGCGGAGAAAAGAGACGGTGAGTCAGACCGACGCGGATCCTGGCGGATACAGCCGACAAACGCTTATCATGCAGCGCGCTAGACACGCCAGGATTGAGCCAGTGACGCGACTGGTGCCTGGTATGATGCCTCGTTTTCCTTCCTTTTTCTTTCCCCTTCCCTCGATCCAGCTGCATCAACCCCAGATGTTTTCTCTTTTGCTGTGCCGCCCTTCTTGGTGTAGCATATGCCTCCACCCAGACTGTCCTGCAGGCTGATAGCTCAGACGACTTTCGCGTGGTCCGCAGCCAACATTCCCCCCGATTACTCCATTCGCATCCGTCAGCAAAACGAATCTCTCTGCGCGGCTGGCTCGACCTCAGTACACCGGCTGGCTTGACATCGGGTCTAAACACTTTTTTCTTCTGGTACTTTGAGAGCCAGAATGATATCCCGCTAGCGACCCCCTAACTCTCTGGATGACTGGTGGACCGGGTGGCTCCAGCATGATCGGGCTGTTTGAGGAGGTCGGTCCTTGTCTGGTCAACGAGTATGGAAATGGCACGTACTACAACCCCTATGGCTGGTCTCGGAATTCGTCCCTACTCTTTGTTGATCAGCCGGTCGATGTGGGCTTTTCCTATATTGACGAAGGCTACGAATTGCCGATCGATTCGCATGAGGCTGCTGTCGACATGCACCGGTTCTTGCAGCTCTCCATCTCCGATGTCTTTTCCTCACCACCAGTCCCATCCGCTTCACCTATCCGGGAAATCATATGCCGTACGCTAAACTTCTATCCCTCTTCGATGGCATGCGCACCACTGACCTCCGCAGGGCCACTACGTCCCATACCTCGGCGCCCAGATCATCCAACAGAACCAGCTCAATCCCCACGCATTCCAAGTAGGTCGGAACCGGTTCGATAGTAAGTCAACCTTCCTCTAAGTATTTGATCGAAGCATCCTAATCAGGTATGGCATAGTCACCGCCGACCTGCGAAGTCGACGGCATCTGCTACATCCAAGCCACGCATATCGAGGAATACCTCAACTCCGCAGCAGTCTGGGAAGCCCTTTCACCTCCCAAGGAGATCACAGAATACAAGAACGTGGCCGAGTCCGTGTCGCTAGCATTCGGCCGTAGCTCGGACGAGATGACACCTTCATCGGTTCAAGTCAAATTTCTACTAGAGAATGGGGTCCATTATCTCGCTTACCAGGGGAATCTGGACCTGGCCTGTAATACGGCAGGGAATCTGCGCTGGGCGAGTTCATTGTCCTGGAAGGGACAGGTCGAGTTCACGTCTAAGACGTTGCGGCCGTGGACGGCGACAGATGTGGTTACGGGTGAGAGCAGATTGGTAGTCTCGATGAAGGAAGTGAATGTTCGGGTGGATGGCCGTGTTGGTGCGAAATCGCGGTTCGTGTTGGTGACGGTGGATGGGGCTGGGCATGTTGTAAGTCACCCCACCCTTGACAAAATATAGGTGGATGCTAACTCGATAAATTGTTGGCAGCTGCCTCAAGACTGCCCTGACGTGGCATTGGATATGATGGTTCGGTGGATCAATGGAGGGCAGTTCTACACATGGCCGTTAGATCAGATTAAGCAGCCTTCTGGTCATTGTACAGCTTGACATTTAAGGAAGAATCAGATTCTAGCGATAATACCAAGCCCTTTAATGACGGCTACAGAACCGCAGTATCACGAGGTAAAATATCCTCCCTCATGTCGAAGGACAATGCGACAGCATAATACATAGTATATCAAACATATCCAGTGAAATACCATCCCTCTACTTTCTCATATAAATAGGGTCATACAGCTCTACCCCTCCAAAACCACCCCAAAAGACATTCCTACCCTACCCCCCCCTCTCCGACAAAACCAACCCCAACTCCCCAACATCCAACGCCAAATAATCCCTCGCCCCCGTATCAAACCCCACCCCATCCTCCCCGGGCACCAATTCAACATCAAAATTCAACGCAACACAAGCAACAAAAACCCGCATCGTCATCATCGCGAATTCCTTCCCGACACATCCCCGAGGACCTAATCTATCAGCCTAGTCTAGACCACCAACACCATCTCAAGGGAAGAAGGAGGTGGGGGGGGGGGGAGGGGGGTGTACATACCAATCTGGAACGGAAAATACGCCCGTTCATCTACACCCAAGGACGGGTCGGTGGTAATCCACCTCTCGGGTACAAACTCCCCTCCTTGAGGAAAAAACCGCTCATCGCGATGCACGGCATATTGCGGGACAAGAACGTTGATAGCACCTGGGATATAGACGTCCCCGATATATAGACCCTCCGGTGGAGTCACGCGCGGTTGACCGCTGGGAACAGCTGGTTTCAGACGCATGGTTTCTTTGAGGATAGCGTCGAGGTAGGGGATGTTTCGGAGTTTAGTGTAGGTGGGGGGGTGGGTTGGGTTGGGGAAGAGATGGTCGAGGTGGGATTGCAGGGTTTTGTAGATGGTTGGGTGGGTGGCGAGGTAGTGCAGGGCGCAGGCCAGGGTGGTGGCTGTTGTGTCGCTGGTTGGGTATGGTGTTAGGGTTGGAGGGTATGAAGGGGGAAAGAAAATGGGGAGGGGGATACCTTCCGGCGAGGATGAGGACGTTGGAGTCTTCGTGGAGGGCTTTGGGTGTGGGTGGTGCGGAGCGGTCTTTCTCGGCTTGGGCTTTGAGGAGCCAGGAGATGATGTCTTGGGGGGTTTTGTCGGGGGAGTGGTTGTATGCCTGGGATATGAATACTGTGTTGGTGGGGGGTGGTGGATGTATTGAGAGATTGTGACGAACCTGTTGTCTCTCCTTGACCATTTGACTGCAATACATCTTGAACGATCCAAATCCACCACTGAGTGGTTGGAGTGCATTTAGCGGGTACGAAAGCCAAGGGATCTGGTTAAGAAGGCCTAGCATGAACAGCTGGTCGTGCATGCCTTTGATAGCGTAGTGCTCGGTGGCGGTTTCAAGCTGTTTGAAATCGTGGCTGAATCCTACCAGGCCCATCACGTCGAACGAGTAGAACATAGTCCATTGGGATATGTTGAGAGGTTTGTTAAGTCGGCATTTTAGTTCGGTTATGAGTGACTCGGCTTTGGAGATTATTCGCGACTCGTATTGGGCGAGGGCTACATATTAATTGACCACTGCGTCTGAAAGATCATGTTTAGCTCACCTTTAACACCCAATCCCCGATCCCACGCCCGCCTCCGCAGACGATGCAATGCCGGGTCTCGCGTGGTGTTTACTGAAGTTTCGGTGTCGAGTCTGGAGACCTGATGATACCATGCGGACTTGATGCAAGGTGACTGCGAGCCATAGATGATGGGTATCGCTGAAGGGTGAAAGATAGTAATCTCTCGGGGGCCTATATTGTGTCATGACCAATGCCAAATAAAGAGGAGTAAGTCACCTACCAGTGCGAACGAAATCTCCATACTTGCGCTGCAAGGCAACTTGATCCGAGAAGAGCTGCCAGCTTTTCCACTGCAAGGTGAAAGCGTAGAGTTTGCTTATTCTCGCGGCAAACGGGCCGGGGAAATTTCTCAGGCGATGGAAAAAAGCTCGGTAGATGATCATGCTTGTTGTTAAACCTGTCGTGAAACAAAAGGTCATGCTGAAAACTGTTTTGATGGCTGAGAGGAGAGCTGCATCGTAATATTGGCAGTTGACACAGACTAGGGTTATCCATATGGCTATGAAAAGGCAAAGTAGGCGTAGAATCTGATAGTCAATCTCCAATGGCAGTATGGACAGGTGAAAGGCAACGCCAAGGAAAGCGAAGCAAATATAAGATCCCATTGTCTCCATATCAAATGCAGGAGTAAATCAAATAACCATCTGGGGATTCAATATGACTATTCACGTTTGGTCCACCGGGAGCAAAAGGGAAACCTTGAATAAGTGACCGAGGTGACAGGAATTGAAAACTACTCGTATGAGCTGGGTGGTTGCTCATTATAATTCTGCCCAAACGTAACTGATATATGTCGCTTGAGTATACACTCACCGACACTTGGATGATCCATTTGTGCTGACAGGTTCGGGCGAGCTGCATATGCATCTCCTTCCGTGCTAGTTGCCATGCAGCCAGAACTGTAACTCGGTCTTCTTTTAGTATCTACTGTATCGAGACAAGAGACATGTGGACCATATATGGTTGGTCTATTGTAACCGCGGTTAGGTATTTATTTTGGAAAGGATCAGTGACTTTATGGAGATGTGCTCAAGCGAATGTCAAAGTACTATTATGCTGATGTTGAGAGAAGAATTTCCACAACATCTAATTAGGACATAGAACTAGCAACCAGGCCAGCAAAAGCAAATTCATTGTTTATACTCGTCCAAGCAGAAATTCGGTCATGACAATAAAATAGAACCCGATCCAGTTGCAAAAGTAGTGGGGTTCGAATCGAACCTGGGCTGACTAAACTCGCCATATTTGGACGTGCGCAGGGTACCAATCTACCCGTAATCATAAGGCAGAACGTATTTTGATCGGCTGACCAACTGCATTCAAACTCATCTCATAAAACGCTGTAAGACGTGTATCCCCTGACTCGGCGCAAAGTGATCCGATCCTGTACCTGGAGCATGCGAGATGGAACCGGACATATCCCACGAAAAACTGCTCCACACGATCCGACAGCTTCGCATCGCCAATTGATTCCAACATTCTTCGGACTCTCTCACGACATTCCAGGGATATGTTGACTGACTCGAGGAGTATCTCTGAGCAATTCCTCCCGGTACAGGCAGCTTCATTCAAAGGAAAATTCACCCGGTCCAAGGCCGTGCTACTCTCCTTGTAGAATGAAAAGAAATCATTCACAGTGCCAACATAGAACTCCAGCTCAGCTTCCAAGGAAACGATGATGGGCAAATATTCGTCCTGCGGAAACTCGCTCTCTGGAAAGCAAATAGCTGCTTGCACAGGTCCCTGGGCACTCATGCGTCGAATATAACTCGGGTAGTTTGAACCCACGTAGCCCTTGAAGAGGGTTCTCTCGACACTAGTTGCCTGGATAAACTCCACCGCGCCTCGAAAGATGGTTGTCTGGGCATAGGGTCCGTAGTATTGGAGAATAGTTGGGAAGAAAGCGAATAGTCCCTTCCAAGCCGGATGTTCGATTTCACGTCGCTCGGATAATCGGAGGCATAGTTCATAAAGACTGTCATGCTCCTCCACGGGGATATCGTCGACTGACATTTGGAAACTGTCATATACGGCGACAGCTTTGCGGATTTCGAGAGGAAGGAAAGGGAATGTACAATGTACATATTCTGAAAGAGAACGAACAATGCCTTCCTCCTCCGGTAGGAATTTCAAAGTGTAATCATAAATAGCCTGCAGATCGTGGGAAGAAAGACTCGCTTGGTCATTGTAACCAAACCTGTCCAGGAAGTCGACAAGTATTGTGCTCAGCTCAGTGGACGAGATAAATTCCATAGTTCCTTCAAGTTCGAACAGTGGCAATAATCTGGTTTGCTGGTGTTACCTCCCCTATGGAAGCCGTATTCTTGCCAGTATTTATATAGCAGGGTCCACCAGTTTCTCAGTAGTCAGATCCTGTCATAATAATTGCACTACTCGTTCATCCCAAGATTCGTCCCACCAATGGGGTAGGTTGCTTCTTGCCAAACTTAAATTCCGTAGGTGGCATATGTCAAAAGACGAAAAGAGACCTCTCCGTCACAGGAGTGACTGAAATGGTAGGTAAGTCCCAACAGATGATTGTTGAGCGGGCAACAACTATGGACAGGTACAGATATGCATCTACTTATAGCAAGGTGCATTGACACATCTCAGCAGCCGCGTCACCGGGCTAGGCTATGGAATGCGTTCATGCCAGGGGCCTATGTAGGCCGCTGGATGCGGAGGTCACGTGATCCATAAGACAGCCCTGACACCGCCAGTGTATAGCTTCGTTACGACATCAAGTATGAAGTAACAGTTGTACTGGTAAATTGGTAAGCAATACGAGCGCAGCGAATGCCACTGGTAGTTACTAGACGTCGACAATGCGAGTATGCCTACCCAAATCCTTTTGAGACGTAGGAAACGTGAAATCTAGCTGTGTGAGGCTTGGCGATCTCTACCGGAGTCGATAGTCTACTTCCTCGAACAGTCATTGAAAAATAATACCCTGTACTACGCCAGGAGTAGCATCAAACAACTGTCATGCAAGTCAAATTATCAAATTTTCTTCATCACGCATGACCTCTGTGGCCGGACGAAAGAGGCATAAATTTCCAATTCGGGTTGAGCTTGCGGAATCTCAACGTTTCTTTTCTGGAACCATGCAGTGATTCGACGATTTCCAAGAAAGCTTGCCAACTTGGCTACGTTGGATTCCAACTTCAAGGGGTCATCCGTATACTGGCGTATCCTTATACTGGGGCAATTACGCTACATATATAGAACTCGACCCTCAGCATGTACCAGTTGCATCCAAGTGTCACGCTCCTTGTGAATTGCCCAACGCAAAGCTCAAAAAGATGGATTCTCTTTATCTCTGGCTTGTACCGTCCCTCATTATTTTTTCAATTCTTGCAAGGAGCATATACCGTCTTTACTTTCACCCGCTTAGCAAGTTCCCGGGTCCGAAATTGGCTGCGATCACTCATCTTTTCGAGTTCTATTACGATGTGGTACAAGACGGGATGTTTCTCTGGGAAATTGAAAAAATGCACGAGAAATATGGTAGGACCCAGTTCGCATGAGATTTCTTTCTTCCGCCAATCACATGCTTAACATGGACAGGTCCAATTGTCCGAATCAATCCGCGCGAACTCCATATCAAGGACCCTCACTACTACGACCAGATATATGTCTCGGGAGGCAAAAAGAGGAACAAGGATCCACATTTTGTCCCTTTATTCGCAGCCCCCCTTTCAATGATAACGACCGTTGACCATGAGCATCATCGTTTCCGGAGGGGTCTTCTCAGTAACTTCTTCTCCAAGAAGTCAGTGGCCAACATCGCTCTACTCATTCAGAGCAAGGTAGCGAGTTTAACAGATCGATTTGAGCAAGCCTACCGAGATGGGACGACTGTAGATCTGACAGCAGCCTTTTGTGCTCTCACAGGCGACATCATCTTTCAGTATACTTTCGGTGAAAGCTTAGACTTCTTGCATGATAACAACTTTAAGAATGATATTCGCGGCAGCATTCTAGAACTGGAGAGTGTCAACCATCTGAATCGATTCGCCCCGATCCTGATTCAGCTCTTCCAACTCATGCCATCCGGTATAATGAGCCTTTTCAAGCCCGCCACAGCTGCACTGCTGGGAGAAGTGACCAAAAAATCACAGCGCGCATTACAGAGCAGCGACCATCAATCCTCTGACAAGAAAGACCAGACATTGCTTGAAGCGCTCAGCTCACCAACAATACCTGCTGATGAAAGAACCTTGGCCCGCCTAAAGGAAGAAAGCATGATCCTCCTAAGCGGAGGCACAGAGTCTCCTGCCAATGCACTTTCTGTGGCCGCATTCCATTTGTACAATGACAAATCTATAATCAGAAAGCTCCGGGAAGAGCTGCAGCCGGTGATGCCCTGTGCTGGAGATTCTGTGCCTCTGGCAGACCTGGAGCAGCTGCCATATTTGGTTCGTCCCCTCTACTCAGTTCAGCTAGGTATCCCAACATCTAATATAGCCCGCGGCATATAGACTGGGGTTGTCAATGAAGCTCTCCGACTGTCCTATGGTCTCGTCTCTCGACCACCACGAGTTGCACCGGACGAGGCTTTGACATACGGGGATTTCACCATCCCACCGGGAGTAGGTCATGCTGCTTCTCTGTACTTCCACAGTGCTAACCACCTCCTCCGCAGACCCCGGTTAGCACATCAAGCTATTTCATGAATACAGATCCTACTATATTCCCAAACCCAGAGTCATTTAATCCAGAGCGCTGGATCCTAGCAAAAGAGCGAGGTGAAAATCTCACCCGATTCATGGCATCGTTTGGGAAAGGAAGCAGAGCGTGCATTGGCATAAAGTAAGTTGTTTGCCTCTGGCTAGACAGATCTGGACTAACTCGACATTTCCGGTACAGTCTAGGCTACGCAGAGCTGTATTACACCATAGCTGCTATGGCTCGCAGATTCGACTTTGAATTGTGCGAGACTACCGAGGACAATATTCGGGTTGTTCGTGATCGTGGACTCCCGTTTTCGAAGGACGGTCACTGGCGGGTTAAAGCTAAAGTGTCGAAGATTTACCACTAGTGATATGGTTAGTTAGATGCACCTGAATATCGCGGCCTTTTATGTAGCAGATTCAATGCGAGGCGCTGCAAGACTGAATACGCAAAGTATCAGTACATTTCCCCTCATGACCTCGATATGTTTGTGGTCATAAAAGCCGCCGAATATGTACTTGTTGCGTCTTCTGCACGGGGTTTCAAGACTTACACGTATTTCTCCCTATAGGGTAGCTTCCCCAAGTCGCATGACTCTGGTCAAAACGAGAAACATCACAAAACACTCCACGAGTGCAGTGGAGTCATCAATGGGGAGTTTGATAAAGTCTAGTGTAGGCTTATGCTGAGCTAACCTGGGGATTTTGAGTAGCTCAGGGAGCTTTTGAATTTTGATAACAGGAAAGGAAATCTGTTTTCTCTCGCAGCAGTCTGAAATTGTCTCTTCAGTTCTTCCTTATGATGTGTTGAGGCGCCTGGTTGGTCGGTAGGGAGGATCACGTGTGCTAATCACGTTGGCCACCCCCAACACGTTCTTCTTCCCTGCCGCTGTAGCCTAGATAACCAATACAAGCAACAATTTCACCTTCACTGAGCTGTAGCTCATAGCATGGTGCTAATAGATATCCGGCACTAGTGCCAGCACCTCTCAGGCGCTTCAACCCGTTAATCCTGTCCCTCCCTACAGATATCAATGACGAAGCATTTCGGGACAACATCGCATAGTCACGTGACCTGAAGGGTCATCTGGATGACGCAGGGGATCGTCCCGGCAGTTGCAGCTCACCGAGCCACAGACTTTTAATATGATTGCTCTTGATCACCCCGATCGCATCAGACTTTCCCATGTTTACTCATGGCATGGCTCCCGTTTCATGTCACAACATAGTTGGCTCAATAATCTTTGATCTATGGAGAGCATAATGAGCAGTAATGATATCCGATTACAGAATTAAGATAAGAGCACACTAAACCAAATCTTGCACCGTAAAGTCTGCCCCAGAGCGTTGATTTCATAAGGCATGCCATCTCCACCTATCTCAAAACACCTTGAAACCACTGGTGTTCCAACGCCTCACGGGCAGTAATTCTCTTTTTGGGATCAAAATTCGTCATGCCACAGATAAGATCTTTGAAATCATCATCAATTTGCTTCCAAAGGGCAAATGGTTGGCGCGGATTTTCCTTGTTTAACCCATCCCATGTTACCTTGAAGATCGGCACCCAAGGATTATCACCAAGGTGTTCGAAAAGACCATTCAATCCAACTTCATCTGCGAAGTATGAGATCTGGCGCTCAATTACAATTGCCAGTCGATGTATGCCCTCATCCAATTCGTCTTCTCCGACCGCCAGTATGACGTGTTTGTAAAGGACACAAATACACTGTAAGAAGTAAATAACTTGCAGATTGGGAGTGACTGGCAGGGGCTACTTACCACCAGCGCATACGAAAAGATATCAGACGGCTTACCCACTGGCCCTTTCGCATGAGCCTCGGGACTTCTTCACATCCAGTTGCCCGCTTGCTTGCCAATCATGTATGATCCAGGTGGAATATATGCGCTATCTTCCAGATCTCCAAGCTGGACTCTCTCGATCATGACCCCGTCCTGGGAATCCTTCCAGTTGACGAAGAAATTATCTGCCTTGATATCTATCTACAATAAGCCACGGCCTCTTAATCTAGTAAGAATGAGACATACCGGTATGAACAATATCTTGGTCATGCATTTCAGCAATCCCACGCAGGCCATCTTTCAGGATTCGTTTTACCGTTCCAAGGGACAAGTCCTTTTGACTAAGACGTAAAAGATGATCCGCGAAATATTCAAAGACGAACATTGACTGATCAGGGATAATATCTTGGGTAAGACGAACATGGCTAGCATTGTTGCGTAGCCTGTTATTTATGTCTTTAAGATATTCAAAATTGACTGCATGAATGTATTTCAAAATGAATTTTCGGTCACCAGCGCTGATGGAAATAATAATGAGAAAGTAATCATTACTAACTAGTCAGAGTTCACTCACGTTGCAAGGCAAACATGACGTCGTGGATCCGTCTCGTCCTGTAATACCCGTTCGATCTGATAATGGAGGCCAGACTGGCCAACGTAATCCTCAGTATTAACCGGGGAAGTTGACATTGTGCTTGTTCTGCGACAGAGAGTATGTTTTGCGAAAATGAATTTGCGGCTAGAGAGGTCCGGGACTACTAGGTTAGAGTATGCCCGGTTTCTGAAAGAGCGAACAGCCTGCGAACATAAAGATCCGAAAGATGGCATTGCAGGCAAGGTGCATAGTTCGGTTGCTGGGTCCAGGAAGCGTTGTTGGTACTTTGACGATGCCGCAAAGGAGTCCACTTGGGTTAAATAGCGGACCGTCCGAGCGCTTAGCCAGTCAAAGACCAATGCATAGTAAGCCGGCAATGCACCCCACAGGATCACCTGAGTGGCCAAGGGGCCGTCGCGACAAGTCAGCAGCGCTTACCCAGTGACGAGGTGGATTTTCTACCATTTCAAGCCCCATACTCAGCCTTGTCCGCATCGCTAGTGCTATATAGGTAAAGCGCTAAAATTATACCCACAAGCAGCGCAGAAAGAAGTGAGTGAATAAGTATAGAATATAGTTCTAGTGTGTGGAGAATATACAGATCGGTCGAACCCATACAGTGTCATTTCTCGGAATTTAATATGTCCCGGGCCAGAAAACTCCTGATAGTGTTATTTATATCTGCATACAATGCGTTCCATACATTCCTTCACCTTCGAAGCAAGAAAGGAATGCTACTGACCTGTGTCACCCTCCGTCAAAATCATGTGCTTAGCAAATAGTTTAGTCATCTCCCACGTGTCACATCTCTGTGGTCTCCCAGGGTCTCCTTGTGTCGCAGTCTCCCACAATCAACAATACTCCCGCACAAGCAAGCCCTAGTCATCCAGCCATGGAGCTCACTCAAGTTACCCCTGCAGAGATCCTCTTCAAAGAAAAGCTTTCCATGTCTGAGTTCTCTGCGATTTTCCTTGTCGTCGTACGAGAGCAGCTTTGTGTAATGAAGGTCGTGAGTCTAACCATCCTGCTGCGGCATGTGAATTACTGGACTAAACTATCTAGCACCACGGACGAGGCCCTCGAGAGTACTACGAGCCAGTCAACCGTGAACTGGACATCCACGTACGGGAATACACAGCCTACTGTCGCCTCAAGAACAAGGGACTGTGCGGATGTGTGGTGCCGAACCTATTGGGAAGACTGAGGAAATTCGATCCCAAGCTCTGCAGGCCTCATCTGGATACCTTCATTAGCGACAAATATCTGCCCAGTGCTCTGCTATTACAGTATATTCCACATATGGAAATGATCCACTTACATAACTTCTCGGAGAATCGGATGGATAACCTGATCATGGGTATTCAGGCCATCCATCAGGCCCTTGTTCGGCACCGAGATCCGAAGCCAAGAAACATGATGGTCCTCAAGAATGATCCGGGAAGGGTGATGTGGATTGATTTTGACCGTGCAGAAACTTACGATGAAGATACTATCACGGAGAGACAGGAGGAATTACTGGCGGAAGAGGAAGATATCGTTAGAGAGCTTAAAGAGTGCCTTGTAAGTACTAGCTTTTCTGGATACGATTCTGTTATTAATAAAGTTTACAGCAGGCGGACTGCCTTGGTGGTGAGCTCAAAGAGTCATATCTCTTTTATTGTTGAACCCTTAACCCATGCGTGAAAATCATGGAGATACGTTGTGGGTAATTCATGATACCTGTATCACAGAGTCGCTCACTGTAGGGAACCAGGAGCTTGGGTAAAAGGCCTACAGCATGTGCCAACAAGTTAATTTTGCCCTTGGTAACCAAAGTCAAGCAGGGATACTGTTGGCTGACTCGCAATAACTGCACTTCCTTGACACGACGTCTTCAAAAAGGGGAACAAGTTGACTCAAAACACCACGGACAGTTCCATGTGAAGTACCCACTGATTCCTTTTGTCCTCTCAATACTCTCAGTTTGGTCGTCCACTTTGCGAGTTAGAATGGTGTGACAGAAGGCAAATTGCTTGTTGTGCGGGGTCAGGGAGTCTGTCCTACCGTGGGACAGGGGGGTCAGAGTGATCCCAGTCAGAGACTATGGGCTAATTCAGTGCACACTTCGAGATACTAATACGAAAATGGACTGAGAGAAAGGAACCAATTGTGGTTGCATCTAGTAAAGCCTAAGGGATTGGACATAAGCCATTAATCAGCCACAGCATCGCGGCTGAGGAAATAGTTATGCTTGAATGAACAAATCTATTGTTTATTCATTTATGCTTCGTGATTACCTGTCCATTGTTGTCTACGGCAGCGACACACCTTTCTCATCAGTAGCCAACCCATGTTGCCTGGATTAGGGCTCAGCGGAACTATGATAGTTTGATAGAGAGCAGTAGTATACAATTATATTGGTGATACAATGGCCATGAAATGAGTACGAACACAGCTTCAGCTTTCGGGCAACCCAGTCCTGGGACCAAGCAAGGAACACAACCGTGCTGGGGCATGATAGGGTGCCCATGTACCCCCAACAACTGTCAAAGCAATCCTACTAATACAAACCCCACTCGACCTTCTGATTGCCGGCATCACCACCGCACTCCATATACCCTTTCGCGCCGACACGACCGTCAGAGGCGTATTTCGAGATCGATTCAGTGATGATATTGACGATATCCTGACTGCCAGTATGATAGGTGACGTCGCCAGTAACACCCACATTCTGGACGCCAAAATGGCAAGAGCCGAACTTGGCAATGGAGCGTTGGTGACCGATCCCAGTAGTCCACTCGCCGTTCGTGCCCTGGATGTTTTTCACAATCGTTTGACAGTCGGATACCAGCGGGGAGGCAGAGGAGGTCTCGTCCTGGTAGGTGTAGCCGCTGCACTTGGTCACGCCTTGCAACGGGTTGCAGGGGTAGTACGGGGCGCTGGAGTTGGACTGGGATGGGTTGGACCACGAGGCCCAGGCGACTTGGGGGCTGCACACCGGAAGGCGGATATAGCCAGGAGTGGTGATGTCTTGGTTGGAAAGATCTTGCAGAGTATCCTTGTCCAAGGGGTTGGCGACGGGTCCACCGTTGGCATTGCCGTTCGCCTCGTATGTTCTGACGGACCCCTCGATGAGATCGGACAAGGTAATATTTCCCCAGAATCCGGAGGCGAGGGAGCTCAGTCCTGGTGGAGCCGTGAAATATGTAGCGTAGTCGCACGGTGATGGGGATACTGAGCCACAATCCACGCAATCGATCGTCTCGGTGTCGTTACTCGGACAGCCCCGCCACGTTCCATCGGGATGGACCAGGTAGTACAGCTTATCCTTGTAGCATGAATAGGTGGCCTCTTGGGTGGCCGCGGTCATGTAGTCGGTCAAAGGGTTCTGCGCACTGCAGGGATAGCCCGAGTCCACGACGAAGGCGGCGGTGCCGGAGACCTCCCAGACTGACGGGATGGCGAAGCCAAAGAAGGCCTTGCTGATGTAGCTCTCAATCTGGGCGTTAGTCTGGGAGTCAGGTTTCGCGCTTACCGATGCGCTGCCGCCGCTGCACTCAATGAGATTACCATTGGCAATCAGAGTGGTGAGGAGAGAGATGGAGGCGTCAGATCCATTGAACAGGTTCCAGAGTTGATCTTGAGCGATGGCACTCCAGCCGGCGACTACGGATCCCAGAGTGGCGGAGAAAGTATCCTGGGAAGATGCGGTCCATTGGCCCCTGCATAGAAGCAATCAGCGGATATTGAAATCTATAAGACGCAAGGATACGTACGGTGCTTTCGAGGATATTGTGTCAGTCGCGATCGATGCTCCGTACGCCACAATGGCATTGGTAACATCAGCGGCAACGTCAGCGCCGGCATCGCCCAGAGCGGAGCTCAGTGCCGGTAGATCTGTCAGGACTATGGACAATCAGAACTAGTGGTCCAGGCGGCGCAAGTGCGAAAGTTGTATCCCAACTTACCACCCTCAAAGTATGGCGCGGCGACCACCGTGATACCGAGACCTAGAAGGTTGAACAAGATGTCTATCCACGTGTCGCTGGGAGCTGGAGGCACCGGGGCGAAGGTGTCCTCAAAGTCCTGGAGCTTGTTGTCGATGTACGTTCCTGCAGCTGCGTTGATGGCGGCAGAGAATTGGGAGTATGCCTGCATGGTGCGTTTCGTCAGCGGCTTTCATCCCTCTCAGTAGGGAGTGGCGAGGCTTACCGAGTTGATCACCGTGAGAGAATTATAGATCAGCATCGCTGCGGCACCTGAATCACCGGTGCCCTGGCCGAAACCTTGGAACCATCCGCACGTTTCGGCGTTATTGCAATTGCCAACTGGGCTGACCAGTCCACAATTTGTCTTTTCACCACCATGGAAAGTGTTCATGATGGACAAGGAGAAATCCCCTTCGGCAGGCGTCATTCTCGGCTGATCGATATTCTTCCAGACATTGATGGCATCGGACCACGCGTTGGAAGCGTCCAGCTCCGACCAGCGCTGGGGGCATGGCATCCACAGGGCATCTTGAATAGCCGGATCCGTACAAGTCAAGGAAGTCCAGTTGCCAGTTCGGTTACCCTCTACATAGGGATCTTTATCCAGGACGACGTCGTCAATGAGGGCAGCCCAGCTCTTGGCGATGAACGGGGGAGGATTGTACTTTTGCAGGTCGGTGGCCCAATCGGTGGTTCCACCCATGGCGAGGTCCTTGTAGAGTGCCCTTCGTGTGGCTTTGACGCCATCACTCATCCAGCCGACCCATTGAGTGTCGTCATAAACAAGGATGTTGGTGTCACTAGCGACGTCAATGTAGCTCTCGGTGACCCGACTAGAGTTGGCGAGAATAGCCTCGATTTCGGCATTAGCAATGTAACCCGCAGTTTGAGTACAAGGCCCAGGCGCAGCTTGCGAGTCATCGGCTGAGCCCAGGAATTGGCACTGAGGCCCGTAGCAGCCTGCTTCAGCCATGGCAAATGAGCGTCCGTAGCTGGTCACGCCGACAACGACCTGGTTGGAGGGGACACCTGCTTTGGTGATCTGGTGACACCAGGTTGGCATTAATGATGAAATGCAGTGGGATCCAGTAGCAGCAGGGGCCTCAAGCTCACCATAACTAAAGAGCCGATTGTTTCGGTAAGGTTGACGTCCGAACGTAAACAATTGCCAGTAGGACAGCCAAGCTGTGACCATTGATTGTTGGCATCCCACTATAATAGCAGAAGTGAAGTCTGGGTGAGTATTGTCGTCCACATGTCTTACTCTCAATCGAGAGGGGTGTCATACCTGTCCGTGCAAATCGTAGGTCATATAGATGATATAGTCCAGGAATGGGGTCATCTTCTTGATTGGAAACCCTTTTAGGTACCAATACGATGACGGCGCCGCAATCGTGATTTCCTTTTCATCCCCAAGGAGGTTTCTCAATACAACCAGGAAAGCGAGATAGTTGTCACCATCATCGGTACTAGCAGCAGGGATGCCAGGGATATCCGGTGCCTATAGCGAGAGGAGAAGGTTCATTAGCAGGTTAGACAACGACGCAGGCAGGATGTAAGGTAATTAATGCTCTTACCCCCGGATACTCCCAGTCGATATTGACACCATCGAGATCGTTGTCCTTGATAAAATTGGCAATGTTGGTCGCCATGGTCAGACGATTGGCAGCAGTGACGCCCTCGCGAAAGATCATATAAGTGCTCGGGTCGGTGGAAAACGCCCAGCCGCCAATGGACAGAACACGTTTGACGCCTTGGAGTCGTTTGAACAGGTTGAACTCGTAAGTAGTCGTGAGGTTAGGGATCTGGACCACATAAGAGGAGGATAGCACGCCAAAGGAGAAGTAGATGTGGGTGTAAGCAGAGGTGTCCAGCTGAGAGATGTCCTGGTAGAGGCAGGGCCGCTGCAGGTTGAAACCTTCGTAGAAACCGATACTGCGGTACGTCGCAGGGGGGCTACTTAGGACGATGTTGGTGCCACAGTTCGAGATGCAGCCATTGGTGCCAGGTGCCGCGGTTCCAGGTGCCCCCGTGCCAGTATTCGTGCAGAACCCGGCTGTCGTACCACACTAGGATCTTTGTCAGGCACGGACGAATGATTCGAGGGCAGGAACGACTTACTTGGCCCCATACATCGCAGCACGCATTCAGCGGGCACTCGTTGAGCAGAGAGATATTTTTCCCACTGGGAGGGGTCGGGGTGCCGGGGACCTGTGGCCCACAAATGGCATTGGAGACCGACGCCGGCATGGGCGGATTGCCAGTACTGACACAGATGACATTGTGAGGGTAGAGGCGCGTGCAGCCATTCCAAGCCCATGTGTCCTTGTTGAAAGTGTTGATATCATCCACGGTGATGCTGTATGTAGCGGCAATCTTGGAACAGCTGTCATCTGGCTGGACGGTGTAGGTCGCACAAGTGCCATCGGCCTGGGGCTTCGGAGCGAAGTCAGGCAACGTGCCGGCCGAACAGCAGACGTGCTCTCCCGGCGTCAGAGAAGAGCACTCGTTCGACTCGGGATTATACTTGGTGAACTGAGCCGGAGTGATCCCACATTTCTGCGCCAAGGTACTGCAGCTATCACCGGAGACGACCTGCACAGTGGAACAGGTGGTCCGAGGGGCGAGGGCCCTGCCCCGAATAGAGGTCGCATTGGCAGAAGTCGAGGTGGAGTTGGTGCTGATGGGCTTGGGGGAGGAAGGAAACAATGGCGTCGCCAGCGGGACAGTGCCGCTGACATTTTGGACCGATGGAAAGGCCAAGCATTCCGCCTGGGCCCATGCGCTAAGGGCATCTTGCACGGCAGCAAACGTTCCATTGCCTGTGGCCATCAGGCCAAAAACGTGGTGAGAAGTCTGACCCGGCTGGCAGAATTGCATGGCCACACTCGCCGAAAGGCTAGCGTTGGATGTTGCCATGGAGTTCTCCAGGTATGCCAGCACGATGTTACCAATACCCTGGCTCTGCAGACCTTGGCCAATGTAGAGCCCAACTGAGGTCGTGCCATAGCTGGCGAAGAGAATGGTCGGATGCTTCTCGCGGCCGAACCCATTAGACAGATATTGGCGCAACTGCTTGATGAGGGTGGCAAGAGAAGATGAGACTGAGGAGACCGGAGTGGAGGGCCAGGATCCAATCTGATATGTACCATTCACGGGGGCCGGGGCGCCTGCGGACTGTGATTTTAGGCTTGATGTGTTGGCCGGCAGACTCGCCCAATCGGGGCCGAAAGAGGTGCAGGCGTAGATGCGATGGAGGCTGTCCGGGTCATCGACAGGATCAACAAAGGAGAAGGAGTAAAAGAGAGACTCTTTGCACGAGGCGAGTTGGTCAAAATTGTGATAGAGGGACCAGTTGGCTGGATTGGGGCCCGAGGCGGCACATCGGGCGGGACAAGCAACAGACCGGCCCTGATACCCGGGGCTCGCGGAGAGCCGAACGGGCACCGTGACGGCGGAAGAGGTGCCAATAGAGAAGGACAAGGTAAAAAGAGCGAGATACAGGAACGTAAGGAACGGATTGCGTGGCCGAAGCCACGCACAACAAGCGGAAGAGAAAGACATCGAGCCACCGATGCGCCTGATGATTTCGTGGAAGGAACCGACGGGACCACGGAATTTATATTTGCTGGTGACCTCTCACTACTCGGCCAAGAGAACAGGTCCCCAGCCTGATCAACCTATCACCAGTGAGTCTCACGGACTGCCACTGCCGTAATTTCCCATGGACGGTTAAATCAGCGGAGAAATCGTCGCGAGGCCGCACTTGCGAACAGGGTTCCCTCGGAGTCCGACATCTACTGCCTCCTGGTGGAGTGCCTTACAGGGCCCCTCATCCTGGTCGAGGCGGAGCTTACACCTAGAGGAGACGGCGTGATACGACAAACAAGGGTCCTGGAACAATTGCGGAGCCAGAATCATAGACAAAAGAATAAAGATCGAAAGTAGTAATCAAAAGGTAACCAAAAGATAATAATCAGCATTATGAAATAATGTGCGGCTACTATCGGACCCCTATGCGACGCTAATCCACCGGGGTCCAGCATGAATGGACCCTGGATTGGCCAAGAAATGGCGCAACCTGCAGAGATCGGGCCGGCTCGGGCGCCACTACTAAAGACCTCCTGCAGCAGCATGCCGTGACTCCCGTTTAGCCGCCTGAAAAATCCCCCCTGAGGGCTTCTCGTCCTTCCTTCCTCATCTCCGTGGTTTCCTTGGTTTCACTGCTTTTCACTCCCTCAACAACCAGCCAAGCAGTACAACTTCATCAATGGCCGACACCACTCCAACCTTCAGTCCGGGCATCTTTGAAGTGGACTTGATATTCCCACGCAATGAAACTTACGCCCCTCATACACTGCTGCCCGTCGTGTTTGCGCTGCAGAATCCGCCTTTAGCTTTTCCTGTGGCTGCTTGGATCTCCTGGTCGTTGTGGGAAGGCAATAACTTGACTTCCCCAGGTTCCATCACCGACGGGGTTATTGAGCTGGCTTTATTGAACCTCACATCTACCGAGCCTCTCCTTGTCACCCGCTTCATTGACACGATTCCCTATCCGAACGGCTTCTGGACCTTTGAATGGAGCCTGCAAATGGACATGTGCTCTGCGGGATACGGCCCAGGTCAATTCATCGACACAAACAGTACGACCGTCTTCACTATCAGCCAGTCAGGTCAGGCTCCGGATCTCGTGGCAGCCACATCTTCTGATAAGTGCGGCACGATGAAAGCCTATGCGTACAACATAACCGCTGAGGGGGAGTCATGCGGCTACTTTGGGCCCAGCCCGACTACCAATCCATGCGCCGTGACGGTCAATGCTGCCGCAGCATCCAGTGTGATGGCGGCGGGCACCGCGCTCGCCTGCGACCCTCTAGAGTCGTCAATATACCCCAATGTTACTTGTCCGCCTGTTTCGGTCTCATCCTCCAACGTCGCGGGACAATATCACATGGCAGCAGCACCGACCTTGCTTACGCTGTTGGCCGTAGTGAGTGGGTTGATTCACCTTGGATGACAACGATGTATCTAGTGCACTGGTAGCGAGCCCTGGCCTCAATAGGCAAAGCAGCCATTTTCATATGTAGCAATATTATTGTCGGTAATATCGGATCAAGCTCGTTCTAACTGCCTTTCCACTCGTAATAATCGTAGTCAGTATTCTAATACCGCATGCAAGCGTACAAAGGTTGTGCATCGGAGTCCGCCGGGAGCTACTGGTGACACTAGTTCAGCCTTAGAATGCTGGGGAGGGGAGGTGTGGAGCTCATTCTGTTGGAGCGAAATGAGGGTTCCTGGCGACAGACCACTCGGCCAAAAGGACTAGTCCCAAGCCCGATCATCCTCCCACCAGATGACCTGACAGTTCCGGGTGGACTCTCCCGTCTGCCCCATGAGCTTGTCTGCCTTGGCAACAACCTTTATCTAGATAGGGGGCCCACTCGATTAGGAACCAGCTTTAGGCATCGACATAGAGAAAGCCACTCCTTTCAGGGATAGCTCTATGCCACCTACTCAGCCTTTTTGGCGGTATTATTCTGATACAGATATCACCCTGTCCGAGTCGGTCGGCAGTGGACAGCTGAATTGCACGCCCTCTCAGGGGTTTTTGAGTTCAGGAGAATGCAACCGTACTGAAACCTTACCAATCGCAGAGTCTACTAGTGCGTTGGTCCCTGAAATGGGGCAATGTTGCGGTGCAGAGTGATTGGCCCTTTTGAAAACTAGCCCAGGGTACTAGGGTTCAAGCTAAGCCTTGCGAGGTGTTACGAAGCTTTACCCCACCCACGCCCAATTTGCAGCTAAGGCTTCCGGTTGGTGCGATTGAAATCGGGCCGAGAGGTCTGACCGCCGGCCGACATTTTAATTTTCATTTGATTAGTATCCACTCCCTCTATCCAGTGACTATCCACATCGCTCAGCTGTAGACAAGGGGCTCGTACGGACTCCGCTCACGTTCCCGACAATGTCTCAGTTCGGAGTACTCTAGACATCAGCCCATATCTTTCTTCGGATCTGAAGGCGCACGCATGTTCTATACCATGCATGGCGTGAAGCGGTATGCTAGGAGCTTCTATGGCTTCAGCTTCCTGGGCCATGGCTGTGCAGTTGCGCGACAGAACATAAAGACCTTGACGGTCACATCATGTCCCTCCAATTTTCACACATCAGGGCCTCACTTTCTCCCATCACTGCTTTTTGTATTACTGGGCTCACTCCTGAGGTACTCTCGTGCATCACCTATCCGTTCTCAAACAATAATCAAACATGATGGTGCCGATTTCACTCAGGACAGGCCTCTTTCTACTCCCCTACCTCCACTTGGCATGGGCAATGGCTCTGGCCCCTCGTCAGCAGGTCATTTGTAGCTATGAGTCTGCTGCCAGCCCCGGAGATACCTGCGAGTCCCTCTCCGCCGAATGGGCTATGAGCGTGGAGACCTTCGAGGCTCTCAACCCAGGCATTACCTGCCCGGATCTTGTGGCCGGTCAGGACTACTGTGTGGCCGGCACAGTATCACCTGGTGGGCCAACCACGACCTCGTCATCTCTCACTCCTTCTACTTCAACCTTTACTTCCACCACTTCCACCCTTTCCACCCTTTCCACGTCATCAACGACCTCTTCATCATCACCGGCTCCATATCAGCCCCAGCAAACGGGCACTGCCGCCAATTGCGACCGATTCTACCTAGTCCAACTCGGGGACTCGTGCGATAAGATCGAAGCCCAGTTCGACATCAGCGCGAGCGAGTTCCTTGATTGGAATCCCTCCATCAACTCTGGTAAGCCCCACCCACTTAATAAACCGTACCTGTAACTGACCAAGCTTCCAGATTGTACCAACATCCTCGCCGGCTACTACTACTGTGTAGACGTCCCCGGTGCTAGCAGTCCCGGGACCACGACCACCGTCCCAGCCACCACGACCACTCCCGCTGATGGGATCACCACGCCCACGCCCATCCAGACCGGTATGACCGACACTTGCAACAAGTTTGACCTCGTTCAACAGGGCGATAACTGCGCAGCCATCGCCGCCAAATACAATATCCCCCTGTCTACCTTCTACGCCTGGAACCCGGCGGTCGGCTCCTCCTGCGCTGATCTCGACTTGGGATACTACGTCTGTGTCGATACCATTGGCTACACGGTGCCGACCACGACAACCTCTGCGGGCACCGGCATTACCACCCCGACACCCTACGAGCCGGGCATGGTAGCTGGCTGCACCACTTTCTATTTCGTCAGTTCGGGTAACACGTGCGCTAGTATTGCTAGCAGTCATGGCATCACAATCGCCGAGATTGAGCTGTGGAATCCTAATGTAGGGTCTGGCTGTACGGACTTGTGGTTGAATGATTACATTTGCGTGGGGGTGTGAGAATCGGTACGTATTGGAGGAAAGCGGATGCAGTTGATGCAAAGGATATAGTATGTGGGAGCGGCTTTAATCGAAGGGTGGCAGGGGCAACAGCTTCAAGTAGTGTAGGATCTGTATATATGATGTATAGTACCTCTTAGGACAGTTTGAGCAAAGTGCGAGGGGCTAAGGGAATGGTAAGTATACTACAAGTAGGTTTTAGTATCGGACACAGTATTACATCTCTAGATAGAAGCTTAAGATATATCTTTTCTTTCAATACCATACAGGGCCTGTTATCATTACCTCCTAGTCTCTTGTAGTACATCATTGGTCTAAATCATAAAGTATTCTAGTTCCTAGAGAACATGTATAGAAGGGTATATTTCAAGATCGAACCCGGAGGGAGCTTGGGACTGGCATACTGAAGTTTAATCGGAATATATTCACCGAGGCTAAAGGAAAATATAAACAACAAAGCCCTTCTAGCGAGACCACGATCGTGAATTTAGGTTTCCAATCAGAGCCCATGAAAGGCAAAGGAGAGAAAATCGGAATACTTAAATGAAGGAGTTCGTGGTTAATGTCGTGAATATGAGATTCTGAGGCGTAGAACAGAGTTCATGGAGTACACATCATCACCTTAGTATGAGTAGCAGAAAAAGATATCCTCTTTATCAGTTTGGTCAACTGGTGTCTCCTCGTTCCGAAAACCTGCATCTTCCAGCACCAGTCCTTGGCCATGCAGGACCTCCATCTTCTTTCTATTCAGCATCACCGCATAAGCCGCAAAAGCCAGAAGCAGAAAGATCTCAACGCAGTAGGCCACCAGCATTGCCACGATTCCGGACGTATAGGTGGGGGCCTCATTACTCTTAAACGAGAATGGTCCCACAATATTTCCAACACAGTACGAGACGAAAAACAGAGCATTCACCACGGTCCGCTTGGTAGAGCCTCCGGTGTTGGCGGTGATGAGTGACATGACCATTGCAAAGGAGGCGGTGTATGTGCTCGTCAACTGAAGATCTCAATCAGTGGGTTTAATTCGGATTTCAGAAATGTATTGTGACGTACCCAGTAACAAACTAATAGTGCGACTTTGTGATCTCGAGATATCGTATGGATCCCCACAGCACCCGCTAGGGCAGGACAAACGTAAATAATGGCCACAAGACAGCGTTTCTGTCCTGGCAGCCACCGTTGAAGATACATGGCAGAGACATTGGAGACCAAAACTACCATGCCATAAGGAATTTGAAACAACGTTGTGACCAGATTCGAGTATCCGAATCCCTCGATAATGAGACTACCAAAGTTGCTGGCTGCTCCATTCACAACCTGAGTACTGACTCCGCACAAGAAGAAAAGCCAGGTCTTGGGGTCGGTAAGGGCTTCGATGATTTGGTATTTCTTGATCTCTCGGTGGTTCGCTCCCTGGTGTCTTACACCCAATCGCTGTACGGCTGCTTCCCTTTCCTCTGTGTTCAACCAGGGGCTATTGGGTTAGTCTTCTCAAGACGAAAACAGGTGAGGAAACTTACGCTGTTGACGGGTGTTCGGCAAGCGTGAAGAACATAAATATGGCCCAAGCACAAGAAATAGCGCCAATGAAAATGAATTGGTACTGCCAGGACTGTAGGGCTCCCTTGATTTGGCCGACTCCAAAAGCTAGGAGACCTCCAAAGGAGTTGGCAAGACCAAGGAAGGTTGACCACCAGCCAATACGAATCGGTTGTTCTTCTACTGTGTACCATGTTGCGGTGATCAAGAGATAGGCCGGGGTCGAACATGATTCGAGAGCTCCGATCAAGAAGCGCAAGGCCAAAAAAGAGCGGAAGTTGGAGCAACCCGCCAAAGCGATTGTGATACCACCCCAGAAAAACAGATTGACTGATAGCCATTTCGAAACCGGTACTTTTTGCATGACGAATGTTGTTGGATACTCGAACTGTTTGCAGAATGAACTGTCAGTCAATAATTCAAACATTGGATAGAGGTAATACTCACTGCAAGATATCCAAAATAGAACATGCTTCCTATCCTCATTCTTTCATTAGTGTCCACTCTCTTTGGAAACGTAGATTGCCACCTACCTAGCCAACTGTACTCCGTCCCATGCAAATGCAAACTCTCTTTCAACCCAAAGACAGCGGAGTATCCGAGCATTGCCTTATCGATGTAGGTGATCAGGTAGGTAATGCAAATAAACGGGATCACCATCATATCGATCTTGCGGATTACTCTCTTCTCCAATGCAGGGTTTATTACAGGATGGAAAGTCGTGAGTTGGCCATGTTTGGGAGCGGTAACTGGGCCGTCCCCCAAGGACTCAACATGTTCACTAGAACTCTTCGTGTAGTCTAGTCTTCTCATGTTCGAGATGTCATATGGCAAGAGTATGAGAGATGGTAGAAAATACAATGTCCTGTGTAGGACAGGCGTACCCCAGGTTAGACAGATCCTGATTTTCTCCACGGGTAAAAATGAGAAGAAGGGATACAGCGCTATGGGGTCCGGGGCCCCCATACATGTGGGGTTTCCCCAGGCCGACGAATGGGGTTAAGATCGGCGGATGCCATGCTGCCATCTCATGGGTTGTACATGGGACTGTCGGATTTGAGGGCGGAAAAGACGGCAGATGGTGCTTTTCCTGGGGCGTTGTGGGTGTTGCGATCATCAGGTAGATCCATGTCAAGGCAAGCCACTGTCGGATATAATTTCGCTGACGCAAGCTCGACTATATCAGAAACCCCTGCGTAGTCCATTCCAGTTCCAAGTACAAATCCCTCACATTCCATGGGCGTTGTAACAATCATATGGTGAAACACCATGATTGCGCACAATACAGTGGCTTTCCCAGTAAAACAGGTACATAATATGTCAGCCATAATTGAAAGTGTTGTCAAGAGACTTTTCTGCTCCCCTTCAATTTGCCCTTATCCGCCGTTTAGGGCGCTATCCGTTTTCCGCTGTTTATCCGCTTTGCGTAAGTTTATTAGTTGCCCTTGTATCACGCGCGCGCCACGCCTCATGCTGAAGCAAGGCACGGTTTATCAGAACATTAGATTCTTCAATAAATGCGTTGGTTGGCAATGACGGTGATATTATGTCGACTGACACTTATATAGTATGTCATGGCAACCCGATCATCCCATTGAAAAGGAGATATGTTCATGTAGACCTTCAAATAGGATCATGCTTTAGGCTGAAAACAAGAGAGTGGAAAGAATAGTCTATTGAGATCAACATCAGTTTTCTATGATGGAACTACACCTGCTTCAACAAACAAAATGGTGGCGTGGGTGATTAAGATCCTACTATGGAGAGATGGTAGAACATCATCTGGAGTAGCAAGCAATCAGACAAGTTGACCGCTACAATGTACATGAGCTCTTCCTAGTTGCTTCGCAACATGACGAAGTTAATTCCCCGGCGTCGATGGAGCCCGGAATGTAAGGGACCCGCTATCAACACCCAAGCAGTGTGGGGATTACCAGGCGGAAAAGGGCGGAGCTACGTTTGGTGCATTATCCGCGAGGATCGGGGAAAACGGAGTTGACGAGAGGACCGATAATTGGTAGCAGCTCGGATGATATATACGTCCCGTCCCCCATATTTACTCCTCCTGACCATCCAATGCTGTGTACTATGCTGTGGGTGAGCAGTGATTATACACCATCCGAGTAATCTATTTAACGATGTTCACACATGGTTGTTGCCAACAGAACTTTGTTCGTTGTCCGGGATGATAGACGTCATTCCCATCGCAACACGGCACCACGAACATACTAATCTGCCCTGTTAAAGCAGCACACACGGCCATCGGACCAGCGCCAGAGATAATCGGTGCCTGACTGACCGATAAGCATGATAAGTGGTGACATTCTGCCGGCAGATTACCCCACCCACCGCAAATCGAAATCGGCCCAATGGCCGCTCAATCTCTCACCGCCTGCCTCTGTCGCGGCATTTTTTTCTTAAGCCCGATGCTGTTGCCATTTTCCAACAATCATCAACACCCCAGATTACTTTCAAAAATCGCACAGTCATCGAGAATGCCGTTCCTCACAAACTTCACTCTTCCCAGCTCGGCTCAGGAGCTCGAGGTGCCTGAGACCTCCGACGCTGCGTTGTTCCTCGTCTTCGTGTCCTCCGAGGACCCCGCGACCCGACAGGCCTGGTGCCCGGATGTCCGTGCCGCTTGGCCCACGATCAGGGCGACCTTCTCCGGTGAGGAGAGCCCCCGACTGGCGGTGATCGAGGTGGGACAGAAACCCGAGTAAGTTTGCTGCTCTCGTTACGGTGTTGTTCTGGCCCAGGGACTCTCTGCTGACCAATTATCAATAGATGGAGGGATCCGCAGAATGTCTACCGCAACCAGTGGAAGGTGAACTGCATTCCGGCCCTGGTGCGGTATCAACGAGTCCAGAGTGAGGTGGTGGAGACGGGGAGACTGGTTGAGGGGGAGATTCTCAACCAGGAGAAGCTGAGCAAGTTTATTGGCTCGTCGCGTTGATCTTGGCTGTGCTTCTTTAGAATTTTGACTCAAGCTTTAAGTAATATGGATGAAACGGCTACCACGTGAAGAGAACATTGACGTAAATTTTAACGTGTTTATTTAGAGATGAGGAGGCAGACTCACTCGCTGATTTGTAACCAGCAAATGCTACATTTCTAAGAACAGTCTTATGTACTGGGGCTACTATATTGTAGAGTGCCAATATATCTCGGCACGGACGAATTCCGGCGGGATTCCTTTCGGTCCTCCGGTTCCTGATAATGCCAAGACTCTTGCAGTGAGAATATGACATTCCTACTAGCCAGGTTATCGAATTACTCCTACAATACCGACGGATTTGCCAATGCGAAGTCCGATCCCTCCTTGGGCTTGTCACATATATAAATGTATCGTGAGCGATGACTTACTAGAGTATCAGCAACTTTTTCATACCCTCGCTTCTCATCTGAGTCATCTCTCATCAACGCTAAAATGGCCAAAACAGTGTTAATCACCGGTTGCAGCGATGGAGGACTCGGAGCGGCCATGGTCAGGGTCTATCACGCCAAAGGCTTCCGGGTCTTCGCGGCGCTACGGAACCAGGCCAAAGCCGGATCTCTGGCTGAGATTGAGGGCATAGAAATAGTCCAACTTGAAGTCACCTCGGTCGAGTCGATCCAACAATGTGCCAAAATTATTGCGAAACATACTGGAGGGTCTCTCGACATCCTGGTGAACAACGCGGGTATCAGTGCTATCGTGCCGCTGCTCGACGCATCCCTTGATGACGCCAAAAGGGTATACGACACCAATGTCTGGAGCATTGTTGCTATGGCGCAGGCGTTCGCGCCAATGCTCATGAAGGCTAAAGGGACCATGTGCAACCTTAGTTCGGTGTCTGGCGAAATGGTTTTTGCATGGGCGGGTATGTCGCGTCGCTTGTCCTGAAGCTTTAGGCCCTCGCTGACCGATGCAGGTGTCTACAGCAGTTCCCGCAGTGCCGGGACACGAATCTCCGAGACTCTGCGTCTCGAGATGGCGCCTTTAGGTGTGCGAGTGGTCACCGTTGTCCTCGGTGGTGTCCAGACCAGCGGAAACAACCCGGCCAATATACCAGACCTTCAGCTGCCTCCGGGCTCGTACTACCACAAAGTCATAGCCGTCATTGACCGGCATAAGAAGACCATGAACCATCCCAACAAACAGAATATCGAAATTGCAGCGAAGAACGTCGTGGAGGATTTGCTCAGTGAGCGTGGCAACTTCATTCGACGCGGACAGGCTTCAACTCTGAGTTGGTTCTGCAATACATTTCTTCCCTACAGATTCTTTACTTGGATGATCAATCGGGAGTCTGCTCTTGGGGAAATTGGGTTTGTAAGTGCCTGAGGGAGGGTAATTCGGAGGTCATTACTCAGGTGTATCATAACCATGTATTGTGAACAGATGAAAACATTAGTATCACACATACAATTCTTTGGAGCATTTACTTGACTTTGAGTGCCAGATATTGACTTCAGTAGACTGATTTTGGATCCACCTGAATATTGCTCCTGTCAGCCTTGTGGGGAAGCGCCGGGAGAATCTTCGTCTTGGTGACACTGGTGGATATGGTGGGGGCAGAGTTCAATCTAGTGGGTACTGGGTAGCAGGCGGGGCTATATCTAGGAGTGGGGAAGACAAAGTGAAACAGCGAAACGCAGTCTTCTTGTATCACTGACTAGTCTCATCCCTGGATAAGGAGTAAATTTGCACGTAGTCACGTGTCGTAAGCCTTAGGCCACAAACGGACCGGCTCCGGTTTCCTATAACCCCGTTGCCGCCCGCTATTTTATCATTCATTCTCACGTCTCCTGACATTTCTCCTAATTCCTTGCTGTTATTGCAATTGAGCGATCTATGGATACTTTGGCCCATTTAAACAAGCAGGAATATTGATTCCAGAGGTGGTGATACGGGAAGACGCCAGTAATCTTCGAACGGATTTCGGCAGCCAAATCCGTCGGAATAGCACGGAAGATACCCGATCGAGTTCCATCCCTCCGACGAGCAAGATCACACCTCAAAACCAGTTCATCAGAGGTATCCGGTCAGTCTGGAAATATGGACAAATCGAAGCCAGCCTATGGCCAAGCCTGTACACACTGCTACAAAGCCAAGTGTCGTTGTGTACGTACCACAAGTGGCGGGACTTGTGAGAGGTTAGTCATATAGGCCGCTTACTACCTGGCAGTCGCTAAGGGTTTCAGATGTCTTCGACTCGGGAAAAGATGTCAGCCATCAGGGTCGCTTCGCAGGCGGAATGTCCATACAGCAGAGGAATCGGATGCGCGCATTTCTCGGCTCGAAGATAAAATGGAGAGCTTGTTATCTGCCATGCAATCCTTTATCGGCTCGCCCGTGCCTAACGGGCATGGCATATCGTCACATCCAACTCACCTTGATGAATTATCAGTAAGCACGACTAGTAATATGCGGTTGGGTGAGCCGACCTTCGCAGGGGACTCCAGTGCTACAGTATCACCGAATCCGAATCCCTTGTTTCTGTCTCCAAATCATCCTGAGTTCCCCCATGTTCCATGGCCAGATCAAGCAGACGAACGAGTCGCATACTTTTGCTCCCGGATGCTGCCATACTTTCCTTTCATCCACTTTACTCCAGACATGACAAGCGGGTATTTGCGTCAAAACCGGCCTTGCCTGTTTCAGGCTATCAAAACAGTCACCACGTTTTCGACACAGGAAAGACAAGTTCAAGTCGAACAGTTAAAACGTCTACTCTTCACATCCGCTCTACTCGATGTTCAGTCAAATATTGACCTGCTGCTTGGAGTACTAACCTATCTAGCGTGGAGTACTGATGCTTTTCTTGGCAGAGCAGACCTCGTTTCTCGCCTTATGATGCTCGCCATGTCACTAGTATATGATCTGCGGTTGTTCAAGCCATCCTCGCCGGACGTGCAAGTCATGATGACTATCACACAGGGGCGGGCCGATGACAACAGCCAGAACCCTGATGACGAAACCCCCTACACCGTACTAGAAAGGCAGCGGGCAGTCCTGGCTTGTTTTATTTTGAGCTCGAAGTGCGCTTCCTGGTTACCAACTCAATAGCCTCCTCAGTCTGGGTCAGCGTACTAATGTCTTACCATTCTTAGTATCTCGTCACATCTCGGTCGTCAAGACGCTCTAAGATGGACGCCTCAAATGGAAGAGGCCCTCCAAGTCCTCACACTGAACGGATCGTGTCCTTCAGATAGATTGTTTGTCTTGCAAGTACGCTTGCAGCTATTGAAGCAAAATGCAGATCACGTCCGGCAACAAGACGATACGGATAGCACTCGTACTGCAACAACTTCTTCGGCTTCAGCACCTCACTTATTGTATGCGAAGGCTTTACGAAGGCAGCTGCACGAGCTCGGGGCTTCGTTTCCTCCGGACCTTCAGCAAATAGGTTAGTAGCATGTAAACCACATCGGCTAGCATATATTTTCGCTGCAGATTGCTGAATCTCTCCCTCGAGACAGACATTCTAAAGACACACGCCCAATACGTCGAGCTATACATAAACCAGCTCGCCTACTCCATAAGTCGAGACTGTCTCGCTCTAGGGCACACGGTGCAAGGAGCCAAAAGTGATACAGTGCTAGGATTCCAGCGCCTTGAATGTCTATGGCAGTCAGTTGAGAACATCAAGACGTGGCTAGACGTGTTCTACGCAATCCCGTGCTCGAAACTTGTCGGCCAGCCCTTTCACTTCTGGTCACAGATGATCCTCAACATTACACTTTTGAAATATCTTTCGACGCTCCAAGACCCAGAATGGGACTGCCAAGCAGTGCGAAACACGGTCGACCTGGTATCGACGATGGACTGTATGCTTCAGAAGCTGGATCAAACTAGCAAAGAACCGGAGCTCCAGTGTAACGACCACTTACTCACTTATCTGACCAAGCTCTTGACCAAATGTCGGCAGTGGGCTGAAGCTCGGTTGAACATGGCTTCTCGAGGCATGGAGACACCATGCCAGAATGATACTACGAGTCACAATCATCACATTCCGGACCTGGATCAGATTGTATGGATGCAGTCGATGGATTTGGGAGATGATCAGTGGTTTGACAGTGTACTTAGTATGCCTACATTTTCCTAGGGATTGGTTCTGAGTTCCAGTGGTACCAAAGTGACTGAGTGATCATTCAGTGGCACAGCTATGTATGACTGAAGCTATTATGTATAGCGTATGGCAATATCTTAGCCACATATCTAATTACAGCGACAATAGCCAGCAGCGACTCATAACCCACTCTTCTCACCTTCCCACACATTTCTCTAACAAAACAGGGACCTCATCACATACACGTCAGCACCCTGACACCTCCAATAAACACAAACTGCACTCGGTCAACCCTCTCCTACGCCGCACCAGCACCAGTCCCATTTCCAACAAGGTTCGTCCGGAAGAACTGAGTCAACCTTCCAAACGGAATAAGATCCACGCGATCATACAGATCAACATGACCAGCCCCCGGAATCCAAAGCAACTCCTTTGGTTCCACAGCCCGGGAATACGCGTCCTCGCTAAACTCCCTCGAATGGGCCTGATCACCAGTAATAAACAGCAACGGCCGGGGTGCAATCGAGTCGATATCATTGAACGGGTAGAAGTTCATGAACTTAAGGTTGCTAGTCAAAGTCGGATGGGTGGTAAGCTCCGGGGAAGAGCCAGCAGGAGTGAACTCGCCGCGCGACGTGCGGTAGAAATCATAGAACTCGCGACCGACTGCCGAGGTATTGGGGGTGAGTACGTTTGGGGCTCCACTGGTGTACTGCGTCAGACTGCTGTTCTGGAGCTCCACCCAGCGTTGCTCTGCCGCGTTGGCGATGACGGCCTGACGCTCCGCCAGACTCTGCGAGTGATTCAGTCCGTTCCGGTTCACGGCTCCCATGTCGTACATGCTTGCTGTGGCGATGGCCTTGATGCGCGGATCGATCTTGGCTGCGCTGATCACGAACCCGCCGCTACCGCAGATGCCCACGGCGCCGATGCGCTCGCGGTCAACGAAGTCCTGGGTGCCGAGGTAGTCGACGGCGGCGCTGAAGGCTTCGGCGTAGAGGTCGGGGGATACGGCGTTGCGGGGTTCGCCGGAACTGCCGCCCCAGAAGGTCAGGTCGAGAGAGACGGTCACGAAGCCTTGTTCGGCGAGCTTGGTGGCGTAGAGGTTGGCGCTTTGCTCTTTCACGGCGCCCATGGGGTGGCCGACCACGATGGCCGGGGCGTTGGTGGTGGTCAGGTTCTTGGGGACGAAGAGGTTGCCGGCCACTGTCATTTGGTATTGGTTCTTGAAGGTGATGGGGCGGAGGGTGACGGTGTTGCTTCGGTAGAAGTTGTCGGCTCCGTAGGAGAGGTTTTGGGCGGTGGTCACCATTGCGTGGAATATGGTTGTTAGGGTGAGTGCGGTTGGCAATTTCATGATTTGCTGCTGTTCAAGACTCCTGATTTGGGATAATGCTTGAGTGGATGGGATGAATTGTGACTGCTGGGATGGGTGTTGGAGGGCGTTTTATAGTTGCGTAGCTGGGCAATGGGGCTCGCACTGCCGTCGTGGTACGTCATGAGAGTAAGCAACGGAGATTGCGAAGTTCTTACTTCCTTGTAAGATATGCTTTCAGGATGGAACCGTTGCAGCCTAGAGTCTAGAATACCGGCACATGGTGATCATCGAAGAGGTTATTGACTGGTCCAGGGGATGAGACCACTCAGTTGATGCAACTTGCTTACCTGTGGGCCGGATGTCCCTGGTTGCATTGCGTAGACCTCCGCATGGAACAGAGCTGCACATGCATAATAAGAACCAAGTATATGCCTGATCCCAGTTATCACACCAGATAATGCTTGGCAGGTGGGATCGGCCCGGCTTGGCGTAAGCAACGTGCGTTAGCGCCCGGGGTGCAGAACCTATAATTGGGACCGAGGTTCGACCGGAAACATGCCGGTGTGGCAACCGGTAATTGTCACGCAATCGCCAAGAAATATTGAGTAGGCGGGAGTCCAGAAAATTCCATTGTCTACTGGGCGTACATCTTTACCTTTTTTGTACTTCTGCCCTCAACCTCAACATATAGAGTTCACCTATAGGATTCTTACGGTACTGCGTTGTCTTGCTGGCACTGACGCATAGTTGTATGTACATGCATCAATGTGATAGCTTGAAGGCTACCCAATGTTTCTGATTCTCTTGAAGCTGGAAGTTGAGCAACAGGCCGAACCACACAAAGTTGAATAAATGTACCAGGTCCACAAACATGATTCTCAATCAACTAGCAGAAATATCTCAAGTTATAGATTGACACGAAACGATAAAGCCAGCGGTGCCAAGCACTGTAATTGTCATCTTAGGTTCTAAACATAAAGGACTGGGATAGCGATATTCGGGGGGATATTAGAGATTGGATTCATCATAATGTTAAGATGGGGCGTAAACGTATCTAAGGGTGCTTATCCTAGCTCATTGGCTATATAGAGCCTCAAAGTCGTGGAAAAATAAACAACGAAGCCTATGAAGATAGATCTGGTCGTCATATGTTGATCATCATATATCGCGTAATAGTATCAAAGCAATATTTTCAGCGCATCAAATTGCCTAGTCTACGAGGTTAATCACCAAGTCCCATGCGCTAAACGGACATTCCACATACCACTCAAGCCCTGCCTTGCATCCAATACGGGGGAGGACTTGATCCCGAGAATGCGCTCGGGGCCTCTGCCAAACGGCCCTTGGTCACAGGGGTCCGGCGACGACAACAGGCACACAGGATCGCAATCAGTACTCCAAGGAGTAAGCCACCTCCAACACCAGCCACTACTCCAATAAACAGAGGACGATGGCGATCGATCCAAGATGAACTGTCCCGACTACTGTCCTCGCTGTTCTGACAACGTCCGCTATGACAAAGTCCACCTCGACACGGCGTGCCATCTAAGACATATTGTCTCATGCTCCTACAATACGACCCCGATCCGAAGTCGACAGAGCAGGATAGCTGACAGGATGTATCATCGCAGGAAGAAACGTCCGTGCCAAGTCCATTGAGTCTGTCTCGACACTGAAGGTCCCGGCTGGTGCATTCACCGCTGGCACAAAACAAGCTGGAAGAGTTGCCACAGGATTGTCCGTCTGAGACATGTCGGTCCGCTGGGCAGTCACTGCTGTGGCCTGTACAGGTCTCCTGGACGTCACAGGCCCCGGTACTAGGCCTACAGATAGTGCTTGTGTTGGCGAACTGGCATTCGGTACAACACGACCCGGCTGCGTCATCGCAGACAGCTCCATCAACGAACCGACAGGTCTCGCCGTTGCAGCACGCATTGCCATCGCAGTTATCGCCGCAGTCACACTCCTCTCCTGTCTCGACGATCCCGTCGCCGCACTCGCCGGAAGTGATTGTTGTGGGCGCCGCATTCGCGCTGACGAGGCAGTCTGTTCGCACCTGGTCGGAACCCATCAGGGAGCAAATGTTTCCCACAGTGCAGGGTGAGAAATCGGTTTGTTGACTGGTTGAAGAAGGGTTCATGATGTACTGTCCGCCCGCATCGCAGGTCGAGCGGGAAAGTGGACAACATTGTCCTTGGGAGGCGCAGGCGGAAGATTCACAGTCGTGAATAGCCCCGAAAATATGTCCAGATTCATGACTGAAAGATGTTAGGGGATATCATAATTGAGATAGGGGATAGGGCACTCACGCAAACACCTGCCATTGATTTGAAGTTCGCACCACGACGTTGGCACCTCTGTTTGGACTGCAGAGTTCTCCAACGAGTGACACACCCACCACGTTTCCAGTGGGGCAGTTAGTCATCAAGGTCCAGTAGGCATTGGAGTCGTCTTGTGCACCCCGCCAGGAGCTAAACTGCTGCAGACGCCAGTCCAGATCTCCGGACCCGCAGCCCACGTTCCAGGGGGTGGATTGTGAACCGGTTTCAGGACAGTCTCCGTCACTTATTGTGAGGTTTCGTATCCCAAGAGAGACGTTGAAACGACGTTCAAAGACCTCCGAAGCTGCGTTGACCATGGTGATCAGCTCACGTCGTGTCTCCTCGGCGGAGCTGAATGCTGCTCGGTAGGAGCAATCTGCTGCCAGGCCGACCAAAGCGACCCTTCTGGAGGTGGGACATCCGGCTGTGCTGCCAATGCTGTTAATAAAGTTATCGGATCCCATGAACTGGCGCTGAAATAGTGTGGGTTGAGTGCCGTTCGTAGACGATGTGTCTCCATTTGGCGCATCATACAGACCATCCGAAGATTCTTCCAACAGCATCATATCCGTCTGCCTTTCTAGGGAAGTGGCATTCCTACCATCCGATACCAACTTTACACGGAACTGCTGATGGCCGAGGCTGAATGCACCTTTAAACAAAGGGCGATCCCCATCTTGGGTAATATACACTCTCGCCCGGCCAGCTATGCCCTGTGTCTGGTTTGTATAACGCACCCAAGCATCCCCCCTGAACACCCTGGTCTGGTCATCTTCGAGTGAATGCGCTCGTTGTATAGCCCCGTTCCTATCGACATACCGGATATGAGCACCTTGTGGCAGGATATCACGGTTGGGCTCCAATTGCAGCAGTACTTCGTCCTCGTGCCCATGTATGCGGAAGGTCAGGTCAAATTTCTCAGCACTCGTGGTTCTATGTGATGGTGTGTGGATCACAACGTCGTGAAGAAGGGCTGTCCGGTGTACGGTCTGGGTATGTACAGAGTGGGCTTCGTCATTAGCATAAGTCACGGAACAGAGTCGAGTTAACCTACCTATCGCATTGTATGCCAGAGATAGAAAGTATACAACTGATGGAACGTATAATGAGGCCTTCATGCCGACTTCAATGTATTTCCGGTGCAGGTGGACTACGACCTTCCTTGTGTGAAGACATCTTGAATATATCTATATCCACTGTATGATACACATCCAGACCCGATATCCGCATCACTTCACTGCCACTGAATCCAGCCAAGTTATTCAGGCACCAGCATAACCTCCTTCTCGAAGCCCGGTCGATGTGGATCGTTGTCACTGCTTAAATCCGGGCCTTGGGTAAAGCCGGCACTTGGCTGAGCTCACTGCTGAGCAATGAGCTGCTGCCAGGATACAATGCACAGCCTCAATGACGCGGCACTTCTTTCCATGGCGAATGCCATGGATTACGGTCTAGAGGCGGGCACATGGCAATTGTGGTGCTCATAACGGCACACCATACAAGTTATGACTAAGTGAGTATACAGTCGCTTACGCTTATCGTACCATCACTATTGGCTGATCACAGCCTTTGACCATGGATTCTAGCATCGGGGACGTGTCTGAGGCATGGTGATGCAGAGATAGGCGACACCAGTCAACCCTGCGCCCCACAAGTTAGGCTTTGTTAGTGCTGCACGCTAATGCAATGTGCTTACGCCAAGAAGGACCCACTTTGTCTCCATTCAGATGATAACGCGATTAAACCCTGGCACTGTGGCTCAACTTGATACATATTCACCATTCATCAACCAGAAATTACTGCTGCCTGGCGAGACCTGAGACCCCGGGCACAGACAGAGATTTACTACGATGTGAGCCACCACATCTATCGCCATAGAATATGATGGATCGTACCAATTGGCCAACCTTCTACCTTTGTTCCCTCCACCCTAGATACAAGGCTACGGGGCAACAGATAAATGAAACTTCCCATTAACAACCGTGACCACTATCTCCAACAACCTACACAAACAACCCCGCCGATACCGGAGCCGACCACATCTGCTCCTCCTGGATCTCACCAACCAATGCATTACCCGGATAATCCTCCAAATCAAGATCCATATATCCCCTCGAGGCCCACTTCCTCGCCGTAACAAACAAGGAGTGCCCATTGATGCTCGTATCACTCAGAATCCGTAACAAACACTGACCTGCATCCTCCGCCTCGGCGAACTGTACCCCAACCTTCGTGACGTGCGCGAAGTCCTCTTCGGATAAAATCTTCGTTTTGACGTACCTGTCACACCACACTATTAATCCAGGACCTCAATCTACGATGAGGAAAGAAAGACATACCACGGCGAAATCAAATTCACACGACTCCCATAATAATGCGCCGTCCGACGCAACGAATGCATAATCCCACGCATCGCCCACTTACTAGCACAATACTGCGGCGCGCGGGGACAGTCCAGAAACGCAGCCCCCGACCCGATCAGCACCAAACACGTATCCTCCTGCTCCGGACTGGGCGTCTGTCCATTCTGACTTATGAAATAATGCGCCGCTAGCTTGGCGGTGTACAAGGGGCCGTGGATGTTGACATTGATGATACTCAGGTCTGGTTTCTGGGGCTCTTGGTCATCTCCGGCGTATTGAAATACTTCGTCGGGACGGTGGATGCCGGCGTTGGCGACGACGTAGGATATCCGTCCGGATGGGGATAGGGATTTGGCGGCTTGGAAGAGGCGGACTTGGTCATCCCAGATGGCGGCGTTGCAGGGGATGTATTTGGTGCTTGGGGGTGGTTAGTGGTGTGGGGTGTGAATGATTGGAGGTATTACCCTGGGAGTTCTGCCTCTAGTGCCTGTCCTTTGGCGGCGTCGAGATCTCCGATGCAGACGTTGAGCCTAGTTTTCCAGTTAGCTCCAGGGCAGATCTCGTGGTGTTGTAGTTGTTGTCTTTTACCCCGCTGCAACAAGAGCTCGAACGTAAGCTTCACCTAGACCATTGGCACCTGAGTTGTTAGATGGAATCTCGAATAGCATGTATATGTCCGCGTACCTCCAGTCACAATGGCAGTCTTTCCCTTCAGGGAGCTGGAATCAAAGGCCTGGTCGCAAGTTACGGGACCGGTGTGAGTATAAGGAGGCATGATGATGCTTGCTAGTAAGTCGGACAAGATGGGTAGATCCAAGGTCTTGAATAAGAAAGATGAAAGGAGATAAATCATCTGACATATAAGTACGTCTAGGACCCTTCCCCACTTATTGGCTAAGTTCTAGTCCTATGGTTCGGCGTAAGCCGCTCACATTAGCGCCCTGCCCGCATTCTCATTACGACATGAAATCCATCTAAGCCCTAAATTCTCACTTCCGCCATTACTTTGCAAGCATCACTTGATTAAATCGCAGCAACGGTCGCCAATTTAAAGGCCGATCCCCCCTCTTCGCCCGCCAAAAGTTCGTCGACACAAGCAGCTCCGGTGACCCCGCCAGCAACCAGTGCCATTTGCGCACAAACTCCTCCGTAGCCTCCCAGTTCTGTGGATCCCACGGCTCACCCCAGACCACCAATGTTGCTCCCGTATTCCGGGTATCCCAGAACGCCATCAGATCATGACACAAATCATCTTCATCCAGATTATCTCCCGCCAAAATCATCAGATCCCGCATCCGGGGAAAAGGAAAGAAATCTAGCCAGGGATGGTGCGGCACCAACCGCTGAATGACTGTCGGGCGCAAACTGGCAGGAATTTGCTCTTCATCGTAGTTCCCTGGTAGGGGAAGTGGAAGGTTGAATATGGATAGCGCATCGTCCGGCTTCATCCACTCCCGGGTCATGCCGATGGCGCGGATATTTTCGTTGATCGCGCGATGAACGTTTAGTCGATGCAGGCTGATTAGGTGCTCAACCTGGGGTGAGCCCATCAGGAAGCTTCGGTGGGCGATGGCTTCAAAGTGGCGCCGGAATTGCAGGGCACCGGGGGGGAAGAGCGGACAGTCGAGATCATTATCGTCTGGATCTGCGGCGTGGCTGAGAGGATAAGCAGTGCGCTGGACTACATGGCTCGACGTGGATGGCATTGCAGGGGAGGACTCTGTCGCCGGACGAGATGGTGATGTGTCATTGGCGGCAGCCTTACGTTTCATGCCTAATCAGGGGTTAATCTATGCAATGGTCCGAAGCAGATGGTCATCCGTACGATAGGTCCGTTGGTTCAACCGGTTCTGCAGCCGTCGTCGTCTTTGTCGATCTGTCACTCCGGTCCAGTCATCTTCAGCAGCCCAGATATTCCCTTGCTGGGGCATGTGCGTCAGGGGGACGTTGGGACGATTTGCTGGGGGCGTCATGCTGGCGTGGATGACAGAGTTCACACAGGCCCGTGGGGGAACTACCGTTACTATTAATGCAAGTTGCTGACTGCCAAGCCATGCTGACGCGCTAGACTAGCCTGGGATCCATTGGACCCTGTCTGCAATGCACGAACCAATTTGACCTTTGAATCTGCCACTTGCAATGAGGTGGCGCAGCCTACCAGTGCTTTAAATTTGGGCTGCTTGGCATCCGTGGTTGGTAATTCGGCGATCCGTGGATCGGCTGTCATCCTGATTGTTTTGGGTATATCCGATATCTCCGTTGATCAACTCCACAGCTCTTCTGGCCTTAGGCAGACACCCTTGCAGACGGGGATTATTAATCTTTCAGGTGAGAGTGTGTTATCACGTGACCTACGCACATAATGTGGCGGTTGCCATTAGTGGCTTGAACGCGCCAGAAGCCTCCCCCCACTCTTGGGTTGGGGGGTCCTTATCGGCCTCCATCCCACCCATGTCTCTGAATCCTCATAACATCGATACCTTAACAGTCCAAATAAATCATTGCGCTACCATATATGCATAAAGTAAATCATTGAGAAACCATCAATTTGATGGGCACATGATCAAACCAACTCAAGGACAACACTAATGGGACGGATATATATTCTCACCGCTTAACCCTAGGAAAAATGTCACGCCGATATACTTGCCAATTGAAGTCACTCCGCGACCGGATAATTATTTCTAGAACCAAAATGAAGTCGTTCCGAAGTGTTTGGCTACCATGTCGAGAGTATGGATAAACCAACCTTTGTCCTGGTAGCTCTATGTTCAGCCTTTTCACTTCTACCAGGCTTAACCCCCACCTCAGTGAGTGGGGGTACTCCCATCTTCGACGGACGGAGTATAAAAACACACCCAATGCTGACATCTCAAGCTCTAAAGGCCTCAATACTGCACTGTAGTCAAAAAGGTCTCAGGTACAATGTTTTAAACGCCAAGAATCACCAGTTAAATCAGTAAGTCGACCCACATGAGAGCCAATAACCGATGTATATAAAGCTAAACCTACGCAGTGCCATCCACCGATACCGAAGAAATCACCGCCGTCCTGCATGCCTACGGCGCGGCCTTGAAAAGCCGGAATGTGGATGAGGCCATGGCACTCTACACCACCGACGGAGTGATCATGCCTCCACATTTCTCCGCAAGTGCCGGCACCGAGGCTCTCCGCGAGTCGTATACGCGCATCTTTGCAACAATCCAGCTCGTCATCGCTTTCCAAATCGAGGAAATTGTTATCATGTCGCCAGAGTGGGCGTTTGCTAGGACGACGGCGGAGGGGACCAAAACGATTCTCGCTACGCAGGAGTCGGAAGAACATGCGAATCAGGAATTGTTTATTTTGAAGAAGGAGAGTGGCAAGTGGTTGATTGCGAGATACGCTTTTTCGAGTATGAAGCCTTTGGTACAGAATGGGATTCGGAGGAGTTGAGTTGGATACCGTTTATGGATTGAATAGTGATACTTGTGATGGTTTATCTTCTGATTAGGGCATTGTATCGAGGGCGTAGTTTTATTTATGTTGCCAATTTTTGGACTCCGTTCTAATGTACTAAGACTTGCCGCTCCTCGGCAGATAAATATCGACATCCATGCGATGCTGACACATTGATGTTTCCCTTCACCACAAATCTGTATGGTAATCCTTTTTCGACAGGTGACATGAGGTACGAATGTTGTCAAATCCCATGATACCCTGGCGTTCCTTGGCATGTACTAATGGACGAACCTGTGTCCAATCCACTACTCTGTAGGATGACAAACACATGGAATATAAATGAAAGACGAGTATTCGTATCTCAATAACCCCTGATGGTCTAGCTGGTTCATGGCGTCTGACTGTAATATCAATTGTAATCAGAAAGTCCCCGGTTCGATTCCGGGTCGGGGGATGATTTTTGGACCTTTTGCTTTTTCGCCAGCAGTCATGTGGACCTTGAGCCCATGATCTGGATCATGAGCAGTGAGCCCACAGTGGACCTAAGCTGATCCACCTGTCTAATCAGCGGGTGACAGCTCCCGATTCGTTGCGGAGGCCTGTCTCAACTGCTTCTTTTCCGCCGTCTGCTGCCTTGGTGCCTGATTTCCGCTCCGCTGCGGAATCTTCGGTCGCAGGTTTAATGGTCAGATTGTTAATACAGAAATATTCGCCCAATTTCAAGAAATTCACTCCCCATCGTCTACCTAGGGCCTTAAACCTATGTGTTCATCTCAGCCTGTAGTACCGTGGCATTTAGAATCTCTCCTTCCTCGCTCATGCCCTGAATATCGCCCTCATCCATCCTCCAATCATTTCCGCACACCCATTGATGGTCTTCCGCCCTCCCCTCCCCTTCACCCCCAGAACAACAACAGCCACCACCACGCCCACAGAGGTGAAAGTGACCGCAAAATTGGCCAAGGCTCGTTTGAATCTCAGATGTACAACACCCTGCACATTTTCCCGAAACGCAGCCGGGTCATTAGCTTTCGGAAACGGCACATCCGGAACCTCCTTGCCCAAGAACTGTCCCCATCAGCACACATCCATCCACCCAGGCGCATAACATACCTCACACAACGGACCCCACCCATCCTCCACATTCCACTCCAACAACCTCTCCCCCTCCACCAACCCCCGTACCATCCACCCATGTTCCCGATACACCCTCTTCCCATACCTCTCCAATCCCTCCCTCGCCGTCCTCCCCCGAAACAACCCCGGATACCCAAACGTGACATACAACCTCCACAACCAAAACAACTCCGCCGTCCACATTGCCCAGAACCAAACTCCCCATTGCTCTTCCCCCTCCGCTACTAACGTCCGTAACGCACTTCGATGCCATGCGTCGATATCTCGTCTCGTGTTTAAGATTACTTTTGCCTCGGGATAGGCTTGTAGTATTTCCACGGTGAATAATGCCGACGCGGTGTCTATGATCGCGTCGTAGGGCCCGAGGATCGCGTCGAATTCAGCGCGACTGATCTGGATGTCCCCTCCGTGGGGGGTATGGGTGTGTTTTCGTTCGGCGAGTTTCGCCCATTCTTGTGCGTAGGGCGGGTCTTCGAATACGACGTCCCAGCCGTGGTAGGTGGTGAAGCCGAGGTGGGTGAGCGCGAGGCTGAGGCTTTCGGTTCCTGATCGGGGGAGACCAACACAGATCACTTGGAGGGGTTTGGTGCGTGGTCGGGGTCGGGGTGGGGGGTAGGTGTAGATGGTGGTGAGAAGGGTGTTCATTGCAGCACAGTGAGGGGAGAGGTAAGATTGGATGGGGTGGAAGTGGGAGGGGATCTTGGGTGGGAATGCGTTTATTTAAGATTTGGCTGCCAAGTCTGCAGTTCTTGGTGACTGACTTGTAAATTTCTCAAATCATGCAAGGAGAATTTCAGTAAGCATAAAACTAGAGCTAGGAAATATAATTATGTAGACTATTCCATAATCCAGCCAGTGCGTCTAATGTGGCAGAGGCCAATCAGGAGAGGATTGTAAACTAAAACACGCCATTGAATCAATAGTACAATCCTTACTTGTTTGCCTGTTGGAAGTATTACAATCCGTCAAGACTGTAGACCGAACACGGAATGTGGATACTATTAGGCGTCCCGTTGACGTGCAAACTTTCTGTATGAGAATTCCAGACTTGGAAGTCCCTAAATCGTGTGGATTGTTGATGGTCTAGGTGGTCTATAATGTCAAGAATGTAGGGGTATCCCAGTTGGCTATGTGTCTCGGACATAGAGCTGGCGCGACCGGCAGAAATTGGCTGCTGATGGAACTTCTAGGGTCGGGACCCGGATCTGAGTAGAACTTCGCCCCGCCAGGACATGAACTTTAATTGCAGATATCGGATCAAGAAATAGTTCTGGCTAGTTACCGATGAAAATGTTGAGATAATCCTTGAGCGGTCCTGCCAAACCGGCCATAGCCCGACGGTGGTTGATCTGGGTATGCCGATGAAATCAATCTATAACACTGCAGACCATAAAATAGCCTACTCCCCCCCAGCCGCTTTACACAAGTCGCCATGGTCTGGTTGAAGAAGTTGGCAGTCTTGAACAGGTGGCCAGTCCTTGCCATCGAGCGCCCAAATATCCGTGGCTATCTTCTCGTTCTTCTCGAGCACCACGAGGCGGACTTTCTCGACTCCACCCGCTTGATATGCCAATTCAGCAATGACTCGACCGGCAGCGTCCACCGTAAAAGTTACACCAGCAGGCAATGGCGCGGTACTCTGATACATCCGCAGGACCAGCTCCTTGAGGACTTCATTGAGAAGATCGGCATTCAACGACGCACTCAAGAACCCTTCCACCGATCCCCAGCGTTGAAGCAGATCAATTGCCCGGCAGTAGATAAAGTAGTCCGGGGACCCCCATGCAGCCGTATACAGACTCGGTGCCATGAGGCTGTGTTCGGTAAAGGTGGGAGGGTCCTTGTCGAACTTGTCCATGGCCGTTTCAGCGGCCGCCAGCAGAGCCAGACGCTCGCGGACGTACCCATGCGCGGGCGGGCGAACGGGGCTGTACACGGCCACTTTGACCCCTAACAACGCCGTGAGGCAACTGAGTCGGATCAGTTCCGCCTCGCGTTGTTCTTTGTACCGGGCGGGATTGGAAGACATGAAAGAGGTTGTGCCGTATCTGGCGAGGCAAAAAGTGTCAAATTGTTGCAGGTATCGGGTCACGTAGTAGAGTAGTTGGAGCTGCTGGCGGTGGACGGTGTCGTAGTTTGCCTCCATTTGGGGCCCGAACGTCTTCATACCGGTCGCCATAAATTCAAAGACCGTCTGTTCCAGAGGGCGCCAAAGCTGCCGTGCCTGCCGTATGTTTTCGAAGGGGCACAGGTAGCTGTCGTAGGGCTGGGTGTAGATAAAGTCGCTATCGCAGCGCAACGGCGCGACCGCGCAGTAATACCTGGATCCGGCCTGCAGAGCTAGGAACGACTCCACGATACATTCGTCTACGGCGCCGGACGGGATCTCCAGCCCCGACGGCTGTCGCTGAATGTTCATCGATTGTAGGATCCGGAGCCCGCTTTGGAGATGAACAGATGCGCGATCAAAGTTGCCGTATCGTAACTCCGCCACGATGAAGAGCAAGCAGCAGACCAGAACGACCTGCTGCAATTGGGGGTCCTGCGACGTGCGTCGCTTGATGAGGAGGGCCATTGACCGTCCGGACTGTTCCAGTGCGAATCGATACCAGATATTCTGCAGATCCTTCTTTTCTCCCGGTCGGGGAAGGTGACCTTTGATGTTGTTGGCCTGGCTGACGGCACCGAGCGCGACGAGCGCATGATACACGGCGGGCTCCGCGTAGGACAACCGGTGAATCAGGTTCTGCCAGAGCGGCGAATCGAAGAAACCCACCAGGTGTGGAAGCGACCGATGTTGGAAGAAGGAGAGGCACCTTTGTTCGTCCGAGGTCATGATCCACTGGGGCTTGTGGGTGAGTTCGGCACGGAGCGAGCCACCGGGGCTGACGCCCGGAGGGGGCCGGTGGGTGTCATATCCACACACCCGGCCTGTGCTGCTGCAGTTCTTACAGGCCCCGGGGAATTCGTCACACTTGACCCGACGAGCTCGGCAGGTGCGACAACCGGTCCGGGACCTCTTCGAAGGGGTCTTTTTTCGTGGCTTTGCAAGTATAACGGCTTTGGTATTCGACTGGGTCGGTGTCGCTGTCTTCATCGTGAAACCTTTGCACTGGCAGGAGGATTGGAAAGTGCGCGAGTCCGCGCTAGTTTAAATACCTGCGGCTCAAGCCGTTGACCTCGGAAAGGGACTAGGCTAGAGAAAGAGGATGTCTCAGGGCCAATCATCGGATAACTCCTGGTGCGCTAACCGATCCACGAATCTGGGATGGTCTTAGCGTGATGCGGACGGATGCCGTGCCGGGTTGGGGGGAAGCAGGACCAATAGGGAATCAGCCCTGGCCGAGAGAAACAAGATCAGCATATTAATAATGCAGCAGGGTCCACCACGCTTTGCCGAGAATTGGGGGCGGAATTGTATTCCTCTTATATCGCATGTCTTTCTCACTCAACACTGTAGGGGAATGTTCGCCCCTACTAGCTACGGGCCGAGTCAACTTCAACAAGCAACACAAGCAAGGCTGGACGCCAGTATTCAACACTGTTTCATCAACAACATAAGTTCTTAAATTACCTGCTGGCTGAGGAGAAATACCACTACTGTATCTTTGCTATATTGGCAATTCATTGCTGAGAATCGTCCGTCATCAATCCAGACATTATGGTCTATCCAATCTTCCACATCAGATCTTGAAGCTACGTGGCCATTTCCAGAATCCCTGTCCGCTGTCAATCCTGCACGGGAATCATCAATGTATATTCACTCATGTATCCTCTTCTCGTCTGGAGGATACCCGTCGACTCGCAGCCAGCCGAAGATACTTCGGGTTGCATTTTGTGATGCTGACTCCTCCCCATGATCGAGAGCTTCATAACTGATTGTGACGTTAGGCAGCTCTGGCTCCGCCAGTGGCAATGTTGGTGCAAGAGCGGCCTCGAACGACTGATGTACCACCCTACCATTTCGGCACATCCACTTCCAACCTGCATACAGAAGGCCTTGCCCGGTACAATTCGCATGCAGGCGGACGTCAATTTCCGTGTCTTTTAGAGCGGTGGCCCCAAACGGCCTCCACGGCAATATGGGCCATCTAGGGTGATGTTCCTCTTGGGTAAGATAGAGAATGCGACATTCGTCGGAGCGCTGAATAGAGTTATTTGCGGCTGGATGGACAGGCTCTTGCAGGAACGATTGCATGGTCCCAGACCACACCGCAGCATGTAGCTCAGTCGGGATTAGTCCGAATTGCCCATGTTGTAAGACTTCCTTCTGGATGTCCAGGATTGCTCCTCTAAGCCAGAAGAAGGCAAGATGCGGAACTCGATTCATCAGCATATGCGTAAGAATGCGCTTGTCTTCAACAGAGTTTATCACAGCGAATATGGATTGCAGCCATGGGCTGACAACATTGCAAGCTATGCCAGGCTCGTAGAAGACGCTGAACAGCAGGGAACGGATTCCGCTTGTATTGCAGCTCAAGGTGAGGAGTTTGTCCAGATAATGGGCCTCCTGTACCCAAGAAAGATCAAGTTGCACTTTGCATTCGGATGCCCCCACTTTACGTTTCAGTTCATGGAGAAATATTGGTCTTGGCAGAACGATATTTTTTCCACTGTCACGCAAGAGTGGAAGAAATAAGACGGCCGATAATGCTGCATAGCCCTGATCTACAATGTCATGCAGAGCGCAGTAATCAGATAGAAAGCGGAAAGCAGTTGCAGTTGATACAGCGGTGTCTGACAGCAAACAGTCGTTGTTGTGAGAGATAAGACTAAACTTCGAGTTTGCTGGAAGCGTGATTGACCAAGGGGATCGAAATCTGTCTTTCCCAATCGCAATATATGCTTCCCAGCCCTCTCCTGGAGCTAAAATAGCAGCCCACCATCTTGCTGCATCATTATTAACAACCCCTACGCCCGCCAAAGCCGGATCCTGTTCTCCGTGCTGCTCGCTGCTGCATGCCTTGCTGTCTGTATATGCGAGTATTGCTTCGGGCATGAGTTGAGCCCAGCGTGCTGAAAGGATATAACTCCATGCAAATATCAATACCGAGAGGTGGTCTTCCTCCGCATTGAACCATTGCTGGTGGCTTGGGTCTAGGTCTGCAGACACATTCAGAGGAGTGAGATAGTTAATCGAGACAGGAATTTGAAGATGCCGTTCCAGTGGAGGGATGTTGCAGTGCTCCGATGATCCTCTCCAGGTCGATGTTCCAGAAACAGAGATATAGTCATAGGTGAGCTTGAGATCCAAGTCATCTGGAAAGTAAAGCTGGTGGTGGAGTGCTGGCTGGATCTGGAGACAGGTTTGGGGAAAGCCAGGTTCCTTTATAGCACGCAGGTAGAGACTTTGCCAGATACGAAAGCCTTTTTCGTGCACAGTTCTGCGTTCTTCATCACTAGGAGCGGCGTTCTCCATAATGAACAAAGTCATGTAGGTGAGAAGGAAAATGGTGTAGATTAGAAGGGGAATCGCGAGCTATATAGGGAAGCGAGCGGGTACTACCCAGCAAGGTTTATGGATTGACTAAATTGGCAGGTTTCACAAGAAGAGTGGGTAAGTGAGCCGGCAGTGTGAATCTCATCCTATCACAGGCCTATTGTGCACTCACCTGCACTCACCCGAGTCGCGCGACCGTAAAGCAGCCTCACCCAGACAGCACCCACTCAACTTTGGACTGCGTTGAAGCCACACGCCGGGAGGGTAGTAGTTGGGAGGGTGACCATTAAGAACTCCCTCCTTTTATATGTTTGTTTATTTATCTCCCTCTCTTTTTTTTCTTCTTCTTTTTCTCCCTATATCGCGACTAGTATCCTAGTGCGCATGCTTGATTTAGACCATCTCCTGTTGTCATCAAATCCGGGGTCTCATCTAATGCGGGTCCGCTGATAACGCGGATCTTCAAGGAGGCTCCGATTGGTTCGGGGCGGGTGGGACTCCCGTAGATCCTGGATGGACTTGGCTTTGACACAATCCTGACTGTAACTTGAACATTTTGCTTCTGCAGGTAAGCAGGGTACGCGTAACGTTTCATGTTGCGCCTAGCTGCTTCTTTTTCAAATCCCGCTTTAATTGAAGACAATTAATTGAAATATTCCGTTTCTGTTACATATAATCTACGGGAAAAAGTACCCTTGAAGTTGACTTTCGGGAAAGGCAAACCGACGACACAAGCCGGAAGGAGTAGAAGATAAGTTGGTAGTATTTTGATTTGGATACTCGTGTTTAAGAAGTAAATGGATAATTCGCAAGAAGCTTCCTTTGTCTCGTCGTCATGGATAGGACCAGACATAGTAGAGAGTAGGGCGTGCGCTTGCCTAGACGTATGTGAGCAACAAGCCCTATGCCCATGACCAAAACCTTTCAAGCGAGGCCGGTGGAGGATCTTTAGTAGCACTCCAGTCCATCCCTTGGACCGGCTTGAAGTAGTAATCACTGGTTGCAATCAAGACAACAAACCAGGGTCTGCCTTCCTCTATTCATCCTTGATAAACTGCAGTATGCCAGAAGGAAATATAATCTGAGCTCAATCTAGTTCTTTACAACTCTTTCAAACACCAGCCGTGACATTAGCTCAGCATTCACTATCCTCATCCCAAAAATCTGGATCATCCCAATGAAAGTCCGGCCCAACACAATACGTGTACCCAACTTGCAAACTGCCATCGCAATCACTGCTCGAAAATGAAGGATTAACCGCCATGAAAAGGTCAGAGGACAACCCCTGCTTGACGCAGATAGTAGCGCAAGTATCCCCCTCCTGGATGGTAAACCATTTCCCGCAATAGCAGGTCGTTCCATTTGCCACGGTCGCGTTGTAAGGCGCATATCGGATAACATTGGTATAACCGCTACTGATCGCAGGCGCGATGGACTTACTACCCGTAGCATTATGGCTGCCGCCTTGGGGTGAGAGGCAGAGAACGCTACCGTGGACGGGACGGGTGGTTTGGAGGTTTGTGCAGTCGGCTTTGATCCAGGAGTTATATTTGCGGATGTCACCGACTTTGATTCGCTGGGCCCATTCGATCGACTCGCAGGTGTTGTCGTCTTGGAGAGTATACTGGGTGTCGCAGCTGAGGGGAATGCATAGATCGCGGTCGGGGACCAGCTCGGTGCAATTGTTCACGAGCATCGGGTTGCCGATTTGAATGGCTGCAGAAGCGATGTGGTATTGAGTGGCAAGGCTATCGCATGTTTGGCCGTCTGCGGTGGTGTGTGTTATGCCTGATGCGCAGAAAGCTGTCTCGACCTCGTCGGTGGTGTAGAGAGGTGCGTGGAGGTCTGTTGGGCCGGAGAGGTCGCATTCGCCTTGGAGAATCTCCAAGTTCTCCTTGTCGTCTTCGGTGTAGGCTGCGTAGGGACTGGCTTGTCTCATTTGCAGAGAGGTAGTGAAGCAGTACGAACACATCTCTGACAAGGTCATGGACCTAACACTATCAAGGACAGTGAAGGGTGTCAGGACATCTGGACAGTACTTTTGGGTTGATGGGTCTTTCAAACAGGTCAGATTGTAACCTGCGTAGATGTAGCCACCGGCTGCAGTAGGGTCGGTATCGTCAATGGTCTGATTGAAACAGCTGTGGGAAACATTGTCCATCCAGCTCTTTAGAGACTCCCCGCAGCCCTCATCGCAGATATCATCTGCTAGAGTACTGTTATCGATATATTGACCAATACCGGGGTTCTCAAACTTCATCTGCAGGTAAGGGTGACAGGGAATATTCTGGGAGAGGGCAGTCTTGCAGGTACTCGTGAAGATATCTCTGGGAGATTATGACCTCTGCGCTCACTGTGCCCTTTCAACCAGGCGCCCCTTTTCGTAAAATGCCACATTGTCGGAAATCTGTCACTACGGCTAGCCATCTCCGAGAGACCATCTGAAGGACCTCAGATCAACCAGCTGTTATGCAAAGAGCCCCTGTCTTCTGTGTCTCGGATGTTACCGGACATGGTCAGTGGGATGTGGATATCCGGAGCGATCCAGATCAAAAGATGGTTTTTTCGGAACCATGTTTACAAGGGTCCATGTCTCAGGTCACCGTACCTGGAGCGAATTGGCCTACGGCCGAATGCTAAGTGCTGGCCCCGCAGTGCAGACCCTGAGAATGATGCCATGCAGGCAAGCTTTGATCGGCTATGGCTTACTCTCAAAACCCTAGACCATCTACTCCTCCCCCTACTGGGGAAACACTAGCGTGGCTTGTGCGTTTAGATCCGTGCACTTACACCCATGCTCATCCGAGTCACTACTTTCTCAAGCGCAGTACGCCGTTTTAGGATAATAGAAGAACGAGCCTACATCGCCATCATCCGGAAGTGAGATACCTCCGATTCTAACTCTACTGATGGGGTGCTATGGCTTAGTTGGACCCGCAATTGCTTCTCAGGGGTACGGTTGCCATCGCCATCGAGAGAACAGTCTCGGAGTGTCCGATGGGTTCCGCGGTGCCAGATGGCCAAAGAAATAGATAGTTAGGACTCATAAATAACCTATCCTTATTGTCTTCAAGTTCACTTCTCGGACCTTAGATTTCGCTGCATTGAATAACTCGCACGTCTGGAACCGAGTCCGGTCCGGGAGGCGCAATTGATGGCCCTACACAAGGGCATGAGGCTTTCAGCCTTTGCATACCTTCTCTTCCTCCTCGCATGCATTATCACACAAGTTGTTGCACAAGGTTGCAGTGCCTCTAATCCCTGCGCAACCGGATGCTGCTCCAAGTAAGCCTTTCATTCTCCCACTCGATCTGCTACTTACACATGCTGACTGGGGGTATCTTGGTAATGTAGATACGGCTATTGTGGAACGGGGGAAGATCATTGTGTCAGTTCTCAATCCAGTCGCCCTGTTGTCAGTTCCAAGACTAACGTATTGGTTCCAAGGGAGCGGACTGTGTCGCAAACTGTGACTACGAGTCGACAGCAGAATGCAGTGCCACTAAGCCTTGTGCAGAGGGTTGCTGCTCCAAGTTTGGAATCTGCGGATACGGCCCTGACTGTAAGTAGTCCTTGCGCCGAAATGTTGACCACAGACGCTGACTGCATCCATCAGACTGCAGCAAGGAAAACTGTGTTTCGAATTGCGGGCAACCGTCCGAATGCGACCCCGGAGACTGGGGACCGGAGTTTTCCAACTCAACTACCTGCCCATTGAACGTCTGCTGCAGCAAGTACGGCTTCTGTGGAACAGCCGAAGAGTTCTGCGGCAACAAGAAGGTCAAGCGGCCGTCCTGCGGAACAAAAGGAAAACTTCAGCGTGTTGTTGGTTATTATGAGGGTTGGGCAAAGACGCGGTCTTGCAACGCCTTTTTGCCAGAGCAGATCCCCACCGGGATCTATACCCACCTCAATCACGCCTTCGCAACAATTGATCCTGATACATTCGAAGTCCTTCCACCCACATCGTCCGAAGCTAATTTGATGCAGAGATTGACGTTGTTAAAACGTTACGATCCCGGGCTGCGTGTGAACATAGCAATCGGCGGATGGAGCCTCAACGACCCAGGCGCAACGGCCTCGATTTTCACGCAGCTTGCCGCTTCTGAAGATAATCAAAGAAAATTCTTCAGGTCTCTCACTTCTTTCCTAGCCACCTATGACTTCGATGGTGTGGATATTGCTTGGGAGTATCCTGTCGATGGCGATCGCGGTGGTCGGGATGAAGACTTCAAGAACTTCCCCAAATTCATGGCTAATTTGAAAGATGCGTTGAGCGGAACCGGCGGCCGCGATGGACTGAGCTTGACTCTTCCTACCTCCTACTGGTATTTACGGCACTTCGATATCAAGTCTCTGGCAAAAAACGTCGACTATTTCAACTATATGTCATATGATCTCCATGGCACCTGGGACCAAGGTACTGATTCTGATGCTCTTTCAAGTGTTGACCACTAGGCTAATGCTGTCACAATATAGGAAACAAATGGACGGGTGAATACCTGGACGCGCATACCAACCTGACCGAAATTACCGACAGCTTGGACCTGCTATGGCGGAACAATATCTCCCCAGATAAAGTCGTTCTGGGAATCGCCTTCTACTCTCGAGCATTTACGGTTGCGGACACGGGTTGCACGTGAGTTTCTTTACAAAATTAAACATTCTGTTTAAGCTGGGAGGGACAAATGCTGACGCTGCACTTTATCAGGACCCCAGGATGTCTTTTTGGATCCGGTTTCACCCCAGGGCCCTGTAGCAGACAGACTGGAATCTTGATGAACAGCGAAATTGACGACATCAGGGCCAGAAAAAGCCTTACGCCATCTCTGGATAAAGATGCCGCTGGCCAGATCCTCACGTGGGATAACCAATGGGCTTCATACGACGATGAAACGACCTTCAAGATGCGCATTGACTTCGCGAAGAAAACCTGCCTCGGAGGTGTCATGGTGTGGGCTGTCAGTCACGACACCCGGGACGCGGCTTACTCCAGGGCCCTCGCAGGTGCCGCCCCCTTGACAAAACCCATTGCAAATCGACGGGTACCACCCGCCGCGGCGACCATCCTTCAAGACGAAAGGTCCAGGCAATGCAAGTGGACCGCATGCGGCCAGACCTGCACGGGAGACTATGTTGCCATCTCACGTTTGGATCCCAAATTCAGAAAGGGAGAGTTGATGCTGGACTCGATCGGCTGTCCTAAGGGATTGACTCATACTTTGTGCTGTCCCAAGGACGATATTCCTAAGTGTGGGTGGTATACTCATAATAACCGCAATTGCAACTCCGAATGTCCAGCGGGCTACTTTGACATTGGTTCCCTTTCCTCAAACGGATTGTGCCATAACACAGACTATGAGGCGGCCTGCTGTGAAGCCAACAAGGACTCCACTACGCTATACAATACATTACAGTGGTCCACGGCCCCATGGTGCGATAGTGGAGAGTGTCCGGTGCTGGATGACAATAAGTCTAATACATTGGCACTCGCAACCTCTGGAAGCGGAGATGCACAGTGTTACATAACTTTTCATCTGGCAAAGTGGTTATTGGGCAGCGGAAGTTGTGCTACGACTCTAGCCAGGACAAAATGTCGTGGGATGATTGTGACTGGTACCGTTCGGTAGACAGTCCACCGAAAGGGAAGTCCCAAGATTACTGTGTCAATTCCTGTCCATCCGATATGGTGCGACTCGCGACAGACAAGTACGACCCTACCTGCGCGGGTGGCGATCGCGCCTTTTGTTGCTCCGACAATTACTTCATCACCAGGGCCCGACCTTATCCAAATGTCATGAGAATCCGGGAGGCCTTGGACAGTTACCTGACAAATGGAACGTGCCCTATGGGCAGCAGTGCTGGGCTGAGTCGCAGAGACAGTACCTCCCCGGGGCTCATGCAGAGGGACACGGACAAATACGAACAGTTCCAATATTTGATTCCCATCCTTTAGTCGCTGCTCAAGACAAAGCAATTCGAACTTAATAATACGCAGTATGTGCAGGTGGCCCAATGGGATGAATGGGCCCGAGAGAACTCGTATAATGGTTTTTCTCTGAGTACCCTAAGGCCGTACGTGGAGAACTCTACTCTATGGTCTGATATGGGGGGAACGTATGTTGTAGAAAATATTTTATGCCGCCCCGAAGCCTGGAGTGACTTGGCACAGCAAAAGTCCGTCCCAATGTGTCAAGGGGATCCTTGTGATGAGGACGCAGACCCTGATTTATGCCGGACTGCTGAGCTAGACGGCGAGACTGAAGATGATGATGATGACGACGACGACGACGATGATGGAGGGTTCTCTCCATTTGGAACCCGCAGATCTCTTGTGAAACGTTCAGATCCCAAGGCATTCCGGGTCTGGTGTGCCGGTGACGGGAACTTTGTGGACGGCTTGCAAATTCGCCCTGCCGCCTATCCCAGTGCCGGAAAATGGAAGCCCGGCGAATTCCAATATGAAGGGGCACGAACATACCAGAGCCGGCAAGACTGCGCGAACCCCTTGATCGACCCAATGCAGAAGCAGGGAAACAATTATGACACTGAGCACGTGCTGGAGCTTCAGATGATCCCAATGTTTTTTGAATATGCAACTCACGGAGAGCTGGCATCTGGGAGGACGCCATCATTCCAGCCCATCGATTGCTCCTTTTTCCTTGAAGAAGCTCAAGGGGGGGGGGGGGGGAGAATTTCTTAAAATCGAAGAAGATGCCTAACGAGCAGATCTACATTGGTGACCCGTTCAGAGGGGAGCGTAACAAAGCCCCAGAGGTTCGAATTATGGCTGCACTTGGTTCGACGCGAAACCGAGAAAATTTCTACTTGCTTGAAAAAGCCGTCAATGGCATGAAGGCACGGGTAAGAGGACAAATAACGATGGGCCCGCAAATATCTGACGAATTCCACTAACCTTCTGCGACCCAGGTATCTCGAAATGTTGAGCTGGTTGACTCAACCAAATGGAAACGCTTCGTGGGAGACACTTCTAATCCCGGCATCCCACTGAAAGAGATCAAGGCAGCCATCGCGGTTTGGCACTATCTCAACAACCAAGAGGTGAAAAACTCTTTTGTGATAATTGAAAAACATCTACGCCAGGTCTGGAAGGATATTGATGAAGATTACAACGAGAAGAAACCCTTGTTCTTACCTGCTTGGGATGAATGGTGGCTCGACTACATTGAGTATCAAGTGGAACGGACCTCTACGTGGATCACGAATGGTATTGCTGCCATGCGAACGGTGTGGGAGGATGAGAGCAACGATGATCCCGCAAAATTACTGGTCCTCAGCGCCTTGAATGAATTGGAAGCATATGAGGTCGAAGTTGTGCGGTACAGCCGTAACATCTTCCCTAGAGAGGACAATTAGTAATGGAATTAATGTTGCTGTTTGAGAATCTTTCAATGTGGTATCATCCGATTCGTACAGCGCTTGCAGGGTTACGGTCGTATCACCAGATCCACTTAGTGTGCCAACTACGGAACCGGGCGTCTTGGCCAACCCCCAGCCTGAACCCTGGCCAATTTATTTAACCTTGACTTTTTCACCTGCTTTCCAGGCTTTTGCATCCTAACCTACCCTTCCCACAAAATATCATGCTGGCCATAGATAGCCTCCCCCTGGTGATCCTGAGAAACATTCCACAATTTGTAAGCAACGAGCAGGATCAATCATTTGTCATGCGAGTAAGCAAGCACTAACCCACACTACATTACAGGTCCTTGAAAACTCATGGCAGGATTTATCCGCTCTAAGTCAAACAAGTCAAGCTTGGTATGACCTCACAGTGGCTGACTTGTACAAGAACCTTCGGGTCAAATTCCGCGACCTTGCCAGTCTCCAACGTGATGTCTCCGAGCTTCGCCCAGACGGCCTAGGTCGACAGTATCTACGGTACGCCCAGAACCTAGATATTGTTTGCCTCGAAAAGCCATGGATAGAAACCAAAAAGGCCAGGCGTCTCTGGCAGAAGAAAGACTGGGCAAATGAGTTTGTCATCTTCAAGCCTCCGGCGTCTCAAGATACCTTCCTACAGTGCACTTTCTTGGAGTGCCCTGACCCTTACCTCGGCTTTCTTACCTCGACCAACGCATATTATCAGGACAATGACTGGGAGCCCATCATTGCACTTATCTCACAGTTACAGAATCTACGGTTGCTCAACTATGTCGTAACGAACATGTTTCCCACATCCCTCTATCAGGCACTTGAACGACTTCACCCAACCTGTCAGCTAAATATCTGGACCTCACAGTCTCCGTCCCTTAATGTACCAGGCTTGGGCCGCGCCCATGCTTGTGTAGAGAATGGATTTGAACAACCATTCGATCTTAGCATCCTCCCTGCGCCGACGCTCCATACGTTCCATGCCGTCTACACTCTGACCAGGAGTGCCCCGGGCTCAGATCAATGGGTTCATCATAACGAACCCTTCTCCTTCATCTTCATGGCCCCAAATTTGAAACATTTGATTATCCAAGATCGCTCAGAGGACAAGGATAATTCAGTCTTCAAAGTTAAAGAGGAGTGGAAAAGGTTCATTTCCGAATCGAGACCTTCCCCAGCGGCAGTTTCCCTGGACTCGCTGACCTTCAATCGTGACGCGTGTAACCCAGTGGAGCAGATTCTTGTTAGCCTCTCAACTATGATCGATTTGTCTACACTCCGGTCCCTTGCTATTGGAGTCCATTCGGATCCGTCACTGTTAATTCAAGCGGCTCCAAATCTGGTTGGATTGGAACGCCTATACATTGACATGATTCCGACGCAAACGGGGTCCCAATTTCATTGGCGTAGTATGTCAGAAGATGCGACATGGCTTATTGAGGACATGATTTCTGCCGTGCAAGCATTTCGGCCACTCCGATTCTTGTCCCTACGAGGATTACGGACCTTCTCATCGCTAGACCGCATCCTGTCCCATCACCCCACCTTGGAAGGCCTGAGCCTGGAGACATCTGCGGGACAACGCGACCATCCGCCGACAGGAAACGAGTACAAATACCCAATCTCCAGCGGTGATCACATCCGATCTGTGGCAACGTCATGTCCTCAACTGGCAGAACTTCGGCTACCGCTACAGCGCACCCAGGGCAACGCCCATGAGTGTAACATCTACCGGGCACTCGGACAGCTTTCCCGGTTACACACCGTCATCCTCGATATCGACTGTGATCTCCGGCCCAGAACGACCGGCGAATTACCCCGCCTGGGGTATTTGGCGGAAACGCTCCCTAGCCCGACGTGTATCCGGGAAACGCTCATCAATGCTGCCATCGACGAGACGCTGGTCAGGAGTATCTTCAATCTCATCTTCTCCCATCAAGAGACGCGAAGGCTGAAACACCTGCATGTGGATCTCGTGGGATCGGATATGTTTAAGCGGGAATTGGAACACGTTATTCGGCAGATCGGAGGATCATTTCTGGCCACGCGATCGGGCGTTAATGAGGTGGAGGTCAAGGAAATTGGCAGTGTTGCGTGGCAGCTCTGGCGTGAAGATGACATCGACCAAGAGGGATCGATTCATATTCCGAAGGTCATCAAGGACATTTTGGAGGAGTTTTGGCCGCTGAATTCGGATAGGAATCGGAGTAAGAAGTGGAGGGAGATGCCGTTGTTGGTTAAGAGTTTTCCTTTGGAGGATGGGGCTGAACGAACAGAAGAATAGTGACATTAATCACATGCTATAGTTCCATTTACGCTGAATTGTTTTACATCAAGCCTGTCTGTTCTTTGAGAAGGACGGTTGTCCGGAAACACGCAGCTCAAACATATGAAACAAGACCTGGAAATGACCAATGTACCGGCTATACGATAGCGAACCCCTATGTCAAAAGCCCTAGAAAAACAAGATTCTGAAGCGACGGCTGGCCCCCGAGCTCAAAGTCGTAGAAGGAGCGGCGCTAGTCGCCGCAGAGGTACTTTCCGAAGGAATGGCCAAGGATGAAGCCGTGACTGTAGCTGAGACAGAGGGCGCCACCGAAGAGACGGTCGAGGAAACCGAAGCACTGCTAGCCGAAATCGTCGTCGAAGTCTCCGTGGAGGTGGTTTGTTCTAGACTAGGATTGAAGTAATCCTCCGTCAGTTCCCACACGGAAAAGGTGCCGTTACCGCCACCTACATTTCACTACCAGTGAGCCAGCTCTATTAATCAATGGGTTGGATAGTCCACACGTACATGTATCCTCCGGGAAACCCGGACAATTTCCATCGCAAGTTGCACCATTCATGCTGTCAAAGGCGGGAGGCTCGCTACCACACCAGCAGGACTCGCCCTGCAGGGCAAGAAAGTAGCCGTATTGTTTCTCGCACAGATTCTGGCATAGACCAGGGGAGTTGTAAACGTATGAGCCCAGGTTCTTCATGTCGCCGGTGCTGGTCATGCAAGCGTATTCGTCCCATTCTAGGCCTTGGACGACGAGGAACAAGGATGCCAGAGCTCCTAGTGAGGTGTAGGATAGAAGCTTCATCTTGAATTGAGGAGTTGATGCGAGTAACTTGGTATGATGAAAAGGGATGGGGGCTGTGAAAGTGAGAAAGATGGAAGTGGTTGGATAAACGTTGGGGGGAAAGGCGAGATAAAGCTCCGAAGGGTGGGCAGTGCAAGCGCCAGGAATAGGCGGTCATTGCAGGACCCTACGAGGATAGTTTCAGCCTAGGTTCCGTCGTCGGGGCCGACGAGTGAAACTCGACGTATGAGGTTGTGTGTAGCCCGGCCTAGTCGGGCCAACTTAGGGCCCTGGCCCCACCAACCGTCAGCCTCGAGTCTTGGGAGATGAGATGAACCCCTTTTTCATGCCGTGGGCTGGTGCCATTGGCCAGATCAATACTCGGGTGTCTCGGCATGTCCGAACAGGCAATGAACATTGGCCAACTTGGAGACTCGAGGAATTTAGTTTGTCCAGTGGAGTAAATTTGTTGATGCCAGGCGGGTTCACCCGAACCTTATGCCTGAGGCAGCCTTCTGCTCCACAGGACCAGAACACCGCACCGCCTCTTTGGATGCTATCTCCAATGGTACACCTATCTCGCATAATTGTAGAGATCAATGGAGTTTAAGTTGTTATGTGTCTAGTCCGGTGCTCAGTACGTGATTACCTTAGGCTTTGACTTAGATTTCGGGGGCAAAAAAATACCAACCGGGAATATATATAGAGAGGGCGCAGACAGATATTTCGCATCAGATTTGACATCCAAGGGACTGTGAAAAGATAATAGCGGTAATTCTATATCGTGATTCGAGTTTACCAGGAGGTATCTGCCATTGCAAGAGCGTGTACTATTGCCCCCTACTGGATTCAATATAAGTTGGATCAACCAATGATGCTTACCATATTTGAATGCCACCGACAACATAAGTCAGATGTAGACAGAGATAGTATTTCTCTAATCAAACACAATGGCGGCCTTGACGACCGATTTATTCCTCATAGCATCAAGGCAAGCCTCCCACTCATTTAACTTAAATGTCTTGTTGACAATGCCATCCACCTTGATCCGTTTGCGATCTGCTCAATATAAGCCATCAGCATCCCCTCACATACGGGTATTGACCACTCACCAAGATAATCAATAGCAGCCGGGAACTTATGCATCTGACTGAACGAACCAAGCACCTGAAACTCCTCCTTAAAGATCATATTCGGAGACAACGAGACCCGATCCCCATCGCCATAAACCCCATACACCACCAACTTACCACTCTTCGACACAAAATGTATCGCATCTTCCAAGACCCTCGCACTCCCCGTAGCCTCCACGACAATATCAAATCCGTACGGATGCTCACCCCTCAACTGCTCCATCCTCACCCCCGCGGCATCCGCTTCCCGCGGCAACTCCACATACTCATCCGCCGCATCCAGAGACCTCGCAAGGTCCATCTTCAACCCCCCAGGCGCAGCGATCACAGTATGACACCCTCCATTCTGCCGAAGGAGTTGAGCGAGCATTAACCCTGTCGGACCAGCCCCGAACAACAAGACCTTGGACCCCATTTGCGGGGCAATTTTATCCAACCCGTGCGCTGCACAAGCAGCCGGCTCTAGCAGCGTTGCATCCACATCAGACAGGTTCTGAAACTTGAATACCCGATGGGCCGGGTAGACAGCATATTCCGCGAATCCCCCATCGACCATCACGCCGTGTGCAACGAAATTCTCGCAGAAGAGCTCCTTCCCGCGACGGCAGTAGTGGCAGTGGCCGCAGACTTCGGAGTTGTCGGCCACTACGCGGTCACCGATGCTGAAGCCGGTGACGTGGCTGCCGTAGGCTGCAATGACGCCTACGGTTTCGTGGCCAGGGACGAGAGGAAACTGTGACTTAATCAACCGTCTGGTAATAGAATGTTGGGAGACGTTATACTTGAGCTCCGAATTCACCATCATGGATGTGTAGGTCTGTGCCGCATACACCGCAGGCTTTTACTTTTATCTGTACGGATGATGAGCTATTTCATTTTGTGTTCTGCTGGTAGACAGGCATACAAGGACATCGTGTTCACGGATCTTCGGAAGAGGCTTCTCAACGATACTGAACTTTCGAGCCTCGGTGTACTCTGCTCTCCATCATGTAAGCTTGGTGGACGTCATGTTAGTAGATGTCACTTACCTAACGCACGCATCGAACCGGGGAGATTGAATGAGCCTATACTGCCCATGCTATATGTGAGCAGGTTGATTCCAGGCACCTGGCAATGCGATATAAAGTGGAGACAGCTTGGATGAAAAAGAATAGAGTCCAAATAGAGGACTCCGAGCAGACAAAGATGTCAAGGGTATGGTTGCGAGGCAGGACTCGCATCGGTCGGGCCAAGTAGCGTACGATGCAAAAGAGGATGAAACAAGTAATATCGGCTTTCTAAATTCATTGTTCATGTAAGAGGGGTACATCGATATGCATATAACCCTTGCGTCTTAGCACAAAGACCACGAGACGGGGACTGAGGGGAGATCCCTGCAGTGCGAATTGTTTCGAAATAATAATTCTCAAGAGGTCTGTGTCATCGCAAATGCATATTCCGGCTTTTAATCACTGAAAAGAAAAAGTCTAGAATCTATTGCTGCATGACCTGCCATGCCATAGGGGCATTGCACATTTTGGAGGGACTATCCTATCGCCAGAGCCTGCGGTGTGAGCATATTGAGTGAGCGGTAATACGGTGCTCACCCTCCCGACTTGGAGGCCACTGGGCATTCTACTGTTCCTCAGTATTTTCGTCCCCAAAAAGAATATTTCCAGGAGATCATTGGTCTGATTTCACAGTTGATATGGCATACCGTATGATCTAGGTATGTGGGTAGAATGCGGGGTAACACGGGGGATCACGTGGGCCCCACTGGACGTCCTTCTCCCCGAGACGGGGACAAACTTGGTTTCGGCACCAGTCAAGATGGATCCGGTCCTTGACTTCGACATTACCTGCAGCGAGTGGCCCTATGGCACCGCAACGATGCCACCGACCACGTCCTACAGACGGCCACGCATCCGCAAGTCTCGAGGACGGGGTCTGAGGACGAAGAATGGATGGTGAGTCGCGATCCCACCCGTGTCGTGCCTGGCTTGACGCAATGAAGCATAACATGTCGGAAACGACACTTGAAGTGTGACGAGGTCAAGCCTATCTGCGGGCCGTGTGCGAAAAAGGACAAGACCTGTGAATATCCTACGTCGGGGCGTCGCAGTCCGCCTCCCGATCGGGCTATTGACGTTGGTCCCGTGTCAGCCCAGGAAGCAACTCAGGGGCAGACTAATGATTCCCCTTCGGATGTTGCAATTCCAGGTCCTGTGCCCTATGAGCCGCATGACTCTACCGGCCTGTCATGGAATTGCTCCGACGCGGATGTGAACCCCCCTCTGCCGGCGGTGCTGGATCACCTGCCAGCGAGCGACCTGACTGTTAGCCAAAGTCCAATAGCCTTTCCGCATGCTTACCTGTCGCCCTCCAATGCCTCCTTTGCGGCAGTGCGATGGTTCGGGCTCCTCGCGAGTGACGCCGCTAGGGACAGTCCCCTGCTGTCCACTGCACCTAATTCTCATGCGAATCAGGATATCTCCATCGACCATTACGGCGCTGAGGGGCTGAAACAGCCTCGGTCACTACAATATGCGACGCAGGTACTCGATAACATAGATATCGATGGGGGCCCTGACGCAGGAGTTAATGCGGGAGGCAGTCCGCTGGAGGAGGCACTAATCTGGCAGTCACAAGAGTCAATCGAGCTGTTGCCGACCGAGCAGGCTCTGTTCGAACACTTTGTCAATCAAGTGAGCCCTTGGGTAGGATACCTCAATTCAATATTTAGACCGGGACTGATGATTATAGCTCGACCTTTTCGACCCGACCAGTCAATTCTCCACATTCGTCGCCCATCTAGCAGTAAGCTTATCCAGTCCCTATACAAAACTCATTTCTGCACATTCTAACATTCCAGATCCACAACGCCGGTCTCATGAACGCCATCCTCGCCCTCGCCTTCCGGCACCTAGCCCTAAACCCCCGCCTCGACAACCAAGAAATGCCCAACAAAGGCGAAGCCGCTCTCCAATACTACTACCAAACCCTGCACTACGTGCAACGAGCGATGCGCTTCTCAAGCTACAAAACCAGTCTCGAGCTCCTCGCCACCGCCCTCATCATCTCCGCGTACGAAATGCTCGACAACTCCACCAATGACTGGGAACGACATCTCGAGGGCGTCTTCCTGATTCAAAGATCCCAGACGATTCACGGCGAATCGGGCGGTCTGCACTCGGCGGTTTGGTGGGCTTGGCTGTGTCAGGATATCTGGGCCGCTTTTCGCGAGAAACGTAAGACGTTGACGTTTTGGGTCCCGTCGAAGCCGCTTCCTGCGCTACTGCCGCATGAGTTGGCTATGCGGGCGATCTATATCACTGCTAAGGTTATTAGTTATTGTGCCGATAGTACGACGGAGGAAGAGATGCAGCGGAAGGTTGAGGAGGCAAGTAGGCTCCGTGCTATGTTGGATGATTGGCGACAACATTTGACGGTGGAGTTTTCGCCGTTGCCGCTTGGTGTGAGTGATAAGGCGACGTGCTTTCGTCCGATTTGGATTCGGCCGGCTGCGTTTGGTATGCTCCACCCCTTTTAGCCTCTTTGCTACCTTGGGTTATATGAGATTAACAGGACTAGCATTGGCAGTTCAATTTTTCAACGCCTCGTACACCCTCTTACTCGCGCACGAACCCAGTCTGGGAGGTCTTGATCAGTACCTGAAGCGCCAAAGTGCAATCAAGCGGCATGTCGGGGAGATATGTGGGATTGCCATGATGTTGAAAGATAGTGCGTCTAGCTTGATGTCGTCACAAGCGCTATTCATCGGTACGTGATTTGTTAATTTGCTGTCATCAACGCTAACAAGTACCAGCGGGGATGTTCACGCAAGGGGAACGCGCTCGAGAGGCTGTCTTGGAGCTGCTGGAAGGTTGTCGAGAACGGGCTGGGTGGCCAGTTAGATCGTTGGGGGTTGAGTTGAAGGAGCTTTGGGGGAGGCATGAGTAACCTAGTCTACTCAAATGCGAAAGCCACAAATTCTGGACATAGATAGAGCTTATATATGACATTAGACGTTCTAAATCGGCTAGAACATTATCCAAGGAATTGCTATATATATCCTTCAGCTTAGGATTTGCAATTGCTAGGATTCGAAGCAGGCTTATTCTATACTCTACGCATAGCCTCATCATAACCCCAGTAATGCCCCCTTCACCTCTCCCCCAAGCTGCGCTCGCCATATCCGATGCTCATTCAAAGCAAATATCTCGCCATTCCTCCCGAAACAAAAATTGGCAACGCCACCTTCGATAAGGATACGACCTAGAAGAACACCCCCCGGAGACCACACATGAATCCCATCGCCACACCCACTGTACACATTGCCATTGAGATCGCACTTAATCCCATCGGGAATGCCATGATCTGCCATGGCAAACAGTCGACGATTCGTGAGGAACGGCTGTCCATGATATACGGATACATCAAACGCGTAACTGCACATCAAGTATCAGCAATCCACCAAACCAAAAGCTACAGATACGACACTCACATCGTAGATACGCGTTGATCATCAATCGTACCATCCCCATGCTCCCGATCAGTATCCGTAACATAAACCACCTTCTCATCTGGCGAGAAACAAATCCCATTCGGCCGGCCGAAATTATCCGCCATAGCGCGGATAGTACCCTCCCGGGGACACCACCGATATACCTGGCTCGGTAGACGCGGCGGAGGACGGAACCCCTGCTCGAAGCCATAAATCGGATCGGTAAACCAGATCGAACCATCCGAGTGCACGACCACATCGTTGACTGAGTTGAAGGGCCGACCGTGGAAATCGCCCAGTAGCAGTTCGGAGTCGTACGGCGCGGTGGCGGACATGCGGTATAAGCCTCCCGGTTGGGTTTTGGTTCCTTGTCCGCAAAAGAGAATGTCGTTGCCGTAGTTTACCCCGCCGTTGGCCATTGGGACGTCGGTGTCGATCTCCTCGTAGGTCACTGGGTTGGTGCTCAGGTCGACCCGGGTGATGTGCACTTTTCGCTGGCCATCGGGGCCGTCGCAGCGGTTGCTGGTGATGAAGAGGCTGTTGGTGTCGGCGATGAAGACCCCGGCTTCGTGTGCGAAGGGGTACTCGTGGTGCTCTGCTAGGAGCTCTAGGGTGGGTGCTGTCCCGATGATGGCTTGGAACTGTTGGTGATGGGTACGGAACCCCGTTCCGGTGCTCTGTGCCATGGTGGTCTGTTGTGCCCTGGCCGGAAGCCTCTAGCAAGCCTATAAGAGGTATTGGAGTAGTTTCTTATGATGAATGACGATAAGCGAGTTGGAATTAGGAGAGGAGTGAAGGTGCGGGGTGAGTCAGGGCAGGATCAACCTCGGAGAAACTCCGCCGGGGCTTCTCCGATGCCCGTCTCGCGGCCAACCCCGCTATGCCTTTTTGATCGTAGCTCGCCAGCGAGTCTACATATAGTCCAGCAGACTGGGATCGTTAGAACACATCTTTCATTAACGATTTGAGGTTATCTGATAATCACAATGTCCTGGAAAGACACCAACTGCCACAAGCGCATCCTGCGCGACGCCGAAGCCGGGGGCTACGGTGTCATCGCCGCCATCGCATACAACATTGAACAAGTACTTGGCCTGGTTCGAGCCGCAGAAACTGCCCGCTCGCCCCTCATTATTCAATTCTTTCCATGGGCGATTGAGGCCACTGACGGCTTGCTCGTACGGACCGCCGCAGACGCTGCTCGACGGGCGACAGTCCCTATCAGCATCCATCTCGACCATGCGCAGTCGGAAGATATCATCAAACGGGCGGCAGATCTGCCATTCGATAGTATCATGGTTGATATGTCGCATTACGAGAAAGAAGTCAACTTGAAGAAAACTCGCGAGCTGGTGCGATACTGCAACGACCGTCAGAAAGCCACCGAGGCGGAGCCTGGTCGGATTGAGGGGGGCGAAGACGGCGTTATGGACACGGCTGGGCTCGAAGCGTGCATGACCACCGCCGAGGAGGTGGATGAGTTTGTGGACACGGGAGTCGATGTTCTTGCCCCGGCTTTTGGAAATGTTCATGGCGAATATGGGTCGCGCGGGCCACAGCTGGATTTTGAGCGGTATGTCTGAAGCAGAGATCTCTATGCAGAGTTATTGACGATGATGCAGGTTCGAGAAGATTCGCAAGCAGTCAAACGGTCGAGTAAACTTGGCGCTTCATGGGACCAATGGATTTGCTCCCGAGCTTATGAAGCGCTGCGTGGCTGCTGGAGTGAGCAAGATCAACGTGAACCGGCTGGTGTTGGATGATTACTACGACCACCTTCGAGCCAACGTGGGCAAGATGCCACACACTCAGTTGATCGAGGAGGGTATCCAGAAAGTGGCGGAACTGACTGCCAAGTGGATGGAAATTTGCGGATCTGCAGGAAAGGCATAAAGGAATTGCAGTTAGATAGGATAGATAAATTGGCATGTGAATGGTTGCATTCCTGCCAGAGCTCTGGCCCGATGACGAATCCTTCGAATTATGGTTGTGACATTCCTATACCTTCTACCTCAGAATTTTCGACCAATACCAGTGGCACAGCACTCACACTTGCGAAGTAGGCTACCTTATTTAGCCACACTGTCATGTAAATGGCTACATGCAGGCATTATTGGACCTACAGCATTTCCTCACTGGTTTGGGTGGACCATTTCACCCTTTGAGGGAGTTGAATCTTTTCCTCCGCCTGTCTCCGCTATAAATACTTCCCATCCTACACCAATTGCAAGATATTGCAAAGAAGCGTTTCATTGAGAAAGAGTTTATCCCTTTACCAAGCGACTCCGTACAACCAAAGAAACACTATTGCAAATTACTGAACATCCCTCCATCCGCCAACAACCCCGTCGCATTCACATACTGACTCATCTCCTCACAGGCCAAAAACACAGCCGGTCCTGCCATATCCTCCGGACGACCGATGCGACCGAGAGGAATGCGCGCCTCGAGGGCAGCCTTCTTCGTAGGATTCTTCATATCATGATCGGCCAGCTGCGTGGCAATAGTACCAGGCATCAGCGCATTGCATCGGATTTGATCTTTGCCGAGCGCAATTGCCATAGACTGCATCATGGAGAGGACGGCGGCTTTGGTGGGCGTGTAGTGGGTTTGGAAGCCTCCCCCGACCAGTGCGCTGACTGAGGATATGCCGATTATGGAACCGCCGTGGCCTTGTCGAACCATCTGGCGAGCGGCGGCTTGACAGGAGTAGAAACAGCCTTTGATGTTGACGTCGAGGCTGTGGTTGAGAAGGGATGGTTCGATTCTAGAATGTTAGCTATGTTTTCACTCTTCACAGTTGGAGAACTTACTTGAGAAATTCGGCTTGCTTGAAGACACCTGCGTTGGCGACAAATATATCCAACTTGCCCCATTGCGATACAGCCTCTTTTATTAAGTCGATACTGGTCTCGGGCGCGGTCACATCGCCGGGGATCTCCAGGATCTTGCCTGCCTCAACTCCCTTCTGTTGAATTGCTTTGACCTCCTCGAGCAGACTGTGGCGATGGACTTCATCCTGAGCAAGCCCCAAGTGGTTGACAGCAACATTACATCCTTGCGTGATGTAGGCCAACACAATGGCGCGACCGATGCCGGTGGTGCCACCGGTGATAGCGGCAGTTTTGCCTCTGAGCAGATTGCAAGCCGGGAGAACCATTGTGAAAGACTGATGAATTGAACGAGAGGGTTTTGAATTGAATTGATCCCGTATGATCAGTGAGTGCTGGAGCTTATCAAGACTACCCCGCTGCATGAAGGCCCCGTCTCGAGGGCTTCCCCGCAGTTGCCCCCACTCTGCCGTCTCGGGGGAGCACCGAGTCGAGAGGACGATCATCTGGCAGATGGTGATAATAATTATAAAATAACCCTTGCTTGCAGTTCATTGTCATGTCCAGATCTCTAAAGTCATTCGATTGTATTTGATCAACATCTCATCATGACCATGGCTCCCTCCGCGACCGCTCCTGAAACCACCACCCCCGAGGCCAGCACCGGCCCTCAGACACAAGTCACCCTGTGGGGAAAGGTGATTGCTAGTGGGTGCTCCCGACGAACTTCAAGGGATCTTATCTAATGTTATCTGCAGTCACCGGCGCCAACCGCGGAATCGGCCTGGGTATCGCCGAATCCTGCCTGTCCAATGGCGCCGCCAAGGTCTACTCCATTGATATCGGCGAGACCGGCGAGGACTTCGCTGCCCTGGCTAAGCAGTACCCCGGGCAGATCTTTGCCATCAATGCAAATGTCACAGAAGAGGCCACCATCACCGCTGCGATTGACCGGATTATCGAGGAGGCCGGCGCCCTCCACGGTATGGTAGTCAACGCCGGCCGGACCCACCACAAGGCTGCTCTCGACTTCACCAAGGAGGAAATTGAGACTCTCTTCAATGTCAACCTCTTCGGTGCCTTTTATACCGCCCGCGCGGCAGCACGGGCTTTCATCAAGCTCGGTATCAAGGGATCGGTTGTCTTCACGGCATCGATGGCCTCATACCGACCTAACAAGGTATGTCCAACTTCCTCCCCTTGACAATAACTAACTGGATCCTCCTAGCGCGTCCCATCCACCCCCTACGGCGCCTCCAAAGCCGGCGTCCGCAACATGACCCACACACTGGCAATGGAGTGGGCGCAATACGGCATCCGCGTCAACAGTGTATCGCCCGGCTTGGTCAACACCGCTATGACTTACTGGGTACCTCAGCAGCCGGACTGGGAGCAACAGCTCAAGTATTATGGGGGGTTCCCGCGGTTGGCTGAGGTGCAGGAGTTGGGTGGTGCGTATGTGTATCTGCTCAGTGATGCCGCGAGCTATACCACTTCGATTGATATTCCGGTCAATGGGGTGATTGGCAGTAAGTTGTTCGATTATTCCTTATGGGATAGGTTGGTTAATGTGAACAGTTTGTTAAATGGTGTAAAAGGTGTAATGACAGTTTCTTATTATAGAGTTATGTCAAGTTGTCAAATATGAGGTTCTTGTCTCCTATCTCGTACCGAGTGTCCACTAGTTACTCTGTATATATAATGGCCCGACGTTGTAACCATTCCAACTACAACTGCATATGGCTAGAATGAAATCCTTCAAAAAGAGGGGAAATGAAAAGGAAAAGGGAGAAAACAAAAAAGCAATAATATTCTTCTGACGACGGAGGATGGAATGTATAACAGCACCTTGTATTGAAGTACTGGATCGGAAGAACATCCAGGGATTGGAGCTTCCTACACCGGGCCCTTTTCTCTTGCCCAAGAAAAGGACGGTTTCTTTCGCTAGCCTCTTGATTGCTCTAGTAGTACACCTAAGGTCTGTAATAGTATAATGAGTTAATTTATTTTGTAGTAATTCTCATCTAATAATCATAGTCTTCGTGTCAATGCCATCGTCTGTCATAATCCGTCATACAAAGCCCCCAGTAACGTCCACAATCCCATATCTGACATAACTTCCAAGGCTCAATGAATGTTGTGCGCATAGGCCTATTGCTACTGGTATCATATCGTCTCCTCATGCTCCGTCTCAACTTCCAATCCCTTCTCAAGTCCCCCCACACCGCCATGCCGACCACTAATACCGAGAGCTGGATTCTCCGCCAAAAGAGCCTTGAAATTCGCCTCTGCTGTCCAGACCCAGGGAGATTTGGCTGCAAAGAGCAGATCGATTTCCTCGAGGGTGCGTCGGCTGGATTCGGGGTAGAGTGCCCATACTGTTATCGTTAGTTTGTGTTAACCGGTGAGGATGGTAGTGGACGTACCAATTGGGATTGAAATGAGGTTGACAGCTCCGAAGACATGCAATGTATTGGCGCCGATGGAGGCGAAAATGTACGGAAGGGCTAGAGTGAGTGACCTATTCTATGTTAGATACGCACAAAGAAGTGGGATTAGAGCATACCCATTTCCCAAACTCCAGCCTACCACTCCCCATGCATTGCCCTTGGCGCGGACTTTAAGCGGGAAGATCTCCGCTGGATATAGCCACGGAACTGTGAGCCAGGTTGCACCGAAGATGAAAGTATACAGATACACCATGGAGGTGGCGGCAATACCCCACGGCCCTTGGTTGTCAGGATGGCTCAGCCCTCCTTGGGCTAGTCCTCCTGCCAGGAACATGGCAATCGCTTGACCGGCCGCTCCCCACCAGAGGGTCCAGCGACGGCCGACGCGGTCTAAAGTAAAGACACACACCAGGGTAGCCAGGGCGTAGAAGATGTCATTCAGCCCTGAGATCCACATCGTTTTATGGGAGTCGAACCCGGCAATTTGGAAGATCGCTACCACGTTAGTGACTTGATACTAGGCATGGGAAGGTCGACTTACTAGGTGCGTACATGGTGACTCCGGCTATACCTGACCAGCTCTGCAGGATCTGCAACCAGATGACCAACTGCACCCGTCGAGCAATGTGCAAATCCTCTTTGCCGAGTCCAAACAGCATATGAAAGTACGTGATATCGCCTGATTCCTTCTCCATGTCAACACTCGCTTCAATCTCACGCATCTCCCGCATCGCTGCACCGTCATTTTCAGTGCCTCGCAGACGCTGCAGTACATAGAGTGCTTCATCGCGACGTCCAACCATGCACAGCCAACGAGGAGACTCTGGGAATACCCAGCATCCCGTGACAAGGAAGAGCAGGAACACGATCTGGAAGGCAATTGGGAATCGCCATTGAAAGTCGGATTGTCCGTCGTTGATATAACTCAGTCCGAAACCCAACCAGTAAGCGACCGCCACGCCAGCGATGTTCAACGTGAACTCCATAGCGATGAACTGGCCACGAGACTCGTAGTCGGCAAGTTCGGAGCCATACACGGGAACGGTGGCGTTCAGCACGCCGGTCCCGATACCGTTGATCAGACGTGACACGATCATCCACGGGGAATTCATGGCCGTGCATTGTAACGCGGCACCGACTATCCCCCAAGCCGCTCCGAAGCCGAGGGACTTGATCCGGCCGTACCGATCACTAAGGTATCCCCCGATGAAACATCCGACCAGAGTCCCGAGGTAGTACGCCGAGACGATGCCTCCTTGTAACAGAGTATTGGTCACCGTCACTGAGCCATTGCTCACGTATCCCAGTCCCATCCGATTGACATATGCTGCGGAGTCGTTGACTCCGCCCATCATGCCTTGGTCGTAGCCTGTTGCGAGCATGAGTCAGTATGATGCGGGTGTCATATAGAGGGAGTTCGGGAACCACCAAAGAAGAAGATAGCAAGTCCAGCAAGAAAATTAATAGCTATCAACAACCGCTTCTGTTGTAGCCGGCTGGTGATCTTCCACCTCGCCCGCTCATCGTTGTTGATGATGAACATGGTGCCGTTAAGTGATAGACAGAGATTGCACGGTGAAACAGAAAGAGAGATCAATCGATTCCTCGTGTACATTAGGAAACCTCGATTAGAGTGGGTCTTTTTATAGTTATATCCACTTCTATCTCCACACGTCATACGATGTAGCCCCAGGTTTGCTCCATGATACTGGGAGAGCCCATGGGGGCGGGTGAACACACAGCCTGGACCAGTAGGCGCTTTACATGGTGCTCGGCTCGGGGACAGGGGCGCGAAACGGGGCTCCATATTATTGATCTCCCACTATCAAATCAAACCCCTTGAAAGAGTGGAGTTGATGATGTCAAGCTATAGAAAGCGTCAAACAATTGTCGCGTGCTAGATACATCGTTATCTTCAAGAAAAGGATGACGTCAAAGAGGAGCAGGATCAACCATCCTAACAAGGACGCGGTAGTTAAGATATTACGGAAATCTTGTCCTGGTTAGAGGTTAACTATTCATGGCCACCCCTATCTACCTCTCACTAAGCCTCTTGTCCACCAAATCCCGATATTCACGCTGCCGGAAACAAATGTCCAAAAACACCTCATACTTGGCCTGAAGCAGCCGTTGCTGATCCACATCCGTGGTGGGATCTACACGTCGACCCGGTTTGCTCATTTGGCCCATGATAGACCACAAATCTTTCGAAGATGATCCTGAACTCCCACTGGCGGCCATGGCTGCTAGCATCGCAGCACCGTGGCACACGGCAGCATGAACATGCTGGGGTAGGACCACCGGGAGGCTACACGCCGAGGCTATTAAGTCAACCAGGATATCGTTTTGTGTCTGGGACCCAGACATGAAGATGACTGAAATTTGGTGACCGTGTTCATTCATCGTGTCCACGATCTGACGCGTTTGGAGGGCGATGAACTCCAGCGCCCCATAATAATGGAGAGCGAGATTATTCATTGACTCATCGCTTTTCAACCCGATAATGGCGCCGCTCATTTGCGGGTCTGCGATGGGGGAGCGATTGCCCCATAGGTCGCCGTAGAAAAAGAAGTGCTTGGCGAGAATCGATACGGAGACCTGCTTCTGTCTGGCTTGTTCGCGAAGATGGTTGTTGAGGAAATCGTAAACATGTACACCCTTAGCCTTTGCAGCTTCCAAAGCTGCCGAATAGGCTGGATGGCTTTCGACGACATGTCGAATGAGTTCGCCTGTCGCGGATTGCCCTCCTTCGGCCAGATATGCACCGGGGAATAGCACATTCTGGTAGGGCCCCCAAACTCCAGGGACAAACAGTTCCTCGTTGGACATGGCGAGATGACAGGTTGAGGTACCGGCGACGACTGCTAGTCGATGGATGACCCGTTCCTGCTCGTCACCGGAGTTGTCATTGTCCAAGTCGACCTTGGCTCCCACGGTGCCGATCCAGCCTGCATACGCGTCGATGACTCCGCTCCCGACTGCGATACCGGGGACGAGCCCTAAGCTAGCTGCAGCTTTTTCGCTCAACGGGCCTACACACTGGCCAGCGCTGAGATAATGACCATTCTAGATGCTGTCAGTGATGACTGATAACTCAGAACTCTGGGATACTCACCAGGCCATTAATACCACCAAGTCGCACAAAGTCATCCGCAGTGAGATCTTCAAGGCCAACTGCAGTCAGAAAGTCCAACTGCCATCCTTCGGAGCCGGTACCAGTGGCATTTGCCAGATAGCCCTGCTTGCAAATAACACTACAGTAGCTTCGAGTCTCTTTGCCGGTGGCCATGTGAGTGAGCGCATCTGCGAGATCGTAGAATTTGCAGTCTTCAAACATTCGCGGCTCCATATGGTTCTTCAGCCAGAGGATTTTCGGCATCTCCATTTCCACGGACATGGCGCCTCCAACATATTTGAGCACATTGTGGTTGGTTGCATTAATAGTCTTTGTCTCGTCCACTGCGCGATGATCCAACCACAGAATCACATTCCGATCGGTACTAAAGTCGGGGCTGCTGATTGAGATGGGATTATCGGATTCGTTGCTGAATACTGCTAGGGAGCAAGTGGCATCGAAGGCAAGTCCTCGGATATTGGAGGCCGGGACATCGCATTGTCGAAGTGCGTCCTTGACGGCGATACAGATACTGTTCCATATGTTGGAGGTCGATTGCTCATAGTATTGCGGATGTGGTCGCCATGTCTTAATGTCCTGCGATGCAAGACCGACAATATTCCCTTGATTATCGATGACACAGGCACGCGCACTGCCGGTACCTACATCCACTCCGATGTAATAATCTGCGTGTTCGTCGGACATGTCCAGTTGGTTCTGTGGATTGAGGGGACTGAAGACATTGTCCAAAATGACGGACTCAGGTGAGGAATTTAAGCTGGTTCAGTGATCCCTTTCTACTATCTATCGTATCCTCGTGAGTTTGGTTTGGTGTTTTCCCTATCTTCTTTATCCTCCTTAGGGTCCCCGAGACGAACCCTGTCCCCGACACGGCGGCCACATTCCCACGTGACCTGTCCGTCCGACGATCGATGGGCCTAGACCATGAGCATACCAGGCTCAATATAAATACACCCAGACGAAAGGCGTGGACACGATGTATGAGTAGTGCCAATATCCTGAACCATCTTCACAATGGTCCTCTTCAAACCAAATGATGCCCCAGTGCAAAAGCTCTTCGATCTCACCGGCAAGATGGTGGCAATAACCGGTAAGTAGGAAGTACAGATTCAAAGTACATGTCTAACGAAAATAGGGGGTGGACGAGGCATTGGATTGACCGTAGCTACTGCCTACGCCGAAGCTGGTGCTCAGGTATGCATGCTGCATTCACTAAAAGCCCAACCTTAATGATTGCGCAGGTTGCTATTCTATACCGCACAACCACCACCGCTCCCAAAACCGCAGAAGAACTTTCTTCCAAATACAACACCATATGTCGCGCATATCAAGCCGACGTTACCGTCCCAACCCAAATCTCCGCCGCAATTGACGCCGTTGTCCAGGACTTTGGAAAACTGGACGTGATCGTCGCCAATGCGGGAATCTGCTCGGAGCATGCAGGCGAGGACTACACCCCTGAACAATTCCAGGAGGTTATGAATGTCAATGTCAACGGAGCGTTTTATACAGCCCAAGCTGCTGCCAGAATCTTCAAGAAACAGGGCTTCGGAAATGTGGTATTCACGGCTTCGGTTAGCGCTACGCTGGTGAATACGCCTCAGAAACAGGCTGCAGTTTGTCCCCCCTTCATGCCCCTTTTACCCTCATTGAGAATATTAGACTGATGAAATGATGATAGTACAATGCCTCCAAAGCTGGAGTCCTGCAACTAGGCAAGTCGCTCGCAGTGGAATGGGTGGACTTCTGCCGCGTCAACTGCGTCTCGCCGGGTTATGTCCAGACGCAGATGATGCAGTATGCTTCGCCTGAGATGCAGGATAAGTGGCTGAGTCAGGTTCCTGCTAAGCGCTTCGCGTCGCCATATGAGCTCAAGGGGGTAGGTGTGAGTACATTCAGAGATGATGTTAGCTAAGATGTTGCAGGTTTACCTTTTCTGTGCTTCCGATGCGTCTAGTTATATGACCGGGTCGAATCTGGTGGTTGATGGGGGTTTTACATTGCCTTAAGCTATTCAGAAATATATAGCAGTGCTCTCAGGAGTCAGTGCTTGGGAATTTCATATAGTGGTGTCTGTAATTGGATATTCTTTCGCCTATGTTTGTCCAGCCTGTATGTGGCTACCTTGAGTGTAGCAATTCCTCGAATTTCTGACCTTAAAATGCGCCCAGCTAGAGTAGAATGTCACACTGCAGAAAGTTGGTTGGAACATTTGAGGCACAACTCAACCACTAACAAACACTACTTTCCTTATCTTCCTTTTTCAATATTGGCAACTTGGCTGAAATAACCGGACACATTAAACACCTTGTGGCTGTACGAACTGCTTCAGAACTTGTCAATAGCTTCGCCCCATATCGATTGATCAGGACAAATTAATTTAATATTTATCTGACAGCATCTAGTGCGTCCTCCCCCTCACCGTACCATCAATCCCCTCCAAATCACTATACAACCGCCACTCATAATCCAAGCTGGGATCGTTAAACCGTGCCTTTGCATCCAGCGTCGCAATCCGCGCCATATCTTCCGGCTGCAACTCGAAATCTGCCGCCAAATTCTCCTCAATCTGCCATTCGATCACACTCTTTGGGATGACCGAACGACCACTATTGATGCCCCATGCCAGCACCACCTGCACCGGACTCTTGCCGTACTTCTCCCCAATCTCCTTCAAAATCGGCTGATCAATCACCCGCATCATATGGGCGATTTTCTTCGACCATCCAGTCTGGCGGTAAAAGTCATTCATGTTGCCCAGCGGACTGAACTGAATAACATGGATGCCTTTCTCCTTCAACCACTCACTAAACCCCTTTTGCTGGAGATAAGGATGCACCTCCATTTGATGCACCGCGGGAACCTACTATCATATCAGCTCGCCCACCCTCATACCCCAACCAAACGAAGGAATCCACTCACCGTCCCACTCTCCCTAATCAACCTCTCCACCTCCCCCTTACTAAAATTCGACACCCCAATGGCCCTCACCTTCCCCGTCCCCACCACCCTCTCCATCGCCCTCCACGTATCCACAAAATCCGTCTCCCCATGAACCATCCTCCCCTCCTCATCCCTCGGAAACCGCTCCTCCCCGCGCTTAAACGTACACGGATAATGCATGAGCAGTAAATCCACATACCCCGTCCCCAAGTCCGCCAGGGACTCATCCACTGCCCCCTCCACGTCATCCGGATGGTAATTATTACACCAGAGTTTCGTGCCCAGGAAGATGTCTTCCCGGGGTATCCCGCTTTTCTTGATCCCTAGGCCGACTTGGCGTTCGACGTTGTAGACGCGCGCCGTGTCGATCAGCCGGATGCCTTTTTTGAGGCCTAGAGCGACGGTGGATTCTTGCGAGTCGGGGTCTTGGAAGGTGCCCATGCCGAGGGCGGGGATTTTGGCCCCGGTGTTGAGTGTGTAGCTTGTTGTGCGGGTGGTGAGGGTGCGGCGCGGGGAGAGGAGGGCGGTGCGGAGGGAGGCGCGGGTTAGTCTGGATGCGACGGGGGTGGTCATGTTGGTGTTGTGATCTGGGGGGTTGGCAATTGGGTTAGTTGATGGAATTGGAAAGGAATTATGTGGTAATGGGAGGCGGTTAATAGATTTAGGGAATCGTCACCCTGGGGGTGTTTATATCTCGTTCATCGGAGCGGGGGTCCGGCGGATGAGGGTTCCGTGTCGGCGGCAGGGAACCGAGACGGGGTCATGCCAAGACATGGTGCAGATGGTTATGCGCTGTGCCTTGGCAGCTTTCTGCCACTGAAGATCGGACAGATCTGAATGAAGGATATGATAGAAGTAATAATTTTAGGTAATAAGTGGTTGCTGTTACATAGGAAGCCAAGGAGGATGCAAGGAAAAGATCATGTGACAGACTGCCCCTAGTGTAGGTAGTCAATCCAACAATTCCAATTTCGGCAACTTACGATTTATTCATGTTCAAGAGGATCTGTCGAAGTAGAGAGTACTTCATCATCTAGATTCCAGTATTGCTAAATAGACTGAGTGAGGTAAAGGTCCGGTTTCTGTTGGCTGCGGAATTGGTTGTTCGGAACCCTGCTCGGCGCTGGAAGCACTGTCGAGCTGCTAAGATAACCATATGTTGATGATATCTAACGAATTACTCAGTAGACCTTGAAAGTAAACTGCGACTATCTAAGTAATCAATATTCTACCTACGCTACATACTCAAGTTAATTTACCCGCCATCCACCATACCACATATCCCGAATAAACTCATCGCACCCTAGCCCTATCCTTCCGAGCCCCCGAGCTCGGCCTCGAGCTCTCCCCGGTCGAACGCACTGAGCGTCTCTTCCTCTTCTTCGGCGTCGGAGTCGGAACCTGAGCCTCCATCTCATATCTGAACGAGCCCGAGAAATTCACCGCCTTGCGACTCGCTCGATCCAATTGTCTCTGCAGCGCCACATTCACATACTTGACCGCCTCATCCCGGGATCGATCATCCAGACGGAGTTTCCAGCGGTAACTCTCCAGTCTACCCCAGGTCCGATTCTCGACTTCCCCGCAGTGGAGAGCGTGTCGCTTGAAGCAGTCGTAGGAGCGGCGTTTGATTCGCAGTAGCTCGGGACCTTCTTTCCTGTACCAGGAGCGTGATTTGGGGAGGTAGGTGAATTAGCGCGTGAATGTGGCTTCGTATTCTTCGAGCATGAGGTCGCGGAGGCTGATGTCGATCTAGTGGATATTGGTTAGGTATGGTTGGTTGGGATGGGAGAGGGGGACTTACTAGGCGTCCTCCGTCAGCTACGCTGGCACAGCATGAGCAACGCATTCGGGTGTTGGTTTCTGGACCAGGGGGAATCAGATGGGTGATGATGTCGGCCATGATGATGAAGCAGCCTTTGCAGACGAGGATTTGCTCGGTTCGGATGACGAGTTTATCCCTGACAAGTTAGCTTTGTATTGAGGGGGATTGGGGACGTACATTGGTTTGTAGTGAAGGAATTGCTGGCTGTAAATAGCGAGAGTAAAACTAATTGGATACAGAAGACAACAGAAAAGATCGAAAAGATTAAAGAGAAGAGAGAGTAGAAGGAAGATAAGAAAAGTCGTAAGCAAAGGACAGAATGGCAGTGGTACTCAGCGATTGTACTGGTGTTGGTCTCCAAGAAGGAAGTGGATTGATGGGCGGTTAAATGCTTGGAGAATCCGACTGTCACGACTGTTTTGCCATTATTCTTTGTCGATCTATCATCTGTGTCTTGACATCCGCAGACTTGACAATATTTTGTCCCCCACAGTGAAAGGACCTGATCCTGTCTTTCGTAATTGCTTTGCGGGAGATAACTAGATAAGCAAGCGACAGAAAACATATTAGTTGTCATTCAAACATTGAGACTTCCTCCACCCATCACTATTTGCTCACCGATGATATTCTCTTTCACAATGACCTTATGTCTCCAACACAAGCACCATCATCAATTTCCTAGAGGCCTCCAAGCATACACAGCTGGATGGTGAAATCCGTGGCAGGAAGTCGGGTTGTCACATTTGATGTATTCGGTTCAGGGATAGGGCGAGACACCTGCATTAGTGCTGGTTTCAGGCAATGCAGTTACCCATAAGAGGCAACACAGCATCTCAGATCGATCGACCGAGGGGTAAGGTTCCTACGGTTCGTGTGGAACTGGGCTCTATCTATTTGATACCTTCCCAGATTTCACCCGGTTTTCTAGTATTAACCTTCTTGTTCTACCGTGTCGGGCTAAAGCGTAATTGCGATCGCAAGGTCTGCTTTCTCTGCACTCCGTTCATCAGCATAACCTAGGGAGCCATAGTGAGTTATCGCATTATGCGCAGGGATGTGCCTGACAGAGAACTGTGAAATTGTTGTTAATGCACCTCATCTGCAGCATGTTGCTATCTGAATTGACTGGTAGGATGGCCGCGTAACTCGCGACGAAACAATCCCTAATCGCGCCCAAATCTAGTTGACGTGAGCCCTTGTTTTCGCGTCCAGGCTGAGCTGTTTCTTATTCTGTCACCACACGCCAGACTGTCGACTCGATAGATCCAATGCTGGTCACGGTGTTGGGTGATATTGACAAGTGTAGAAGGTATCTGCTAACAGTAGTAACGCGGATGACGTCCCCTCATCCTTTCATGTGAATACCCCTGTTCCTATACCTGGCTGGTAATGGCGAACTCAATATACCGCAATTGCCAGGGATTCAGCCATGTTGAACTCTGAGAGGTCGATTCACATCCCTTCATAGAGTGGCACTGCTGCTCTGGACCAGTATATGCCAAGTGACAAAGCCAGATCGACTTTCTTCTCGCCTGAGTTCGTCTCGGATCACTGTATCTCAGCGGGTTAAAGTGGATATCTATATCTCGCATTCCTGCTTAGTGCACACCAATTTTACCGCAGTAACCGCCATAGATAGATTAATGTATTTCCCACTACCAATATACATTGAATCTAATAACAGCCGGCACATCTGTTTCCTTCTTTACTAGGCTGACTTAGACAAGTGCCTTCAGTGAGGTGTATGCGTGATTCATCTGATCATCATATCTTTCCTGAATTCTCTCATCAGAGTCATGATACCATTTGTGGTAGCTATCCAGCATCGTATTTACACGCCGTCAAACCACCAGGTCCAGCCTTCCACCATATGAACGAAGGATTATCCCCATTCCACCTTATTTCACTTCATAGCTCATGAAGTGCACATAGATGCCACCGGCCTACCTAATTATAATGCCCGAAGCACCACATCCTTCAGCCCAGATCAGGCACGACCAGCCACCCCCAAGGCGAAACACCCCACCAGCCCACGATATCAAAGAAACCCAACATCAGCAGGTATTTCTTTTTATGAAAATTATCAATATCAATAAATTTCCATTCCAACAATAAATAGTTACAGCCTAGGTATCCCCCCCCACCTCCCTCAACGGAATCTCATCCCCCACCACCGTAACCTCCACCTCCACCTTCCTCACAATCCCGGGTATATTCCTATCCAAAAACTCCCGATCCCCCGCAAATATATGCGTCGTGATATTCGCCAGAATATGTCGTTCCAAATCATCCCCTGATCCGTTTTGCTGTTGCATGTATGGCATGATCCATCGTGATTTCCAATCTTGGGTTAGTTGACTCACGTTTAGGGATGTGGTTTGTGTAGTCTCTGGGTTGGGCATTTTCTGGTGTTGGGTTTGGGCCCGGTGGGTAAGTTTCTTGATGAAGTGCACGATCAGCGGACGGATACAGGGGATTGAGGCGGTGATGAGCACCACGCCTGCTTCGATGAACATCCATCGGAGGAGGGTGACTCGGTTGATGCGCGGGTTCGTGGAGGCCACGATGCTGGGGTATTCGAGGGTTTTGACGAGGGAGGCGGCCATTGCGCTGCTCCTGTTAGATTGGGTTGTGAGATGGGTGGGGGGTAGGTACACGACGCCTAGGCTTAGGAGAGAGACTAGGACCAGCTTGACTTTGAGGGTCCAGTTGAAGCGCCAGAAGATGTATATGGGGAAGACGGCGAGGAGGAGGTCGCAGGCGGAGTTGAATGCTGTCACGTTAGTAGGGATATACTTTGATGCTGGGGGGGAAAAGGGGGACATACATCCTTGGAAGTAGGCGTAGTCGATTTGCACGTCTAATGACATGCAGGAGTTGCTTTGACTGGGGTTGAAGAGCTTGTTGACGTGCGTCGTGCATTGGAAGAAGAGCAGGAATACGCTGATCACGTTGACGATTATCTGGCATGGTACTAGCACCCAGAGAATGATCCGGTGTAATTTGCGCGCGGCGAGCAGCTCGATGAGGTAGATGATGAATGCGAGACGACCGGCGGTGGCTGCTAGGGTTATGACAGCCTGGCTAATGGTGGAGTACTTGAGCGAATTCATTTCGCGGTGTAGCTCCAGCGCGCTGCCAGTCTGTCCGTATCCATAGTCCACCGCGACATTCGAGAGGACGGCAGCGATGAAGAGCAGGATCTGGGCGCGTTAGCAACCACATGCAGCCAGGTGATGTACTGACCAACGCGAACAAGGTGACGAGATCACTGATCTGAAAGTTCCCAAACTTGGCATTGCCGACGGAGCGGAGCGCCACCACCACGATGGACAATGCGCTCATGGTCCACACGGCGGCCAGTAACTCGGGCCCATAGTTAATCGACGAGGCGGGCTTGGGATTCGCGCTCGTTGAGTTGCCCAATGTGCCATTGCCATGGTGGTGATGTCCGTGGGATCCATCCATCTCCGCAGGGTCCAGGCAGAAGTAAAATTGTTGACAGCAGACGGCGGCGTTAAACACAATCAAGTAGCCAACGCACAGACTAACCGCCAAGACTGATTGTCCACAGGCACGGAATGTAAATGCAGCAGGATCGGCCATGGCCGTTGTGATAGGGCCAGCGGGACGGGACCACGCGTCATTCTTAACGGTGATCAAGCTGCCTCGCCGGTGCAGATAATGCGCCGGTCGGAGAGACTAACGAGTCGATCCCACTGAAGGAGCGTCTGGCGGAGATGGTCCGAGACAGCTGATGAATTGACGCGGTGGAGCGGGTGCCACTAGGGCTAATTAAGCATATCGACCGATATGGCTCCACCGAGTCCACCCCTTAATCTCGACCGTTGGCACCCACTATAGAGTACTAAATTGATTCCTGGTGGATCAGGGATCACTGGGCAGGATGCACCGGAACTATCCCTAGATGACGGTGGAAAAGGAGAGGAAGGGTGACCCTATCTAATTCATTGCAGATGGTGGAACAGCACTAGCCGAGCTAAAAATATCCCCAGCTCATCCCGTCATCTCCATCTTCATCTGCTCGATCCATCCTAAACCAATAGCATGGTCATATTAACTGCCACACGGCCCAGCAATCTATTTCCGACAGATCTGCACGAGAGCAGTGGGGATGGCGTGCCAACGGAACCGGAACCGTCTCCGAGCCCTAATCGCAGCAAGCCGGTCGATTGTTTACCGTGATGGATGCTCCATCGGGGGAGTGATTGATGGGCTGTCCCTGCTTGAAAAGGAGATTACTGTCTCGATCTACCCTGTCATAGGGCTGCACGCTTCATAGAAATCCGGAAATAATAAAGTATATTTCAAGAACTATAGCACTGCCACCAGCAGCTCGCATCTCTGACAGGTTACCACTCAGGGCAAGGCTCCTCCTCTCCCGAAGATCCGAACTCACCGAACCCAGACTGCCCCTTCGACCCAGCCCCAGACTTGATCCCTCCAGACGGCGCGGCGCCAGATCCAGAAGTAGCAGAAGCAGCAGTCGGAACAACCACCTCCGCAACCGAGGTAGCCGCCCCCGTCTCCTCCACAACACTCGCAGCAGTAGGAGTGGCATGACTAGCCACCGAAGTCGACGACGCAACGGCAGTTTCCGAGCCCATGGCAGGGATACTAATGGTCGCAATCTTCCACACCTTGCCGCCCTCGCTGGAGGTCAGACCGGTGTAGGTAGCGCCCGCACCCGTGGCAATGGTGTCGCCGAAACTGGTGTCCGCTTCGCGCAGCGTGATGGTCGTGTTGATGTAGAGCTGGGAGGCGACTGTGCCGGTGCAGTCGCTGTCGCATTCGGTGCCAGTGCCGTAGCTGTGGTTTGTTAGTGGTGTTGACACTGGAGGGAGGGAGGAGGGGGGGGGGGGGGGGGGGGGGGGGGGGGGGGGGGGGGGGGGGGAACGTACCCGGTCATGTATGGGCCAGCGGCGTAGGAGTAGCTTGACAGAGCGGCACCGGTCAGAGCATTGGTGACGTTCTGAGTCCAGGTCTCGCCGTCGGAAGCGAGGTTGTATTCGATACGAACGTGGTCGTCGGCGCTGACAGGGGAACCGGTGCCATCCAACTGACCGAACGAGCCGAAGATACTGGCGCGCACGCACCACTGGCCCGTGGTAGCACCGCACCAGGCGTTGCTGGGCCAGCTCTCGAGGGTGGTCTGGATGAGGTCGCCGGTGCCGTTGCTCATGCCGGGCCAGAGGAACAGTTCGCCATTCTGGGTGGAGGGGGCTTCGCCGGGGATGATGGTGGTGACGGCGTTGATGATGTCGGAGGTGGTAGGGCCAAGAGAGACGCTGCCTCCCCAGGAGTCGCGCTTGGAGATTTTGGTGGAGCTTTGCAGGGCGGCGGGGAGGACGGCGCCGAGAGCAGCGGGGAGGATAGCGAGAGTGCTGAGGACGTGCATGGTGATTATGAGAATGTATAAGTGGGGATGTAATGAATGTAATGAAGGACGGCCACCAGTGGCGTGAGTAAAGAATGTATGATGAACAAAATGATACCGTGGAAGTGGAGGAAGCCGTCGATATATCTAGTCGGTATCAACCTCGGCAGCTAGTGATTTCAACGGTTTCACACTAGGGATGGGCTGAAACATTGTTAATGACATCCAGACCCCGCACCAATGAGAGATAGCAATGAGCAGTGGTGGTGCAATTTCCATCCTGAATACCCTGTATAGAACTCAGCAGGTCAGGGATGACCCTTAATTCCGGAATTATACAGTCCGCTTACAACAGCTATCCGTGCACCTGCAAAGAATCCCCCAGTTGGCCGTCGTAATAGTATAATCCATTCTGATCACCACCGATTCACAGCAACATACATAACAAACTCATACACAAACGAAACGAAATCACTTTTCTTTCCATCCCAACCCATGCCCTCACACCGCAATCGCCAACCGCTCATAAAACCCCACGCCCTGATTGGCCGACGAGATGAGATCATCGCTGGCCTCGGCCTTGCCGGATCCAAATCGTTTGAGATTCCATTTCTCGATCCCCTCGACGCCTTTCAAATCATTCGAGAAAGTCCGGAACAGATCGCTGTTCAGCCGCTCGTACTCGGAGTATTCCTTCGGCCAATCGCCGAGGCGCTCCACGGCGAGTTTCAGCAGGTGGAGATGTTGACGGACGTACTTGCCGGATTCTTCGGTGCCTTCGCCGGGACTGGTAGCGGGCGAGGAGAGGCTGGAGAGAGTGCCGGATTCCATTTCGGTGGAGGAGACGGAGGTTGGGTCGATGAAGAAGCGGAGGGCGTTTTCGTGCAAAGAGGCCGCTTTCTTGTAGTATCGGTAGGCGAGTTCGCGACGGTCTTTCTGATTTTGGTAGCCTTGGGCCACGCTGGTGTACATTTGGGAGAGGAGGACGGTCATTTCGACGGTGCTGGGGTGGCGGGGGCCGTGGACGCGCGCGCAGTTGTAGACGATGTCTTCGGCGAGGCGGATTGCAGCTGTGTAGTCGCCGATGAGGTACCGGGTGATGACCAGCATGCGGCCGAGGGCGAGCGTGTAGGTGTATTGCGGTTGGGAGACTTCGTAGGTGTCGCGGCTGTTCCAGAGGGAGGTCAGCACCCAGGCCAGCGTGTGGTAGTCGTGTTGCTCGTCGAGGACGCCGATGAGGCTGTTCAGGTTGACGAGGTCGAGTTGGGCCAGGTCGATGTTGTGTTTCTTGAAGTAGTCGAGGGTGTCGCGCATGATGCTGGCGGACACGCGGAGCATCTCCTTGCGGGTGGAGGCCGCGGGCCGGGCCTTGATGTCGCGGCCGGCGATGACAAGGCCGAGTTTGAAGACCAGTTTCAGCGTGGCTTGCGAGGAGTAGCCCGTGTGCGCCCAGATGTATTTGAATGCCGTGTGGGCGAGATCGCAGGCGGACTGGTAGTTGTTGGAGGCGAGAAGCTGCGTGGTGCGGTTGTAGCTGGCAATGGCGACGGAGCGGATCAGATCATGCGATTGATGCGTGCTGAAATAGTCCAGGATGGTTTCGGTAAAGACCTTGGCCTGGTGACTGTTGACCTTCAAGCTGGCGCCTTCGGTGGCCAGGAAGTAGCTGGTGAACTGCTCCACTACGCGGCTGGCAGCCGAATGGCGGCCCCGAGAGACAAGGAATCCGTGCAGGCGGGACACAGAGATGGTAACCTGTTGCAGACTGCTGGTCTTGGAGCTCATCTCGGTGCGGAACTGCTCAAAGTACAGGTACTCGGTGGTCAGGGTGGAGTAGATCTCGTTGAGGGTGACGGTAGAGTCTTCCCGGGACCGGAGGCTGTACTCGAGTTGGGCTAAGAAGGCCAGGCTCTGGCGCTGGTTGGAAGTCACGTCGAAGCCGTACGAGGTGACATTGGAGGAGTCCTTGGCCACTACCTGCCGGTAGATCTCGTGGCTGAGGCTCTTGGCCCGCTCGATCTCGCCGGATGCGATGTAGCTGGACGCGATGCTCTTCGCGACGGCCGTCAAGCGCGTCGAGGAGGTTTCAGTGGAGAGAACCTGCGCGGTGGTTTCTTGCAGGAGCGAGGCAGCGGCATGGGTTTCTCCCCGCTTGGAATAGAGGGACACGATCTCTTCCATTTGCGAGAGGGCCTGCTCGTGGGCCCAACCCTGGGTGGATCGGATCGAGGTCAGGCGTTTGGTGCGAATCGACACCCAGTTCTGCGCTTCCTGGCTGCTCATTGATTCAAACTTGGACGAGGTCACCAGGGCGTTCTGCTCCTCGTAGATAGCGTCCAGGGTGGCGCGGATGTCCTGGTGGTCGATCTCGACTTCGGTGGACTTGGTCCGCAGCAGCTCTTCGTACAACTGAGTGGCCTCGGCTTCATAGCGCTTGGACTCTTGACAGATGTTGGCCAGGACCTTGGTCGCCTGGATGGTGACAGACGCGCTGGCTCCAAACAAACTGATGCACGATTTGCGGTATTGGACAGTCACGTCATGGATGGACGCCGCGTCGCTGTGGACCATGCGCAGGCAATGCACGTAGCGCTCGTAGATGGTCTGCACAAAAGCCTGATCCTGCAGCTTCTGGCTGATCTTCGGGTTCTGCATGGTGTTGAACAGCACCCGGCAGGGCTTCAGGGCATCCGAGTACCGGGCTTGATTGAGAAGCTCGGTGGCCACGATGAGCAGGGGCTCGAATGCATCCGGGTGGCACTTTTCCGAGTCCTTATTGAGGATGTGCACGATCTGACGGTAGTAATCGACGGCGACGGGCCGTGGACGGGTCAATTCAGCCAGAGTCCAGAGCTCCTTGAGGACGGTTGGGTGCTCCGTGCCAAAGCGCTTGGTGTAGGCATTGAGAATGTCCTGGTGGAGGGTAATGGCCTTGTCGGTTTGAGAGGTGCGTTCATATAGACGCAGCACACTAGTCGTCACTCGCTCCAGGATCTGGTCACCAGCTGTCCGGTCACGCCGAACAGCCCGGTACAAACGAACCCGGATGTCTTCCTCCTTGACATGATGGCGTCGGGAACGATAGCAGCTGCTGAGACGTTCGGCGAGCTCGACGGCGTACTCCACATGGGTGGACGGAAGAACAACATCGTCCAACGACGGCGCAAATAATGCCGGCCAGATACCACGTAGCACCCGCTTCAAGGTCTTGGTGGCATCTTGCCAGCGGTGCTGAGCCAGGTACATTTCCACCAGCTTGTTGGTGGCGGTGGTAGACACCTGGTCGGTGCTGGACGAGCTGTAGACCATCTCAACGAGGGTCGACTCGGTCACCGCCGAGGTGGACGACGAGGCCATGCGCATCACCTCCCGCGAGGTCGATTGGATGTGCTGCTGGGCTTCCTTGTACGTAGAGCTGGACTGGCTACTGTGCTGGGTGCAATGCTTGAACACATTGAGTGCTAGCACGGACATCCCGACGGACTTCATCACCTTGGCCACGTCGAGAAAGTGGGCGATCACGGCCTCGGAAGTAGAGGTGCTCTGTTCGTACTCCTCCCAGAAGCCTTCCAGAATGGAGGCGGCCTCATTCTCGCGCCGCTGCGACTTGAGGAACTTGGAGTAGGTCAGCACCGCTCGCAAGTTTCTCAATTCCCACTCGGTCGACCGGCTGAGACGGTACTCCTTGCTCGCCTGCTGCCAGAGCTCCACGTAGGCGCTCTCAGCCTCTTTTGTGTGGTTGGCAGCCACCGCCTTCTCGGCCGTGGAAAAGAGACTCTCAAAGTCGACGGACTCGGTGATCAGCTCGTCTGCTTCGACGCCATCCAGGGCGAGGGCAGTGCCGGCCTCGGTGTCTTGACGGCCGCGGAGATGGACCAACAGGGATTCATCGATCTGCCGGGATCCGCTGCGGTGGTGATGAGTTTCCGTGGTCGTGCCCTGGAGCAGGGTTGTAATTTGCTTTGCCTTGTCTTCTTCCTGGATCAAATGATAGTGCTGCGAGAGTTGCGTCAGGGTGGAGGTGACCATGGTGCTAGTTGCTCCGTAGTGAATCTTGTAGTATTCTACTAGCAGCTCAAGCATCTCAATCCGCTTGGACATGATCTCAGTCTTGGACTCGGAAGTCTGGTCCGCAGTCATCTCCAAGAAATACTTGGTCATTTGCATAGTGATGAGGTGTCGGTCAGAAAGGACCACTTTACTGATTTGGGCAGCATCGTAGAAGATCCGGCTGACCTGCGCAGGCAGGCTTTCATGGATACGTCGGTAGAAGAGGGCTTGACAGAGTATAGTCTGCAGAGTAGTGGGATGGTTGGTGGTAAGGGCCTGGCGGTAGAGCCGCGTCTGGATTTCATGTAGCGACTTCAGGGCCGGCGTTGACTTGGCATCCCATACGGTCATTTCCAGGAGAGGCGCCATCAGGGAGGTTGGGATAACCGGCTGCAGCTCCTTGCTGGCCGTGACAATCTCCTGGTCAGTGGTGCAGCCGAAGGCAATCTTGGCATGGTTCACCCAGTAGCGAAGCGCAAAGTCTAGCAGCGGATATTTGTCCAGATGCGTCTGGACGACAGTCTCATCCAACGGAGTCAGAGAGGGATCATGACTCTCAGTAACGCTTTGCTTGGTATAAAGCAGGAGTCGCTGCGTCAAATCGCTGTTTCTGTTCTTGATGGCCGGGACGAACTTTTCTTTGGCAAAGAGGTCCAGAATGGCGGTGCGGATATGGGCGTGTCGAAGGAACACTAGGTTATTTTGGAAGAAGACCAACGAGGCAACTGGCTTGAGGACGTGTGAAAGATCGACCTCGCGCTCCGTGATGGACGACTTGTCGAGGTCGATGGAAAGGAGCGCTGTCAACTCGGGCTGGCTGAGAGGTCGAACCGCCGTGGCCAGCCAGGTGATGATCTTCTTGCCATCCTCATCAAGCTTTGAATGCAGTGCGTGCGATACCAAATCGGTGATCGAGTATCCAGCCTTTGCGGTCCTCTCGATTGCCTTGGCCAGTGCATCCGAATTGGAGAGATGCTCCTCCCGAACCCGCTTGGTAGCAAGCTTAGCCCACAAGAAAGAGCCGTGCGAGGCTTCGGTGATCCGGGTGACGTTGATCTCCTGGTCTTCTTCGGACATCGAGGCGAAGGCGTGGCTCTGCTGCAGCATCTTCCGAGAGACGGCGGCAATGTCATCGAAAACCAGCTCCGAGGTGATGTTGACTGTGGTTTGAGAAACGCTGGAAGTCTGCTTGTGGGAGCCGAATACGATCAACTTGACATTGGTCGCATTCTGTGCCGCATCGTGCAGTCTCTTCAGCAAGACAGCCTCGCCGCAGCTGGCCTCATCCACTCCGTCTACCACCACGACAAGTTGTTTCGCACCATTGAGAGTCACCTTGAGTGCGCTGCCCAGGGCGGTCCACAGAACATCATCATAGTCCTCTTCCTCGATGGTCTCCTGGCTGCGGGAATATGCATCCGCGAGGATCTGATACAGCCGCACATTGCCGATGCGCTTGCTGAACAGCTGCGACAGGATGGTCTTGGCGATGGCGCGGGGAGTCGTATTCGCGGGGATGCGAGTATCTACTGCTGTTAGCGTGTGAAGTGTACTGACATGGAATACTAACTGATAGGGGCGAAGATGGACTTGTAGGTCACGCCTCCAATGGGGTGCTGGAGATGATCGTGGATGACGGTGGACAATATGGACTTTCCCGAGCCTGGCTTGCCGACAAAGGATAGGATCTGCTGGTTTCCTTTGAGGAAGCGCGTCAGATACTGCGTGGCCCAGAGACAGGTAGATTCCTCGCGCTCCTGGGCAAAGTGGGCGGTGGTTTCGGTAATATTGGCGAGAACAGGATCTTCGGGCTCAAGCCAGTCTTTGATGGTTTTGATCTCGGTCACTGAGCGGTTAGCAGATGTCTTCGTGATAGAAAGTCTGCCTACCTTTGTCCCCGTTGAGGCCCTCGCGAGTCAGCTGGTGCCTCCACATCAACTCGGAGACATGCTCGCAGCGACCCCGGAAGCTCTCGATGGGAACTGGAAACTCGCTGCAAATGTCAATGGACACGGACTCCGAGGTCAACAACGACCGGTGAAAGTGCCCTGCAACGCCCACGACCAGCGTGACCAGGTCAGCCAAAGCCAGAATGAGCTGGTCTTTGATGCTCTGCGATACGGTAAACAGCTCTGCCCTGTCCAGCAGGTTGCCGAGGCCGATCGAGCAGCGGTAGAAGAAGCCAAAGAGATCTTGAAGGGCGGGAGCATTTTGCTCGCCGAGCTAGACAAGTCAATATCGTTCCTCTCCAGTAGGAGGGGACATACCTCTAGCAAACTGGCACAATGAACATATGCCAACTGCGCAGCCATGTGGCTGTCACCCGCGAATTGCTCAATGGCCGAGTCAAACGAATGCAATCGCTCTACAAACAAGGCAGCCCAGACCAGGGCCTTATCGTAGCTGCTGCCCTCAGGAGGCAGCTTGCGCATGCGCTCGGAGCGAATCCATTCTAGCAGACTGGCATAGTCGGCGTCGGTGATTTTCGAGGTGATCATGTCGTCGCTGCTGCGGCGGGCCAGGGAGTTGACCACGTCCGCGAGGGTGGAGGTGCCGCCGCTGGCTTTTCTCGATCCGCGGCGAGAGGTGCCCGCTTGAAAGACACTGTTGGTGTAGTTTTCCTGTTCAAGGATGTCGGATGCCCGACGGGGACCGAAGAGCGAGGTGGGAGAGAGAGGGGACCCGAAGGTATAATGGACATTAGGTTGGAAGGAGGTGGCCATGATGAGTCAACAGACCAAAATAGGATTAGATAATTAGTGTAGTTATAAATTATATGGAATACGCTTGTATGTCTGATTGGAACTTGCTAATAGATGGTTCATTCGATTAATCATCAATCTTGATTCTGATTCTGATAATTGAAGTATTATAGTGACGGACATTTAAGCAGGATCCCATTGTATGTGCTTCTTTATAACTGATCTTCGATGCATGTCTGCAATAAATGCAAGACGTCAAGATGAGGTAGCTCAACTCAAACCCAGCCATGCAGAGATCTAGGACGTGGGTGTAGCTGTAGTGGGGTAGAGCCCACCCGATCGATCGGCCAAACGAGATCATTGTCCATCGATCAAAACGATCGTACATTGGCTGACGTGGCCTCCATCGGTGTCTATCCATGGTTGTGACCGGTGAATCCGAAGCTGGGTGGCTGGAGTGAAGCTACATGACTGGATGAACAGCTGGTGGATTCAATTGAGTTCATCTACCCAACGCTCGATTGTAGATGGGCCAATGATACCTGGCTGGGGTGAGCTTGCCGAAAACGATGCGGCGAATACGGGTGGTGTCTTACGAGGTCAAAACAGGTGCATTGTGAGGAATACGAGCTGAATACTGGGCATTGTATCTGGCATTAATGGTGTCAATAAACATGTGCTGAGGAATTTATGTATCATTGCCAGGCGCAACCACTCGTGTGATTGTGAATCAGTGTAAGCAAAGCACAAAGCTTATGTCCCCCGTCCTCTGCATAAGATTGTTCCGCAAACGTCACCGGCAAGTCCGCAAATCGGGGCCCCGCGGGAGCGATAGAGTTAGGGTTTGGTGGAGATTCCCGCATGCGGCGGGCCTTTCCCCAGCATGACAAGGACATTGCACGATGTGGTTCCATTGCACGCTTCCGCAGGGCCCATTGGTTCGTCTTTGGCTTTGTTTGGACTCCTGGAATCATGGACTCGAGCTTACTCGAGTCGGTGTTTGTACACGTGAGATATTTTGACTCTGTAGCTTATGCTGGCTTGCGTGGGTGGCTAGGCGACCCGTGGAAGCTTGTTGGGGGCTCGGTCGGTTACTATCGGCTGCTATGCTGGTTGCTTAGGGTGTGGCAGATTGTTGGGCGATTCTTCAGGTATGCCAGTCCTTCGGGTTCTAATTATGGATCATTATCTCGCTTACATTGGAAGCCAGATATTTCTGGACATTCAAAGAAATGGATGTCCATGCGAGACATTCAGCTGATCAATTTCTGATCTCATTGTGATAAAGGTACTAATTAACAGTGAATTGATACATACCCTTACCTTTCGAGTATGTCCGACCGGCAACTGTTCCATGTGCCCAGCTCTGTCAAGCATGCTTTACCAGATCGCTCTATTAGCATTCCACGGCTGCAGGGATCGACGATCTTCGACGCTTAACTTTCAGATTAACCTTGTCCAGGCTATAAAGCCAGTATGAGGTATTTTGCAGTTCTTCACCGGACAGCTTCCGATGGAAGGATCGGAGTAATTCGGGAATGACCTTGTAGAGCTCGCAGAGGGCAATCTTCACGATTAGTAGTAGTCAACTGCTGATACTGAAAACTTACATGCTTGCCCATGCATGTTCTTGATCCTGCGCCAAACTACTACACTTAACCTCAATCCATCACCACGCAGCCGACCTACCTGAAGTATGTACTGGTTCAACTCATCTGCTCCAGGACCAAGCCACCGGTCCGGATTAAAGGTGCTCGCATCCTTCCCAAAGATAGACGGATCTACTTGAGTCACTGCAGGATTCATGCCAATACGAACACCACCCAGGATCCAGTAGCCCCCGACCTGTCTCCCCTCCCTGGGCACCTGGCGAGGAAGCGGCAAGCCCACACTGGGATGGAGTCGCATTCCCTCTTTAATGCAGTCGTTGAGATAGGGAAGTTTCACCGCTTCATGATAAGTGAGACGAGGAATATTCAGTTCATCGTTCACAGTCGCGTTATTGATCTCCTCCACTAGGGTGGTGTAGATGTGTGAGTTCTTGATGATATTATGCAGTGTCGCAGACAATGCGATCGCAGTGGTGTCACTCCCTCCGAAGCTAGATGCATCAGTAGCTGACATGTCAGATGGAAGTATATCATACAACGCGCCAAAAGCCTCCATCTTCACATCCACAAGATTATAATGCGGATTCTCTCCCTGCTCATGATATACCTTGAACGCTTCGGATAGTATATCGGGCTTTTGTTCATTGCCGCGCTTTTCGGCCAGGACACGGTTCTCGACTGCTGCATCCGCGGCTTGGGTGAGAGTGCCTAGGGCGCTGATTGCCTCTCTCATCCGGGGGAAGAGGAATCCAGCGAATGTGAATATCGGGCGGATGTACGTTTGCATGACACTAGTTGTAAAATTGTCGTGAGACCGCAGTGAACGGGTATAGAAACATCAAGGGGATGGATGTGTGAAAGCGACCCTTGCCTCTCCACACAGAAATCTTGTTTGTGCACCTAAGAAATCCTGACCCACGCTTCGATCAACCGAGACCATGAGAGTTTACCAACGCGGAATTTCTCGGGTGACACCCCTTTTAAGATATCTTCAATCTCCTCTCATTCGACTTTCAAGAAATAAAAGCGTTCTACTCCAGATTCTGAATAAATCATTAAAGAAAACTAAAACAGCTTCACCTTCTAGACATACTCAATAAATTCTTTTTTTTTTTTTTTACTTGCTGACCATACACACCAGGTGGAGAAGTATGAACACCACTATTCAAGTAACGGTGTCATCTGAGTGAAATATCCAAAAGAAGGTGGCAGTTCAGTGAATAGCCCGGAACACAAGTGACAGCCTTCAGCCATGTGATTCTGTCGGGACACCAGGTGCGGAGGAGTCCGGGCACCAATAAGATGGTTATAGATGACACCCGGGATTGCTATTCGTTGTGCCTGCAACCCGCTCGGAATAAAGATAGCATCCTTGTCTTGAAATTTGTAGGGGTGGTAACTGACAGGGAGTAATACACTTGATAATCGGGATAATCCAGCGTTTTCCCCAGATAATATTAAACAAGTCAATATGATGCTATGCCAACTCTATATTACTTCCAGTCAAATACATATCAGAGCCCTCTGATCACTGCGTCACGCTCTTCATCGTAAACCCAGCATGACCCGTAACATCTCCCTCCTCCACCACAAAGCTCGACGCCCCGGTATAGTAGGCACTCCCCTCCACCCTCACAACCACCGCATCCCTCGCCGGGCCATTCTCCCCCTCGATCCGCAACCCCGTCTCCACAATCTCTCCCACAAACGCCCCCGTCTGAAAATGACTCGACACCACCGAATGATACGCCCACCGCTGTCCAACCGCTCTCTCCCCCTTCGCATACGCCAACGCCATCCGCGCCGTGACACACGACCCCGTCGGCGACCGATCAATCTCATCATCCGCGAAGAAACACAGCCCGGTCTCGACCCCATCCACCCCACCGGGGTTAACTCCAACCTGCGAATCCACCACCATAACGGAATATAAAAACGATAACCGCTCATCCTCCGGATGCTGACACGCACGCACAATATCGGGATGCGTTTCCAAATACCCCTTCAATTTCCCCACCACCTGCGTCATCCTCTCCAGATCCACCTTCTTCAATCCCTCTTTAAACCCCAATTCCCTCACATCCACGAGCGCGAAAAAGGCCCCTCCGTAGCTAACATCCACCGTGATACTCTTCCGTCCCCCTAGTTCCCCCCACCGCACCTCCTCCGGAACTGAAACCCTCACCCCTACCGCCGCTGCATACGCCGGCGTCGAAATAAACGCTACATTCCGCGCCGGATCCGATTTCATCCCATCCGCAGATTGCATAACAGGAACCGTCACATCCACGACCCCGCACGGCGCATGTAATCTTACGCCCACCGTCAAACTCTCCTCATCAAGTACCAATTCCCCCCTCTTCGGAAATACATTCTCATCTCTCGTATCCACCAAAAACCGCCCCAAAGAAATAGTGGCATGGCCACACATCGTCGATATGCCCCCGTTATGAGTGAACAACACCCCGATATGTGCTTCCCCTGACCTGACCAGCTCGGTATTTTGAATCAGGATGGCCCCGTACATGTCGTAGTGTCCCCGTGGCTCGAGCATGATGCGTTTGCGGATGTGGTCGTATTCCTTCTCGGCGTGGGCGCGTTGGGAGAGGAGGGTTGGCCCGGTGAGTGGAGGGAAGCCGGCGTAGATGATCCGGGTGGGTTCGCCGGTGGTGTGCATTTCGATGCATTTTATGGTGTTGGGGGTGGTGGTAAGGGATTGGGCGATGTCCATGATGATAGCAGATGATAGTGATTGCTGTGTACTGTGTTGTTGGGTAGGGAGGAAGAAGGATGTGGGTGTGAGGAGTATTTGGAAGAGTTGGTGCAGCGGGGCTGGGCTGGGCGGATCTCGGATGGAATCCCGAGCAGGCAGGGTCCCTCCCTGCATTAACTTTGAAGTCACTTTATCTTGTTTCTGCGCCACAATCGCGTACTCGTTCTCTAGAGTAGTAAAACTCTAGGGACTGGTTTTTCTGTTTTTCTTTGATTTGGGGTGGACTGGAGTTTATTTCTCTACCGTCGTTTCTCAACATGTAAGCTACACTAATGAGCTTCTTTCAGCCATGGTGTGCACACTCTCTACATTAGTGAAACATACAGATAGGCCGAACGAGTATCTGGATTTAGTTCAATGTGGTGACTCATGTGCCTCGGGGCATCTGGCTACGCCCTATCGGAGACCACTTCTGAATGTCCCACCCGGAGCGGGGCACTGTGATTCACGTGTATCAGAGCAGACACGGTAGAAATCCAACATATCTTCTGAATCTATATTCTTATTTCAGTTTGTGCTGAATCGCCAATTAACATTATCAAGTCTTCGAGATCACTGGATATTTGTGCCGAGTTGATTCTGTGGTGGGTTCAGACCATTGCTCTGGATAGTTGTAAGACACCGCTTACAGATAGCGTCGCAATGGAATCAATTCTTTAAAATAAATCGGAATGAAACCTGGTTCATATGTATGGCTTACTGTTGGGGTAGTCTTATAGCTATGTATGGTTGTGGTTTCAGAGTCTGGTCAAGGACATAAAGAGGATACGATGCAGCGCAGTACTCTTGGCTGGTTTAATTCATTACTTTATAAGGCTTCTGCTAATTGTGGGCCATCAAATACATTTAAACATCAGAGTAGTCTTGTATATTTCAAAGATATGTGACGACTTCGTTACATCTCTCCATCCCTCGTCAGCCATTAATTATAAGTATGGGATAATAATCAATTCACCCCCTCCACCGCATCCGCCATCCCCCCCAACGTCTCAAACCGCCAATCATAAACCCTCTCCGCCAAATTCCCCATCGTCGCCCCGGGTCTCTCAATCCACACGGACTTCAACCCCACCCTCCGCGCCGGATGATGATCATGAAACTGGCTCTGCGCCGTCTGCAGCACCTGCTCCGGATCGACATCAAACTTATCCTTGACCGTGTTAAGCATGTACTCAAAGTTGCGCAGATCCGGCTTATACGACCCCACGTCCTGGGCCGTGATGATCAGATTAAACGGGAATCCTTGGAGACTGCCCGCGTTGGTTTTGGCGAATGAGGCCCGGTCGACGTTGGAGAGGACCACGAGCTTGTAGTGCTGGGAGAGGCGTTTCAGGGCGTCGACGGTGTCGGGGAAGGCGGGCCATTTGCCAATTGAGTCGCCGAAGGCGAGACTTTCTCCTTCCGTGGGAGGGGGTAGATTGAGACGCTTGGCCCAGAGGGGATGGATCGTGGTGAGGAGCTGGGAGTACGGCATCTCGGGGGTTTTTTCCTGTTGATCGCGCTCGAGCTCGTGGTATATGGTCAGGAGGTGCTCGCGGGTGAACTGGGTGGTGGCTTTGTTGAGGGTTGGTTGGAAGGCGGCGAGGATGCCCCCTTCCCAGTCGACGAGAGTGCCGTAGACGTCGAAGCTGAGAAGACGGTAGTCGGATAGTTGAGACATGGTAGTTGTGATGGTTGATGGACTCGATGGGTTGGAAGAAGAGGGGAGGGGGAGGGGAGGGGACGGGTAGCGCGTGTGGAGAAGAGGGGCAGGTTGCAGGCGCCCTCCGGAAACAGCATCCCGGCCCGGTGGCCATGCACCATGGAGGTTATTCATTTTTTTTCATTGTCTCTATCAGGATGTCTTTATCGACATATCTCTACCAGACGTGAGCGCGGAGTTCTCGAGCTAGGCTATTGCTGTCGGATACACATGCCTCAACCGGTTGAATTATTGTGCCTGAGGCATGACTGGAGACAATTTCCGAGCACCAGGGATTAACTCAAGTACCCATTCTACAATGCCCGATTTGCACACTCAGGGACATGGTATACTAAATACAAAAATAAGAAGGGTGATCTTGAACTCGAGTGCCTGACCATATCCGACCGCATCACAGCCATCGGGGACGATCGGCAGGACTCCCTCCACAGGCAGCATCCACACACTGAGCCAGACTGCCAAAGTAGAACTTCCGTCCCGTCAGTCCAGGGCCGTAGTGGGCATATTTCCCGGAATTGGTCATGATTGCATGGGTGGACGGGGGAATGATCGGCTCTGTGATCATGCACCAGCAGGTATCCGTGACGAACTGAACCCCAAACATCTCCAGTTCTTCAACTAGCCCGGCCTGACAGGCCAAGCCATACGTTGCTCGGCCACAGGTTACTACCACCGTGATATCGTCCTGTTTGGTCCGCCCGCGGCAGAGGGCAGCAAGCCGGCGGATCTCAGTCAAGGAAAAGTGCGGGTTGCCCAGAGACACCAAGTCTACTGACTGCAAGCCGACTGCACTGTTCAACGTGTTCCAGCACGGAATCAGGTCTTTGATCCGCACGTCAACCGATCGAGGATCCGATCCCGGGCGGATAACAGCGTCCAGCGTCTTTGCCTCCGGGGTCACTCCAACCATGTGGAACATCGGCGCACTTGACACGGTCGCAAACGCTGCTCCAAACGCTTTTAGATCATCCCTACTCGGAGCAAGCAATTTCAGGCCCACAATTACCGGTATCTGGTTCGAGGCTAATGTGCCAACGTGATAGCCGAGCAGGGGGTAGAACGAGTCGTCGACATCTTCGAGCTCCTGAGCCTCAGGCATCCTAACAATGAGCGACGCTTGGCGATTCTGATCCACATGCGGCCCTCCATTCGGGGCGCGGCCGGTGAGAGCAATGGCAATGTCCAGAAAGTCGGGATATTTCATGGTGCGCGCCCCCAGCACACTGTTGGCATAGACGACAGCATTAGACTCGGCCCAGGCAACCTGATCACCGACCTTCGGAGCACTGTCCAGCTGGTACGGACTGCAAGTAAAGGTCGGACGCGCCCCCATATCCGTGTAAGCCCGTGCCAGCTTCTCAGCTGCTTGACCGAAGGCGGCATCCACGCCTTGGGCGCGCCACCGCCGTTGATCGACAGAGATGGAGTTGAGAGATGTCGGTACCCGCACCTTGCCCCCCAGATCTCGGAGTCGCTCTGCAAAGAGCAGAGATCCTGGCCCGGTGTAGATGCAGCCATCCACGTGGACCTGGGTGACGTGGATGAGGTCGCGAGCCCCGAGCAATTCGGCCATCCGCAGAACGATTCGCATCGCCACGCGAGCAGCTTCGCCGTATTCGCCTTGAACAAGCTTTTTGTCGACTTCAGAGAGATGTATCTTTGGGAACGTCATGGCCTGATCACTATGGCTATTGTTTTGGATGGTCTCGGGTAGCTCGTAGTGAAAGATGTCACCACCAACGACAGACATTAATTTGCCATCCAGCCTCAGTAGCTGAGGAAAGTCCCCAGGATTCAGCACCACGACAGGAATTGCCTTTTTAAAGATCTCCTCCGCGATCATGACCCCTAACGTGAGAATATCCTCGCGGCGCTCGAAGAGAACCGCCCCGGGCCCTTTGTTGTTGAGCAGGAGTTCCAGCATCACCCCGCTTCCCGAGCAGGAGCCACGACCCCCGGGGATGGCCAGAATGCGATCCTGCAGAAACTGACCACGCAAAGGGTGGTGCTGATCAATGACTTGACCGGTCTGGGGGTCGACACCTCCCCAAAAGCTCAACTCCAAGGGGCTGGCCATTAGCCGGCCCGAAGCCTGACCTTTGACATATGCAACTCCATGGCAGAGAGGCCAAATCCTTGTACGGGCTGTCATCTTCATGAACATCACCCAGCCCACTGGTATAAGCGTAGTGTGAATGGATTACAACTAACTGAAAGGCTGGATCTGAACGGCGATGGCGCTTATCGGACCCCGCTCGGGAGGGGCACCCGAGATATCGCCTTGATTAGCTGACTGGTGCCACCCCGTGTCGTCTACTTGTGATACTCTAGTGGTGCACTGTATTTGGGCTATTAGGCTTATCTCTAGAGGCTCCCTCAGTCAACAATACTAGAGACAGGTACATTTTGGATCCCTTACTCTGTCCAATAGGTTGATCGTCAGCGATCGGTGGGTGCTAATGGCTTTCTGCATGCTCCTAGGACAATTCAGAGTCGTTCAACACGAGACCAAGCGGTAGCGAATCGATGAGTTTAGCTCAAACGGCATCTTAAGTATGTGCAGCAGACACGACTCGAGAATGTCTCGCGGAGGCAGTTGGGGCTTGTGAACATAGCGCTTTTCGTACAGGTCCAGAAAGGCGTGCAGGCTCGATTCCCCCGCTGCTGTCGTCATGATCCAGCCTGCTATCTCATGGGCCAGATTGTGTGCATCTCCTGGAAGAAAGCTGTCGCTTTCGCGAGCCATGGCCGTGACAAAATTCTGGACGAAGCTGTGCGACATCTCCTCCAGGTAGGTGCGATCTGCTGTGGAGATGGGATCGAGGTCGCTGCGTCCCAGAACTAGCAGGGACCTGTCTCGATTAGTGTCCACAATGGTATTAAAAGACAGTGATGAAGCATGCATACAGATATAAGAAATCGTCCGATTCGGATGACAGTTTCGCCTCGTCCCTGTTTCTTAGCGTGATTCCAATCAGCGGCATGGGACACTTACTTGGGAACCTCGACCACAAGCAAGGCCGGGACCGAGACATTTCGCAGCAACGTCTCGACGAATTTCCTGGCCGGCAGGTAGGGGCATGGCTGATCATCCACGGCCACGCAGCTGCCATCAGCGAAGCGGTACCGGGCCGAGGGGCGACCGGGGTTCTCCTCGAAGACTCTGCTAGTGATTAGAATGGTTCTTCCGCTGCTACTCGGTCGCGATCCCAGAGTATACGGTACAGAATTACGTACATCTCTCCCTGGCCATTAAACAGGGTGACCTTCCCCTCAATGTTCGTCTCCTGGTGGTGGGTGGGGGCATGGTTACCATGCAGAAAGACATATCGCAAGGATCCCTTTCCCCCGGAGGCATAAAGGTCGGAGACCAATTGACCGTCTGATTGACTGGGGAGTGACATGGGGACGACAGGTAGGGGAGAGACCGCGTCGACCTGCTGGCTCATCCATCCGGGCTGCCCCTCAGTTGACCTGGTGGGGAGACGCGCCCAAGGACGCTCACCGCCTGCGGGCGAGCTTCGGCCGGAACAACTAGTCGGCGGCTTATTTTAGGATCTACCCTCCCCCTTTC